TCTCTCTCTCTCTCTCTCTCCTCCCCCCCACCCCACCACCACACACACACACACACGGACATCCCTCTCTGCGGCGGGGTCGATTCTCTAACAAGAAGAATGAAGACAAAAGAAAATCATAAAAAATAAAAGCGAAAACACAGTGAAACGGTGGATCTAAGAGTTGAAAGGAAAGTATAAGACAAAGTGTATTTCTAGGGGGTACACGGCAAATAGACAACGACACCAAAATATGCACGGATTTGAGGCGCCCGCTGATCCGACTACACCACGCGCCGTCACGTCACACACGCGAAGAGGAAGAAGAGGAGTTGATGTTCAAGCTCTTTCCGTTTTCTGCTCCCTCTCCCCTCCCTCCTCTACGGACGAATCTCGTCGTTGAGGAGTTTCATGATGACCTCCAAAAAGCCATAGACACATTGGCGAATTGGCACATCTACCTGCGGCGCGACATCCGCCGTCATCGCCGCCTTCTCAGTCGGCTTGTACTTCTCCACATTCGACTGCAGGCGCTCGATGTCGCCCATCACTTTCTTCCGCCGGTCTGCCTGGCTCACCGCCGGCCCGTCCAGCTTCGCCACGATGTTCTGGATCAAGGCAAGAAACACATTCGGCATCTGCATGGATTTGCTTACGAGATCAAACGACTCCTTCTGTTGCGTCTGCTGGCGTGCGGTGTTGGGCATGTTCAACATCAACCGCTCGCGTGCCGTAGCCTCATCCAACTTGTTCTTCGTCGCCTCAGAATCAATCTTCAACTTGTCATAGGCGTCCTGCATGTCCAGGTAGGCCGTCTTATAGTTCAGCACCTTTCCGGTGGAGGAGTTGACCTCGCTGGCGGCAAGACCCAGTGCGTTGCGCAGGTCCGCCACCTCGTTCGCCAAGCTCGCCCGCGCTTCTTCTGCATCGCTGAGCCGCACCTTCTGCTTCTCCAGCTCGTGCTGCAGGACGGTGATGGTCTGCAACATCTGCTCATTTTCTTTTATGAGGGCCACCGTGGCCGCGTCCAGCGCGATGGTCGGCAGGGGACTGCCCGATGGGCTCCGCATGACCGAGAGGGATGCCTGCTTTGCTGGGGCGGTGCTGGCGGCTGTGTTGGTGGGGAGAGACGCCATCGGAGAGGTCGCACGGTCTTTGCTGTTGCGGGTCACCGCAGTGGTGGAGGAAGGCGATTTGGTCGTCTCCATCTTTTTCACTTGACGGCTGAATATCTGGCTCTGTTAACAGTGGTGTGTGCTGAGGAGATGCAAGCGGTAGCGCGCGTGTGTACAACGAGTTCGATCCTTTTCTGTTTTGGTAGAGGCGATGACAGGCAAGGGGAGAGGAGGGGGTGGGGGGAAGAACGCGCAGGGCAGTGAGAGGTCGATGCGAGGCGAGGGTCGTGGAGGGCAACTACCGTTACCCCAAAATGCGAAGAGTACGAATAAGAGCGCCAGATAAGATTTTGAGGCTTTCAGCGAAAAGGAGAAAAGAGAAGTGCTCTTCACCGATCCTTCTTCTCCGCCTCTACCGCCCTTCCCTTTCCATGGCTTTGATGGAGCAAGACGGAGTAGAGTGGGCACGGCAATGGGATGCACCTTCATGCGGCTGAGCAGCTGGTGCACTGCACGTGAATGAAAACGAGTAAGGGAAAATAGTACTGTAAAACAGCCGTGGGCGGTGGGTTTCTCTTCTGCAATTCCTCTATTGTTTTACCTTCCAAACAGGGTGCTTCGCGCCACACTCACCACATGAGAACCCGCTTCTTCCGTTGCATTCCCTGGCGCTGCCTCCACGCGGCATCCCCCCGTGAAGCGTGGTGACAACGCGAAGGCAGACGCAGTCAACCAGTCGCCTCACCACACCTGAAAGAGAAGAGACGAGGGAAGAAGAAGAAGAAAGGCAGGAGAACCCTTTCGGTCTAGTTTTCAGGCTAAATGGATAAATAAACTCAAAGAAGGAAACACATAAACAGAGGGCATCAAGAGAGCCACCAACGACTACGGCCACGCCTGCGTAGTAGCAAACAAAAATAAGATAATAATAACTGAAACGGTAAATGGAAAAAGGCATACCCACCTGAGGCAGTCGTGAAGCGGAGGAGGGGAGGAGGGAGGGGGAGGGGGGGGGGGAATAACGGGATCGATACACCGAAAAGAAGGCTAGAAGAAAACGACACGAGGAAAATACTCTTCAGGAGTTAAAGACAAAGGGAAGCTCAAAGACGGTGGGGGTTGGCGCAGCAAAGCAGGAGAAGAAAGGCGAGTTCGGTTTCAAGAGAAGCCGCCGCCGCCGTCGCTGCTGCTGCTGGTACTGCTGCTCCCACGTGCATTTCGTACCGTGAGCGAAGCGAACCACACCACCGCTCAAGAAAACTAGTCAGAATAAAAAACGATAAAAAACATAAATCCAAGAAACGTTCATTCGCTCGCCCTTCGCACACAGACACACACACAGTTTCCGCCGCAGAAATGAAGAACAATGGTCTAACAAACCAACAACAGCTCTAAGTCGCAATCATCTAGCTCCATACATCCCTCCCCCCGAAAAAGAACAGTAATGAAGTCAAGCAGACCATCACTGAAGGTGCCACACACATACACACGCGCCTTCTCCATTAGTTCCCCATCACACAGTCCAATACACCGACGGGAAAAACGGATAAGTAAAAAGAAAGAGCCAGAAAAACAATGTATGAAGACAACGATGCAGGAAAACGACGTTACTATAAGAGAAGGCGCGTGACAAACAAACGCAGCGTGCACAAGCGATAGAACTTTCTCCTCTTTTCCCATTTTTGGATATTATATATATCGTCAACATCAAAACGGCGGAGTGACGCTGGGGGGACGATCCCTACGAGCCGAAAGACACGGGTGCGCTACGCTCTTAGTGCCACTGGCGTGGGTGGTCTGCCACGGTGGGCGCCTGCCACGCGCCTGGCGGCAGACAACGCGACTTTTTCGACCCGGCGCGCGCCTCGTTCTTCTTCTGCTGCTGCCGTTGCTGCTCCGGCGTCCTCCACGCGCTCATTGGAAGGCACTGCCTCGGCCGCGACGTGTCAGTCTTCCGCTTCGCTGGCGGCACGTCTTCCGCCGGTGCGGAGTGGCGGCGTTGATCAATATCGCTCGTGCCACCACCGCCGCCGTTGCTGCCGTTGCCGTTGTGCACCGCCGCACTCTGGCGACGTGCCGGGGTAGCCGGCGAGTGGTAGCGCCGCCGCGCGACCGCCACCGCGTACGGGCCCCCCGCAGTGGAGCGCTCGTCCTTCGAAGTGATGGCGTCGAGGATGGCGAGCTGCCGCTGATCCTCCAGCTCCTGCCGGCGCTGCGCCGCGGTGAGCATGCGCTCCTCCCTTAGCGAGCTGCGGCGGCCAATCTCGGCCTGCCGCTCCCGCTCCCGCTGGATGAGGTGTTCGTAGCTGGTCTTCTCCTTCGCCAGCTCCGCCTCCACGAGCGTCGTCTCGCGGATGAGGCTGAACTGCGCCTCCCGCTCCGCAGCCTCCTGCCGGTGCTGCTCGTTCTCTAGCATCCGCTCCACCGCCTCGCGCTCCGCCGGCGACATCGAGCCGGTGCGGCGTCGAGCGGCGCCGAAGCCACCGTCGATGCTGCCAATGCACTGGTTCACTGCACTCGCCCGCCGCTCGGAGAGGTTGCGGGCCGACAGCACCGTCGAGGAGCAGCGGCGGGCGAGGTTCTGCTGGTCCTCCGCTCCGGTGTCCCCGGCCGTCCGCACACTGCCGGTGTAGGAGCGGCCGTCGTGGCTGTGCGGGCGGGGCGACTGACCGGCGGTTGTGGCCCGCGGTGTCGTGCCGCGGCTGCCGCGATGCACACCATTAGTGTTGTTCGGCGGCTGACCAGTGCCGTTTGCCCCTTTACTGCTGTGCTGGTTGCTGCTCGTGTGGGGAATGTTGAGGCTGCTCATCACGGCGGTGGCGGCCAGCGCCGGGGGAGCTGCGCTCGCCTGCGCCTCCTCCTCGGCCTCCACCTCGCGCTGCTGCTGCATGATGTGCTGCTCCTCCAGCGGCGGAACGGTGCCTTCGCGACTCGCGTACGGGGTGTCTTCGGAGCCGACACGGACGTCCGCAGCAGCCTTCGACTCCTCTTCATGGTCCTGTTCGTCGCCCTGTTGCTGCGCGTCTTCGTCTCTGTGCCGCTCCTCCGATCCTGCTCCGACTGCCTGCGCGGAGTTGTTGATCGTTTCCACTTCGCCTTCTTCGTGGCCCTCGTCTGTGCGAGCGGTGTTGGTTACGTTGATCGGCTCGTGATCCTCGGCCTCCTCGACCGTCTCGGCGTTCTTGCGAAAGAGAAACATTGGGGCTTGTTTCGGTACGCTTGCCCTTTGTGACGATGTTTCTCCTATAAAGGAAAGAAAAAGGAACAAAGAAGCACTTCCGTTTGTTTAATGAAAGATATACGATGTTTGATGGTGAAGAGAAGAAAGAGAGGAGGAAAAGCAAAGCAAATGTTTGTATTGGAGAGTTTTTTTTTGGCTAAGGTAAGAGATCCATGAAATGCATCAATCAATCAATCAATCAATAAATATTTAGTAGCAGCAAACAAAGACGTTGAAAGGTTGTGAGGAGGTACGTATAAGCGATTCTTCTCTCTATATATATGTATTTTTCCCCCGTTTCGGGTGTCAACATCAGCAGTGCGGAGGGAGATATGTATTTATGGTGAGTTTGCCGGGGTGAGGTGGTGAGACGGCGGATGCGCCAAGGGAGAAGTCGAGAAGAGTGCGAGGTGCTCAGAGGAGAGAGGCGCAGGCTGCTGCACGCGTGGGGGCTCAGCTGGTCGCATGCAATTTGTCCACGCTGACTTCTTTTCTTCTGAACTTCGTTTTGCGCTCGCCACCGTTATCATCGTTTCACGGACATCGACGTCACTCCGACAGTCCGCGTGATGCTTGTGACGCAACGCGAGCGCGGCAATCACCGACGCCATCAAGGAAAAAAAAAGCAAAGCGAAAACGATGACGAAGGAGGACTCCCATCAAACACATCATCGAGATGGCAGCCGAGTCGCCTTCACGAGCGAATTCGTTCTCGCTCAATCACCATCCACGCTCGTGGCACGCACACGCAGCGCGATGTACAGGGCAGACTCAACTGTGCGCATGCTTCCATTGAATGTCTGGCTTTGATCGTATTCTAAAGAAGCGTAATGCCTCATCTCCGCACCAGCCAACGGGCCTCATGAGGCGCCCCTTGCAACGATGTCTCACGACATCAACAACACGGTGACCAATACAAAAGTTCCTACACGCTGAACCGCCCTCCAAAAAGAAAAAGAGGAAACAAAATAAACACGTGATCAAAGCGACTAGCAAGCAAACACGCTCCGCAGAGCACGCCTTCTCTGATGCCCTTCCACACTCGCCGTAGCAGCAGCCAAAAGGGTCGCTTTACACGTGACATGTGTGTGACGGTAATCCTTGCTGCCTTCCCATGTGAGTGGGGTCATCTACCTTTTCTTCTTTGCCTCTGCGTGGCTCACGCGTCGCGCCCGAAGCCGGAGTTGTGGTGCAGGGCCTGCGTCAGGAAGCGGTGCAGCATCAACGACTCCGCTGCATCCAGCTCCACCGTCCACTCCACCGTCTCTTCCTGCACATCCGCGCCGTCAGCGGTTTGCATCTGCCCGGTTGTCGGCCGCATCGACGTGCAGTGCAGCGTGTAGTGGTGCCTCCCCTTCGCCGCGTTCGGCGCAAAGGTCGCGTTCGTGAAGCGGGACTGCACATCCACCTTGTCCATGCGGCCTTCCAGCACGCCGAGGAAGCGCGCGACGTACACGGGCGGCAGCGTCACCGTCACCACCTTCTCTGCGCGGTTCTCGCGGCGTGCGGGGGCGTCCCCGGCCGGCGCCGCGGTGTGCTTCTGGCGGTGGTAGTCGAGAGCGATGTAGCCGTTGCGGTGCAACACGCGGAGGAGGTGTCCACGGCTCACATCCTCGTCGTTCCAGTGTACGATATCGAAGGCGGGCGGGAGGTCGGGGCGGCGAGAGCGCTGACGGTAACCGTTGTTGTTGTTGTTGTTGTTGTTGTTGCTGTTTCTGACGTTCGCTGCGGCGTCCGTGGCGGCCCAGCGAGCCGAGGTGAAGCGCAACGACGCTGCCGCGGGGGAGGCGGAGGCGGCGGTGACCAGCGAGAGGCGACTACGCACAGCGCAGACGGTGGCGACACGACGGAGCATCCTGACCTGCTACGGTGACTCTTTGGGTTTGCTACACGTCGGGGTAGAAGTGAACGTTAGCAACGTGTTGGATAAAATCGATAACGTGAAAGAAAAAACTCTTCTGAGAACTGAGGGAGGGAGAGGGAGAGGTGCGATGAGGCAACGGTGAAAGTACATAAAAGAATGGCTAATAAATGAAGACAGGAGGCGAAGGTGCAGGCCACCCTCCACAGAGCGCCAGGACCACAGCAAACCTACACCGGTGGCGAATAAAAAATATGTTCAAACCCAAACACGCCAAAACGACTACGCCGGGGGTATCCGTAGTTATGATGTTTCGTTCAACCTCACCGCGCACACACAACGAAAACCACGTCGGCCGCCGCCGCGCTTCTCCGTTCGCCGTGGGCTTCGTCAAGACTCCCCGCCAAAAACAAAAATGAGGAGCGAACTCCCTTCTTCTTCGTTTTTACTATTATGAATAAGTTGAGGTTTCAATTCCTTCCCAACACGGAAGAAACGCAAGAACACAAACCACGCTGCCAACACTCGTCCAAAGGTATTCGAAGTAAAAGAAAAGAGAAAAACCTCAACGGGTGAACCTCTCGAGACGGAAACGAAGAGCAGACACCGTTGACCATCCACAGCGCACGATGCGCCTGCCAGCGGGTAGGAGCGGCGGAGAGTCCACGCAGGACGGCATCAACGTCACCGGAAGGAAGAGTCAAAAAAAAAAACAACAACAAGAGGAGGCACAACCACATCATCACCGCTTAGTTACTTAAAGAAGAAGAAAAAATATATGTAAGAAACCAATGCGCTCAGCGCGGTTCCGGTTGGGCTTGATGGTAATGTGAATAACAGTCAAGAGAAGGAAGAACAGAGAGGAATAGAAACATACTCAAAGAGAAAAGCAGCGGCGAGGAATCGTTGACGCTCAACCGCCGCCCCCGGCCACCCACACTACACCTCTCACACACAAACCCCTTTGATGAGTCAGAGAAACGAGGATCGACAACCAAACGACAACGACACACACAGGGCGTTAGCGCTGAGCAAAGCCCATCCAGTCCATCATCTTCTCAAACAGCAGCGAGAAGGCCGCACCGCCGACCACACCGGCAGCGAGACCAGGGTACTTGTAGGACCGCCAGCCGTAGGCGCCGCCGATCAACGCGCCGGAGATCGTGGGGTTCCACTTGTCCTTGCGCCCTCGCCGCTTCTCCAGTGCCACCTCAATCCCGCCAAAGAGAAAGCCAAAGAAGCAGAAGCTGACACCCATGCGGTGGGCACTGCGCACGCTGTAGCGGAAGAAGTCCGCCGCTCCCATGCTCTGCGTGGCCGTCTCCGCGCTGATCATAGAGCCGAAGAGGGAGAAGCCGAAGCCCATCACGTAGCCACCGCCCACGTTCATCAGCGCCGTGGCCATGGTGCTGTTCTGCGCCACCATCATCGCCTTCCGCATTGGGTCGGCGGGCGGCTGGGCTTCAAGAATGGTGGTCATTGCCGAAGACACCCTAAAATGGAAAGAAGAGAACCGGGGAGGGGGGGGGGTGCACGAAGATGCTACCGGTGTAACTTTCGTGGAATGAAAGAAGATGGAGAGAGAGGAGTGTATTTGTGATGCCGAGGGGGATGGAGGAGGCAGGTGATGGAGGCACGACCGACAAGAAATATCCATACATACACAAGTAAAAGGAACGTGTTCGCACAGGAGGAGACCACACAAGAGAGGAAGAAGAAATCGAGACGTCTCCCTCCCCCTCCTCCCCCTTCCGCCGACAAACAGTGCTGCACGGAGGGGCAATGCGCACATCGCTGCGAGCGTGAACGCCCGCGCCGACACTGGTACGTAAACTGGCATGCCGATAAGAAAGAATGGCACAGCGAGTGTTCCTTTGAGTTCGTTTTCTCATTTCCACCTCGTGCCAGCGATCAGACACACAGGCGACGCAATCAGACTCACACGCCGTCATCATGTATATATATATACATACATGAACACGATGAGCTCTCCCGGTGAAGTAGCAAAAAATGACTTCATTCCAATGGTGTTAGTTTTGAGCTTTCTCATGTTGCTTCTACGCTTTCGCGCGCGAATAGCTCGTGAGAGACGACAGAGGGCGACGTAACGCCGCCACACAGGAGGAAAAATACAAACAAAAAATCCAAAACACGAACACACACAATATATATATATATATACATATACAACCAGTATCGTATCTATGTAACATCTCTACTTCTCTGTGGCTCGGTGAGTCGCGCTATGGCGAGCGACGCGCCTGTCCCCCGCCTGCTTCTGCTTTGTTGAGTTCTACATGACAATCTCCGGTTTGCTCTGCAAGACCGCGATGCGCTGCTGCGACTCCTCACCCCACGCGTCGATGCTGTGCACCGCGACGAACTCGCCGTACCCCGATAAGATGGTCAGCCGGAGATAACGGATGTCGCGACCTGCAACTTCTGGGTCGATGTCGAACACCTCCGTTTGTACCCCACCCACGCCGCTGGCCCCCGCCTGCGCCGCGGCAGCAGGAGGGCCACGCGCCAGCGTGCGCTCGGCCATTACCTCGAAGCCGTTTGCCGTTTCATTGCAGCTCTTCTCTAACCGAATGTCCTTCGCATCGTTCAGCGTCAGCGAGACGCGCGAGATCTTCGCCGAGGAGGCGCGCGTCTGCACGATGATCTCGTGCGGGAAGCCGCCCGTCGTGACGACGAAGGAGGCGGGGGTCTTGGGATCCGTGATGGACGTCCCGGGGAGGTCCTCATCGTGGAAGGTGATGAAGTTCACATCGAGGTAGACACGAGGGTTGGAGGCCGCCATTCTAAATAGTAATAAAAAGAAACACGCTGAGAAACTTCGATACGGCGGGTACACCTTTGTTTCACGTATATATATGTATTTCTAAAACTATAAAAACAAAACAGCGTTGAAGTCGGTCGGAAACAAGAAACACCAAGAGAAAGAGCAGTAACATGCGTGGGAGTTGAAGAGCGACGAGGGGTGCGAGGTCAGCCGCACGCTTGCAAAAGACGCAGGCGTCGCCCGCGGTACATCGGAGGCGGCATCGCTGGCGTGTTGCGTGCACCTGCTTCAGATCTCGTGGAGACATCGTCAACGCCACCTTCGTTCGGGTTTTCGAGCGCCACAACGCATACGGCGCTGATGACAAGTGTGTGGGGCCAAACCCCCACGAAAGGAAATAATAATATTATTAAGTAAAATAGCTACACAATATGCAGCGCAGTACGTCTGCGCAAAGAAGCAGCGCCGCAAGCGTTTTCCCTCTCCCGTCTTGTCCACCGAAAGCAGAGTAGCACCAAAACATATTCGCCAAGACGACGACACCACCACCACCACAAAAGATACGGTGAACTGGAAAGAGAGGAGAACACACACACACATGCACTGAAGCTGCCGACCCGCATTTAAACGTCCATTTAAGGAAAAAAAAGCTTAAAAGAAAACAATTACTCGATGCCCCCGGCCGCGCCCCCCCTTCCCCAAAGGGAGAGCAGAGAAGACGATCACTCATCACGGCCACGCTTGAAGCCGCGACCGCCTCCGCGATTACCACTACCACCGCTACCACCTCGTCCACGACCCCCGGCCTTTCGACGCGGGCCGAGCTCCCACTCCCGCGAGTACCGCACGATGCCGTGATCGGGTCGGTTCACGTTGCCCGCATCCGTCACGTCCCACTGACTGCGACTACCCTTTCTGCGCTCCCGCACCTCGGCCACGCGGGCATCGTGCGCCACCTCCCGCTGCACGTTGCGGATCGTCTTGTTGAAGACCTGCAGAGTGCCGCTGTTCATGTCGTACGTGCCGGACTGCTTCAGCGGGGTCGGGTCACCGACGCGCCGCAGCAGATGGGCGCGACGGAGCTGACGGCGCTGGTAGTCCTGCACTCGCTTGTCCTTTGCGGCGTGCAGCGCGCTGCCCTCGCCGTAGTCCACCGCCTCACCGTGCGTCAACCGCTCCCACGCCCCCCGCTCGCGCAGCTCCTTCTTTTGCTGTGCGACCTGCGCGAGCCGCTCCGCGTACGGGACGGCGCTGTGATTGGCGCAGAGCACCGCTCCCCTTCGGTCTGCCTGCACATTCGTCGGCCGCTTCCCGCCGATCCGCTCAAACTGCTTCCAACCTTGCTCGATGCGCTCCTCCATCGTCATGTTGTCGGCGTGCAGCGCGGCGGTCCGGGCGTACACGTCTTGCAGATCTTCGTTGATGCGCTGGTGGTGCACGAGCAGGTCCCGATGATCCGCGCGTTTCTTCTTGCTGTTCTGCATGAAGGTCGTCGCGTGTGCGGCATTCTCCTCGTAGTGGATGCCGCGGTGCAAGGATCGGGGCCCCTCGATTCTGTTGCGCTCCTTCACAATCTGGCGTGTCGCCCTGCTGTGCAGCGGAGGCATTGCTGCTGCGCGGAAACAGACAGAAGAAAAAGAGAAAAAAAAAAGCTAATACGGAGTAGGAGGGGCTCCTGCGGAGGTGAATATACTTGCACGCACACGTAGCACGTATATAAATAAAAAGGACAACAACGGGTGCGTATGGGAGTGCGTTATACAGCGACGCTGTTGGTGTGTTGTTGTGAGGAGAGGTAGATGTGGAAGGGAGACAAAATCAGAAGTTGTGTTGAGCACACACACACAGACACAGACTCTCTCTCTTACTGCGCAGGTATTTGATGATATGCGCAAAAGAGAAAAAGAAGAGGAGCGACAACGATCTCTTCAAACCCTCTCCCGTATTTCTTCCACTGTGACAGCTGTGTTCTCCTTTTGGTGGGTATCGCGAGAGACGAATGACGTGAGGGCGCATCCAGAAGAAACAACCAAACATAAAACACTTAACATTGTTAAACAATCACATCGCAAAAGAGAGAGAGAGAAAGGAAAAGAAATGACATTCTGAAACACACGAACACACACCGAGAGAGAAACGAAATGGTCGGCTTCTGCAACAGCGGCAACCAACGGCCAGCGAACCAAACAATCCTCCTCCCCGCTCCCCCACCCCATCTCACAAGTCTCCGCGGAGCTCCACGTTAAATTTCCCTCCCGCCTTCCGCGCCGCCTCGGCCGCCTTGCGCATCGTCGCATTCATGTCCTGCATCGCGGCCCGCATCTCTTTGGTGTTGCCCGCCGCAAACGTCGTGTTCATCATACGCCGTTGCTGCTCCACCAGCCGACGCAGCTGCTCATGAAACTCGCGCTGCTGCTGTTCCTTCTGCCGCATCTCGTTCACCTTACTAATACCGAGCCGATCCACGATGTAGTAGGAGCCAAAGCCCATTAAGAGGAGGGCGATGAGTGGAACCCACAGCGCGTTTAGGTAGGCCAGCCAGTACGACGGCTGATGATGCGCCTCCTCATAGCCGATGTGACCCCGCGCGTAGCGAAACAGCTTCGGGTCCTCGCACATGGCCACGAGCTCCTCGGCGGTGCCGACAGCGACGTACCCGTCCAGGTTCTGCAGCACCTCCGAGTACAGCTGCTCCTCCTTCTGCCGTGCGCTCATGGACGGGTAGGCGTCTTGGATGCTCGCCGCGGTTACATCCTCCTCCTCCTCTGCCGCCGCTCCCTTCTGCTGCGTGGGCAGCGGGGGCTGCTGGCTGACGTCCTTATCGACGCCGTTGCGGTCCACCTCGCCTCGCTTCACTTTCCGCAGGAACTTTACGTTGTCCACCACGTTGGCCGCGGCGGTGGTGCGCGGCATGGCGAACCACGTCTGCTCTGCCCGCTGCACCCACTCCACATCACGCGCCTTCTTCGGCTGCGGCTCGTGCAGCTCCTGGATCGCCTTCACCACGATGCGGCGACGACGGGCTTCGCTGACCTCCCCCTCCTCCGCCGCTGCCGCCGCCGCCGTTTCGCCTTTCTTTGAGCTTTTCCCTTCTTCCTCCTCTGCCATTAGCGACTGCCACGCCGCCACTTGCAGGGCGAGCTTCGGCTTGTACAGGTCGCGCATGAAGCTGGCCCACACCGGGTCGTACTTGAACTTCTGCTTCACCGTTAAGTAGGTGAGGACGTTGTGGAAGCCGTGGTCGTAGACGAGGCGCTGCAGGACCTGCTGGGCCGCCTCCTCATCGCCGTGCGCGTACTCGCGGCCTTGCTTTCGAACTTCGAGCAGCTCCTGCACGAGCGAGGGACGCGAGGCGTAGCGGAAGGCGCTGTCCTCGATGCGCGACTCCGCCGGCTGCGTCTTGTGGAGCACGTACAGGTTATAGTACTCCCACCACAGATCCAACACCGTCGCAACGTTGCGCGGGGATGGGGCAACGTGCGAGGGACGCAGCAGCTGCCACAACGCCGCCTCCACCTCCACCGGAGCGACACCACGACCGGGGAAGTGCGGACCGACCGGCGTGACGCGACGTGCCTCTGCCGCCTGTGAGGCGGACGGCCTTCGCTTCGCCGTGGCGCCGCTGCCGCTGCCGCTGCTTCCGTCTTTATCTTCGTCGTCGCTGATGACTTCCATGCGGGACGGATGACTCTGCTCATGCGCAGGGGAGCCGTGAAGAGCGTCCCCGCCATCGCCCTCCTCCCGCCAGCGCATCACAGCGTGCGAGGCCACCGGCTGTTGCGGTAACGACGACGGTGGTGGCGGCATCAGCAGCTGTGGAAAGCGGTGGAACAGTGTTGCGCGACTCAGATCGCCGCCCGGCACCTCGCAGTGCGCACTGCCGCCATCGACAAAGACATCCTTCGTCAGCAGCACCGGGTTCACAAAGGGACAGCAGTGCGCAAACTCCAAGCACAGCAGCAAGTCGCTTGGGCGAGCCCTGCGCTCCGCCAAGTCCTCGCCTGCGGTGTCCTGCTCCCACGTCGTCTGACCGACGCCGCCGTCAGCGGTGACGGCTGGAAGGAAGGAGAGGTGCACGGCTAAGTAGCATCCCTGCGCGTCCGCCCCGTCCGCGAAGACGACGCTGCCGATGCCGCGTGCTTCATCGTAGACAAAGTCCTCGACCGTGCCGTACTGCTGGAAGAAACCGAAGACGAACTTCTTCGAGAGGGGCCGCACGTCGGGGTTCTTGGAGGGGGTGGGATTCGTCGCGGGAGAGGAAGAGGCGAAAGCAGCGCCGCTGCTCCGCTGATAGGGCAGCTGGCAGGGGAAGCCCGCGAAAAGGATCTCCTTGCAGAGCTGCAGCTGTCGCGGCGAGCCGTGGATCGGGCGGGCTTTGTTGCCGCCCCCTGCGACGGTGGCCGCAGTCGGCCGGTGCGTGCGCTGCCGCATTGAGAAAGACGACATCGCTTGAAATAAATAAAAATAAATACGCGAATGCAAATTCTTGTATGTGTTTCTCCTGCGTTCTCTTCGACGTCCGCGTCAATGCCGGCCGTGGGTGTGTGTGTGCGTGTGTGTGTGTTGAGGTGACAGGTAATGATAGAGGGCTTCAGAGGAGGCGGGAGAAGAAAGGAAAGAGGGGAGGAGGGGAAGGAAGGGAGGGAAATGTGAAACGGTGTTAACAGCGGAGAAGAAGAAAAAAATAATAAAACTGGCGCGAGGTTCACTACCTGGCAAATAGTAATAATAATGATAATAATAATAATAAAACAAACAAACAGAAAAAGGCATTCCACGTCGGCCGTTCCATCGCGCTGTGCTCCTCAGACCTCTTGAGATGTCGAGGTGCATTCAAGAAACCCCCTTCAGATGTTCAGCGCTCCCTCACGGAAAAAGGGAGAGCATTCGTGCCTGTATGTCTTCTTTACTGAGCCAAGAGCGTGTGTGAACTAATAACCACAGACACAGTGAAGACTTGTGTCCTATACAAAAGGTTAACCGGAAAGGACGGATTCCGCCGCACGTGCACTCACACACGTGCCTGTTGAGTTCTCGGAAGACGTCGGCGCACACACAGGACAAAGAGCGATGTATAGAAAAACAAGCCCATAAACAAAGCCCTCAAGAGGAATGAGAAGAAAGCCGTCTTCTTCCATCAAAAGTGGATGAAGGCGTGAGATGAAAACGAAACTAACAACACCCTCGTTGACTCCTTCCGGTTCAGGGAAGGAGGGAGACGAGAACAACGAAGAGGAAGAAAGGAAAAGAAAAAAGAAACAAGTAAAGTGTCAACAGATATCGTTACATCCCGTCTATCGTGTTGTTTTTTCCAACTAAGGACTGACACCGTTTGATGCACCTGTTGTGCAACTCAAGGGATTATACGAAAGGAAGTTTCTTGCGTGCGCAGATCGTCTGCGTTTCCGCCTCGTGGGGTGGGAGAGAGGAGAACGGGAGAGTACACAACACGTCGCCTTCGATGCATCGCCCGGTGTTTCCCCCTTTTTCCCCTTTCCTTCACGTCGCAAGCCTTCAGAAAAAACCGAACACGCAAATAAAAACCCCGTTGGGCGGGCTCACCGCACGTGCGGACGGGGCGACCTCATTAAAGGAGAAAACAAAAAAACCCAACAACACAAACGATTTGGGAGGTGCGAGGAGACGACCTCTCCCTCCCTCCCCCATCAAACTAATACACCGGCGGCTCCCATTCCTTCCCCCCAAACAGCACGACTCGCGCCCGCAGCGCCTTCTCGAACTCTTCGCGCGATACGTTGTACTGCGGCAGGCGCGTCTGCGTGAAGTCGATGCCGAGGTACTCGACCATCCAGTCGTAGAGCTCGCCCGGCGTGGTGGGGTGCTCCTCGTGCGGCACCGGCGGCGCCAGCTCTCCGGTAGGCGGTGCCGCGTCGGGCGCGCCGGGGTAGGCGTTCAGCGTCCGCACCGACACTCGTGATTCCGTCTCCACTCGCAGGCCGTGCACGCCACGCGGCACACACACCCACCCCCCCACCCCGTTCGGGATGCCCTGCGTGCCTTCCGGCGCCCACGTCGTCACCGTGCGAGAGCCCCGCAGCGAGTACCCGATGACGGCGAGTTGGTAGGTCACGTAGTTCATCGCGAAGACGTCACGCGGGTACTGCGGCTGGAGGTCAAATCGGTGGATGGCCCGCCAGGTGCCACTGTGCGCGTGCATCTCAAAGGCGTACTCCGTCCACCCCTCGTCAAAGCCGCCCACCGGACGTGCGTAGTGCATCATTTCCTTGTTGGTGCAGAGGTCGTACTTGGATATACGGAACTCCCCGGCGGGGGTGAACTGCGAGGCCGTCGTGTCCAGCCGCAGCGGGCCCATCGGCACGCCGGCCGAGGTGCCGACGTCCACCACCCACCGCTCCTCCTCCCCCTCCTCGCCGTGGATCGTTACTAAGTTCATCACATGCAGACGCCCCGTCGCGACCGCCTCATCTGGGATGACGGACCGCCCGCCCAGCGTGCGGATGTGCGTGAATCCCGCATCCACCATCGCCGCGCGCAGCAGACTGTTCTGCTCGATGCAGTACCCGCCCCGCCTGGCGTGAATCAGCTTGTTGTAGAGGTCCGCGAGGTTTGTGGAGATGGGCCGGCCGAGCAGCACGTCGACGTTTTCAAAGGGAATCGTGCTGAGGTGCGCGAGGACTAAGTTGCGCAGGAAGTTGACGCCCAGCGCGCCGGGGGTGGTGGAGGTGTTGGCGGTGACGAGCGGCAGGAGAGTCGTTGTGGCCCCGATGCGCTCGTAATACGCCTCTCGGGGGAACGGCACGGACGTCATGGTGAGCAGAAAATGAGGGAGCGAATGCTGCTGTGCGTGTGCGACGACGCACAGATCGCAAAGCACGCACACACACACAGAAAGAAAGGGGTGGGTTACTTACCTGGAGAGAGCAGTACGCTGTTTCTTCTGCTTTGCTCTGTGACGCGGGGAATTGTTTTGCGTTCCCTTTGAGAGGTGTGGCGGAGGAGAGGAAAAGGCAAGAGCAAAAGCTGGGAGCGGTTTCCGATGGACAGGGGCAAATGACCTCCCTCCCCCCGCCCCCCCCCCCCTCCCCTCAAAGCGAAGGTGGGGACGGAGGCAGACACCAAATACATACATATATATATATATATATATATCGAGGCCGGATGATACGAGGTACATCGCACACCTGTTCATGCACGCCCGACACAGGCAACATCGTGGACGCAGAAGAAAGTGCTGCAGACGCAAATACGAATTAAAAACCTGTCGTTATTCGTTGTTGGGACACGCGCTGCGCAACAACAACTTCGATAGGAAAAGAGAGAAAAAGCAAAGCAAAACGTGAGCTAATTCGTGTGAAGCTCGGAAAAAATAATAATAATACGATAACGTCGTCGTCACACACAGCAGTGCATCGTAAGTCGTATTACGTTGCTGCAGTGCTGTCAGAGGGTGGGCGTGCATGATGGGTGGCAAGTCAAGACCCTCGCTACGCACACACACACACACGCATATATATACATGTGTGTACACAACAACGATCGTAAGAATTGCCATGAGAACAGAAAGGTTCCTGCTGCTTCAGAAACGACAACAACGGCAAAAAAAAAATGAGATAGAAAAACATGCGACGACAACCGCGACGACCATCAAGGTTTTTTTATCTTATCTTCAGAAGTTGTGCGGGGACTGAAAGCCGCTCCCGCCAAACACCTCCAACCGGTCCCGCGCCGCCCGCTCGAACTCGTCCCGCGACACGCTATACTGCGGCAGCCGCGTCTGCTGGAAGTCGATCTGCAGCTTCTCCTTCATCCAGTCATAGAGCTCGCCGGGTGTGGCGGGGTGCGACTGCGCACTCGGCAACACGCCGCCCACCCCCGGCAACAGGGCGAGCGCTGCGTCTGGCACCAAAAAGGCTGGTTTGGCGGCGGTGGTGCACTTATCGCTGCGCGCTACCACCGAGTACACGCCGCGAGGGACGAAGGTGTAGCCCGTCGCCGATACCACGGCGTGTGCGCTGTCCTTCTCGGCCGGGGTCGGCGTCCGCACCCACGTCCCCTCCGCCCGGGCGGCCTGCACGCATCCGCGAAAGAGCGACTCTTGATACACGACGAAGTTCATCATGTAGATGTCGCGCAGCCACTGCGGCTGGAGATCAAAGTGGTATAAGGGCCGCCACCCGCCTCCCTCCACCTGCAGCTCCACCACGTTCTCGCTCCAGCCACCGGTGAGCTCAGGGACTGGGTTGCGCGTGCGGACTCGCATGACGCCGGCGATCGTCTGCTGCGGCTCCGCCGTGTCCAATCGCAGCGGCGCCCGCGGCACCCCAGCCCCAAAGCCGACGTCCACCATCCACTGCCGCGTCCCGCTCCCCGTCGCGTCGTCCTCAGCGGGAAGGGTGACGATGTTGAGGCGATGCGTCCGCCCAAGCGGGGAGTTCTCCCCATCCCACAGCACCCGCGCGGCGACCGGGCGCACGTCCGTGAAGCCGGCGTCGCGCAGGGCCTCGTAGAAGAGACCGTTCTGCTCAAAGCAGTAACCGCCTCGCCTGGCGTGGATGAGCTTGTCGTAGATGTCAACGGGGGCGACCGAGACGCGGCGGCCAAGCAGCACGTCGATCGTCTCAAACGGGATGGCGCTCGTGTGGGCGAGGATGAGCTGTTGAAGAAACTGCATGTTCACGCTGGGGCTGCCCACCTGCACTTGTGTCCCTTGCGGAGCCAGCAGCGGCAGCAACGCCTTGGCTGCCCCGATGCGCTCGTAGTACGCCTGGCGGGGGAAGAGGACAGCGGACATGACGTCGCAAAAGGAAAAGAGGCGAAGAGAACGAGTCAGATCAGGAGCAGCAGCCACATGCTAAAAACCAACACCACAGAAAGATACGGCGAGGAGCCGCACCGGTGCTCCGGATAACACGGATGTGGGAAATAAAGTGTGAGATAAAGAGACGGGAAAAGTAATAGAAGCTGAGATACACAAACAATAAAAAAAGCGGCAACGGCGAGAGGAAAGGAAAAGGAGAGAACACACAACAAGATTGTGCGACCGCCGATGGCGCACAGAGCAGCTTACGATAGGTTGAATCAAAAACAAGGTAGATCGCTCTCTATCTAGGTTTTCGCGACGGTGGGGAAAGAATATATTCTCGCCTCGTGCTTGCTCAATGCAGAGTACTTCTGTAGCAAAAGAAGAAACAAAGAAACAGCAGTGTCATTTGATGGTGGCGGTCCTTTGCCTACGACGTGAGTGTGTGTGTGTACGTGCGTGTATGTGCGATGCAGCAGAAGAAGAGCAGGCGGAAAAAAGAAGAAGGGGGAAGGCGATAGATGAAAAAGGAGAGAAAAACCACCACCACCACCACCACAGTGCATGATCAGAGCTGTGAGTGCCGATAACGCAGATCGTCGCTGACGATTGAGAAAGCAGTACGCACAGACGGCTTTGCATTATTATTGGAGGACGCTTTCTCCGAACATAACAGTAGTAGTGAAAGCAAAGCACCAGTTAGCGCTGAAGAGGTGTGTTACCACGAACACACGCACACCCTCGTGAATCTCTTTCCCCCTTTCAGAATGCCGCCTACACACACACGTAAAAGTTTCGATGCGGTCCGCGAAACGACATCGTTTGACAGCAGTGTCGCTGCTGATGTACACGCAGCGCGCTTTACTCCTCTCTGTCTCTCTCTCTCTCTCTCGTTCTTATTATTATTATTGTCTGATGCTTCCGTTACTTTCGTGTTGAACGATCTTTGCCGGGGCATTCCCAAATCAACGTCAACATCAACGCTTCATACACACGCCACACACGGATATACATATATGTATTTTTATAGAATGCTCCTGGAAAAAAGATGTTCAGCAGTTCCGTTAGGAAGTAGAAAGAGTCGACGTCAGCTTTTCATTTTGTTCTCCCGCAGCCGATGAAACCTTGAAAATAATAAAGAAATAGTGAAGCAAAACGAGAAGCGAACAGATACAAAAAAGAAGGGTCGAAAGATATTAACAACGACAAGGAGGGGGGAGGAGGAGAAGGAGGAGGTCAGTGAGGGAGAGACCACGTTTGTTGACGTGCGTGTGCGTAAGTGTGTGTAGGTGCAGCAGGTTGTGCTCTTCACCGTAGCTTTCCACTCCTTTTCCTGCACGACACGTTCCCTTCTCTTCCCCGCTCCGTCGTGGAGAACCGACACCGATAACAAATGAAAACGTTCAACTAGCGAACAGACCACAAGCAAACTACCTGCTGGCAAACCGAGAGAAAACAGCTAGTCACTCCCCCCTCCCCCCGACGCCCTCTCGACAGCTGATGGCGTTCGGTGTGCCTTCTCACACCCATACGCCGCCATCGGCTTTACAATAATGAGAATAGTAATTGACGTGTATGCAGACTTGGTGTGCTAGTGGCGGCCAAACAAACGGAGAAGGGCGGGTAGAGCAGGAATCATACAAAGAAAGAAAGGATGCGGCCGTGGACACAGAAGTGGCACACAGACCGCATATATGTATATATATCTCCCTTTCAAGCACGGTGAGTCGCGGGAGAAGGGGAAAACATATTTCGCCGGTGAGAGCGTCAAACCAAGATCAACAGCAGCACTCAAAAGGAAAGAGATGACGAACCGGGGAAACGACAGAAATAAATCAAGGGGAGAAAACTCCTCCAGACGTAAGTAAAGAAACCAAACCAGAGAGAAGGAAACACAAGACGAGGCGACGCGTGCGGATCGCCGATGCGCTGCGGAGTCGCACTTGGCATCGTCCAACGAGAACGCGTCTTTCCTTCGATTTTTCCTTTCCCTTCGATTTCTTCAGCAGCGGGACTCTGTGGGGAAGAAGAAGAGGAAAGAAAAAAAAAAACACATTCATAAGACAACAGAAGTTATGACAGCTCTCACGCACCTGTGTAGCGATGTCGCACACACTTACCTTTTCAAAGGAAAAGGATTTGGGGAGGAGAGCCAAGAACAAGAAAACGACATAAGTAAGGGAGGAGGGGCAGTGCCCACCGATGAGGAACCACAACAGCCAGACAACTCCGACAAACGCAAGCGGAAAGAGGAAGTGCAGAGGACAATACATACCTATCAACCGTTTGTCTTCTCCTGATCGTCCCCAAACGTGTCTGTTGATGAACCGCCCTTCTTCCCTTGTTTCTTCTTCTTGCATTTTTCCCCTTTCCCAGATGCACAGCCCTTCGTGCAGGGAGTCTCATTGGGCATGTGTGGGATCAGTACACGTTCGGGTCCACACTTTTAGCGTAATTCATTTCCTCCCGCAGGTACACCATCTCCTCCGGCGTCCACTCGTTCTCCATGTGCATGAAGTCACGGATACGCTGCGCACCCGCCATGATATCGGGTGCTCCCTTCGCGATTTCATCGATGCGCATCGCCATGTACGCCGCACAGAGCGCCGTGAGTTGGTCACAGCGAAGAAACATGGAACAGTTCAGCAGGTCCACCAGGTAGTCGTTCTTCTCGGCCGCCGTCACGAGGTCCATCGCCGCAGCGGACACCACGCTCTTCAGGTCCTGCGTCAACGGGCGCGGGATGTTGCTGGTGCGATCGATCGGCGGCAGCAACGCGTACTCCTGCACGACGTCGAGCACCCTGTCGCTGTACTCCAAATCCTCCACTTTCAGCTCCTCCGCGTCCTCGGCCTGATCCTCATCGCCCGCCTCCATGTCGCCGTGGATTTGCTTCACGATGTCGAAGACGGCGTCCATGTTCAGGATACCGAAGAGTTCGTTGGCGATGGCGATCGGCACCCGCACGACGTGCTTGTTTCTGTTGCCGATGCAGAAGCACTCCTCGGTGGACATGGCGGACAGCAAGAAAAACGGAGGGAGAGGTATGTAAGGTATGTGTGTGTGTGTTTAAGTTGCCTTGATGATGCCGTGAGCCAGCGAAAGCTTAAAAAAAAAGGTAAAGAGGAGGACGACGATTTGGGGTGGACGCACAGAAGCAAAGGCTGTAAACGCAGACTCGTGGGAGTTTTCTAAGAAGAAAACAAACAACAAAGGAAATGGTTGATGGAGACGTCCGTGAGCCGACGGGAGCAATTATCGGCGAGTCAATGGAGCGTGAGAGCACAGCGAAATGAAACGTCAGAGCGGAAGGAAGTGAGGAAAGGTAGCGACGTCAGCAGCAGAACATACCGAAGAAGACTCTTTTCATGAAATGTACGTCGTGGAGGGACTACCAGTAGCCCTCTGCCGCGCTCGAGAATGCAGACAAGCACACACACACACACACACACACGCGCGCGTGTGCGTGCGCTGCACATGGCCGTTAATGCAACGTCGAACTGCCTTTTGAGAGAGAGAGAGAAAGAACGAGGGGAGAGTACGTCGTCCGCGCAACACGGGTGCAATCGCTGTAAAAAAAAAAACCAAACCAAAAACAGAAGCAAAAAACCCGACCATTACAAGAAACGGAGCCAAAACCAACAACAGGAGGAGGAGGACGACGCCGTCGTCTTGAGCCGCACTCTCTCCTTCGGTTTGTGCCTCTGCCGTACTTCCACACACGGACACACAGACACCACAACACAAATAGTCAACCCCGACAGATACACCCCGAGTCACGCGGCACACGCGCTCTTTAACTAATCATAATAATAATAAGAAATGAAGAAGAAACCGGGAAAACACGCAACAACATGTACACCTGGCGAGTAATACAATGGATAAGGAACAAAGCGGCAACGCTGATGTGTGGCTCTGCACAACTGCAGAAGAAAAGGTCTTCGGCACACGGTGCCACAGAGGAACAAAAAAGAAGAGCCCGCAGACAAAGGGAAGTACTCGAAGTTTCTTTTCCCCTACAGCAAAAAGGAAGCGATAGAGACTCCATGAAGAACACGCACACACACACAAGCAAGGAGAAACGTCAACCTGCGGGAGCAGCGAAAGAGGTCTTATTCTGCCTCTTCGTTGGCGGGCCATTCGTTTTCGAGCTTCAGACAGTCCGTCTCTCGCCTGTTCCAGTCGCTCGGCACCCGCAGGCACTGCCGGATCAGGTGTGCCGCCTCAAAGTTGTCCGTCGCACCGTAGGACACACGAATCATGAAGTCCGCCAGCCACCCCGTGCAGAGCGCGTGCAGCGGGTCGATTTGTAGCTGCTTGGCGGCCCGCATCACCTCGACAAGGGTGTGCACGCCTTCCGAGGGAGGCGGCGGCGTCATCAGGGCCGCCTTCGCGCGGGCGTTGCGCAGGCACGGCCCCGGGCAGAAGTAGTCGAAGTCCGGGCAGACTTCTTGGATGGCGAGGGCGGCCGTCAGCACCGACTCCGGCGCACCGAGGAGGTCGAGATAGAGGAATGAGCGCTCCCACGGTGAGAGGAACGTCACGAGTGGCCGCGTCAGCGGCATCGGGATCGCCGCCGGCCCACACGGTAGTACGTTCGCCGCCTCCGCTGAAGGAGCAGCACCCACGCCAGCACCTGCGACAGCGGCAGCAGCAGCACCGGACGGCGGCGGCAGAGGTACACTAATGATGACAGGGGCATTAATAGAGTTGTAACTGCCGGTCAATGAGTCGGCCTCGCTATCGCTGTTGTTGTCGCTGCTGCTGCTACCGCTGACGTCAGTGGATGAGGACGTCGATGAGGTGGCGGTGCTGCCGTCGCTGCTGCTGTCGCCATCGCCGTTTTCTTGGTTGAAGGAGTGATCGGGGTCGTGTTGCTGCTGTTGCTGGCGGCGATGGCGGTGGCGGCGGCGGCGACCGCGTTTACGCCTTTTCGCTTTCATGGCTGCTGCTGCTGCTGCTGCGGCGGCGGCCTGCGCTTCCGCCTCTGCGAAGTGCGTCATGTATTTAATGCATAGCACCAAGATGCTGGAATGGATGATCATCTTTGGTCCAGGCGGTGCTGCGGCTGCTGTGGTGGTCGTTGATTCACCACCCGTTGCTGTGATTGCTGCTGCTGCTGCTGCTACTGTAGGGGCTGTGGTGGGATCTACGAACTTGTCCCTGCTCGCCTCATCACCTCCTGCCACCGTGCCCCCAGCTGACGTCAGAGTAAGTGAGTCCTGCCCGGTGCTCATCACATCGGGCGACCCGATGGCCTTTCTCAGCGACTGCGGCGACATCATCGACGTGGACAGGCTCGTGTGCACGGAGGAGATCACGGGCAGCAAGTCGAAGACGATGGCGCTGGAGGTGATGCGGATGCCGTCGCTGTACACAAGAGAGCTGCCCGGGTCGGCCGCCAATGATGCTGCGGCAACGGTGGTGGTGTCGTCGCTCGCTGTCAACCCCCGCGACGGTGCGGTTACCTCTGTTCCCCCGACAGCAGAAGCTCGAATCGGGTTCGTGCTGTTCTGCTTCGCCGCCGGCACCGTTGCTGCTGCTGCGGCGCCGTTTTCTTCCTTCTCCGCCTCCTCCACCACGCCGTTTTCATCATCGTCGCTGACCATTGCGCCGACGTCGTCTTCGTCTGCGATGCACGGCGTGCGTTGGTGACAGCTGGTGGGCGAGCGCCAGTCCGGTGCAGGGGAGGCACTGAGGTGGCCGCTGCCGCTGCGGAAGCTGCCGGGCGTGTGAGAGGGCGTCGTGGAGGATGCGGCGGCGGCGGTGGTGGTGGTGGCTGCTTCCATCGGCTCAGGAAGGGTACAGGAATCACGTGCGCACCCATTACTGTTGCTGCTGATGTTGATGCTGATGCCGCTGCCGCTGCTGTCCAACACCACATCGTCCGTGTCTTCCTCTGCAGCACCGGCCGTAACGACCACCGCGCTGCGCCGACGCTCAATGAAGCCGTCCCGCGAGGAAGGCGACGTCAGCTTCTTATCGTCGTCTCTGTTGCCGCTGGAGGTGTGGACTTCGGCGTTGCCGTTAGGGGAGCCAAGGGCGGGAACGACAGGATCCGCGTCACGATTCGGCACATCGGCATCGCTATGGACGTTTGTTGACGTCGCTATCGCTGCTGCCTCCGGTGAAGGCGAGGGCGACGTGGGCGAGACGACGCCATCGATCGGTGCCGCCGCGTCGTCGAGGCCCTCGTCGCCCAGGTTGCGTGGGTCGGCCTTGCCATGCACCTTCGCCGGTCCGACACCGTCGCCGCTACGCACCTGCTCCTCCGCCTCCACCTCCTCCTCACTCAACACGCTCGGGGTAGATTGATCTGCGTCCATCAACGCGGACGGCGACGTCTGCGAACCGTGGCCGTCGGGTGAGATAACCATGTTCGCCGGCAAGCGCGTGGCCGCCCCGTTCTGCACGGCCGGGAGCTGGTTTCTTACCACACAATCAACCGCATCACCAGGACCACCGGTGATGCCCGTGGAGGCGGACACGCCGGACAAGCCACCGTTGCAGCTACTCCCATTACCCTGTCCAGACGGCTCATCCCCCGCCGCATCCCGTACGAGGGAGGTCGGCGGGGATGACGAAACATCTCGCACAAAGGGACTGATGGAGCGCGGCGCGGCCCCTAAACCGCTCCCTACTACTCCGCCGACAGACGCGGTCGCGTCTCCGTTGCTGCTGTCCATCGTCTTTGTCGGCGTGGTGGAGCTCGACATTGATCCCTCGTGCGGCGACGGCAGCACACTCGCGGTGCGGTCGGAGTCCTCGCTGTCGTCGACGATGTCGCCCTCCGCAGGCGCCCCGCCGCTCTCCACCGCGTCCGCCTCTTCCCCATTCACCGGCACGCTCACCATGCGCATTACCTTCGGCTGATCCACCTCGCTCCCCACCAGCGCCTCTTCACCGGCGGCGGCGGCCGCCCGCCCGTCTAAGTTGTTCAGCGTGTCCTCAATCATGCCGCTGGTGGCTGAGACATCGCTGGCCGTCTCATCGTAGTAGCCCTCGATGAAGCGCTCGTCGGGGGTCTCCTCCGGGTCGTCGGCTGTCGCATCGGTGGTGGTCGCGTCGTCGGCGTCCTCGCCAGGCAGGCTACCGCTGCGGCCGGCGTGCGCAGGGGGCTTCATCTGCACTTGATAGACCTCCGCCCACTTGCGCAAGGCACCCTCGAGGAGGTGCGAGTGGGCGACAGTTTGGGCGCTAAGCGAGAACGTTTCGCCATCGCTGGAGATGATGGTGATGACGGGCTCGATCGGCACCGCAGGCGAGCTCGTTTCCATCTTCGTTAATTGCGTGCACGTTTATTGGATTGTGCCCCGTATCTCTCTCGCTCTCTCTCCCCCTCTCTCGGTGTGCGAGTGCGTTTCTCTGGGAATGATGCGAGAGAAGTGGTACGGTGTCTTGTGAACTCAGCCCTTCCCTACGCACCTATATATATATATCCTTTTCCTTTTGCTGTGTGTGTGTGAAAGCGGAGAGGCGACACGTATGCCGTGGCAGCACCAGGGACTGAAAGATCGACGACAGAGCAATGAGACCGTCAACAGCAACACCAACAAGCGAACACGGAGAGGTAATTACGAGAAAAAAAACACAAAGATAGTGAATAACCAAAAAAAAAATATGTGTAGATGCAGAAACTAAATACATAGCAATAACTCGTGTGAATCCCCCGAACAACGGCAGCGGAGCCGCAACACCGGCAACGACCACGGACGAACAACGGCAGCGGAGACGGCGTGCACCGACGCCACCTTTTCCTGCGTCGATGACACCACAAGCAATAAGAATAAATATATATGACAAAAAAGGACAGTGGAATTAGCAAGCAATGAGCCTTTTTCCCTTTTGCGAAATCTGATATATATATGTGTGTGTGTGTGTGAAGGAGCGACAACGGCGGCGCTGAGGAACAACAACAACAACCAAAGAAGAACGAAATTCGGCAGCGACACGGCCGAGGTGCGAATACGCTGCGGGCAGCCGCAATAGCAAAAAATAAATCGCAATTAAGGAAATCGGCCAACCACGAAACGAGGGAGTTTAAGACGAAGGCACAAAAGTTGAGAACAGCCGCGTGTTGTAGCCACAGTTCTTGTTTTTCCCCCTTTGCGCGTACGTTCTTGCGGTTCTCTCACCTCCGTAGGGGGGAGGGGGGGGGGGTGGTTGGGCCCGCTGGATCGGCTCCCTCCTTCTATGTAGTTCAACGCACGTCTCAGCAGACGCTGGCGGCAAAAAAAAACTCGGACAATAAATGGTGAGAATACGCAGAAGCTTCAAAAGCAGCACCGTTGCAATAATGAAGGAGGTAGTGATGACGACGGACACAGCGATGACGCAACAAAGGAATACCAATTACAGAAAACGAGGTGAAGCGGATCGATGATGATGATGATGACGATGATGGCGGAACGCAAAGGTGAATACGCCGTGCGCACCGTCCACGCAGTGGAAGAACGATCACGGGATGGTCTTACGACCCGCTTTTTTCAAAGGTAGTTCTCTTTTTTACTTCTCCGTTGAGCTAGCTCGTGCCCGCAGGGGCCGAGGGGGGGGGGGGTTGCGTGGAGCGGCATACGTGCAGGGTGCGGTAACAAGCCAACAACACCAAGAGAAACGCCGGTAGAGGTGAGTGAGATAAGTTGACGCTTCACCGCTTCTTTTCTTTTCTTTTCTTTTAATTTAATTGGAAGGACACACACACACACACACACAGTTCATGCGGCCTTGCCGTGAGAAGCGCGTATGTATGTGTGTGTGTGCGTGTACTCACGTATAGCACTGCTTATTTATCTTCCTTTGTTCGCTGCGATAAACATTGCTGTGGCAGAAACGCACAGCCCTCCCCGACATTCACGCGCTCATCACGCCGGCTGACAAAAAACAAAAAGAAGACCACAAAGGTAGCGACGTTTATTGCGGACACACGTCACGTCAGACACGCTTGTCCGCCATCAGCTGCCGGTGTCGCTGGGAGTCGCCCAAGGTCCACCAACGCACCTCCCCGTTGCGCAGGTACACCTCGCGAAGGATGCGTACGGCGTCATAACGGGTGTCATCACCCTTCTCCATTTCCTCATCCGCCCCTGGGAAACAACTGCGTGGAGTATTCTCACCGTACACCTTACTGTCTTCTTGCTTCGCTTTACCGCCTTCATTTTTGCGCTCCTGCTCCTGCTGTTGCTCCGGCGTAACGAGAGATGTCCGCAACGAAGGGGACAGGGAGTAGCTGCAAAGGACAGCCGCAGCAATAGAGACGGCGTAGGGCTGCTCACTTCTCGATAAAAAGCGCTGAAAAGCAGAGCGACCACCCCCGCCTGGTCCCCTGTACACCAGATTTCCCACATCGATTTCGCCTTCTCCTGACTGGAGTCCCCGTCCTCGTCGTTGTCGTCATCGCTGTCGTGCCAGCCGCGACGGCGCTTCCCCTCACGCGTTGCTCGGCGCTGCTTTCCTGCGCCGTCCACTGCGGGTGCCTTCAACGCCAGCCCGGTCAGGGTGGCCACCGTGAGGGGAGCCGACTGGCGTGTGGATGACGCGGCGCGGTGACCTTTCGTTGTGCTCTCCCCTATTACCGAGGAAGTTGAAGCAGTTGTGGTAGACGCCGAGACCGGCATCTCGCGCAGCAGGCGCGGGCTGCCTTCGCCGACCACCACCACCTCCTCCTCCTCCTCGATCAGGCGACGGCACAGGTAGTGCATCACACGACGCAGCACCGTGAAGGGCACGCTTTTGACCTGAAAGCCGTCATCGCGGCCGTGAGAGGCGATGCGGCAGCACTCGACGTACCACTGGGATACCCACAGCGGAAACAACGGGTGTGCGTGCGAGGCGGCAGAGGACTCGCCGGGTGAGCCAGCTCGGCCTGTGTGGTTAGTGGCAGTGTGTTTGTACACCTCCTGCCACAGCTGCGCTACAGTCGCGGCGTCGAGCGAAGCGCCTGCGTCATCGGTGTTGCTTTGTCCGGAAATAGACGCCTGGTGCGCTGGGTGGGCGTTCCCATGTGTCTTCTGCCCCTCACCGACCGTTTGCGTCTTCTTTCCTCGGCTGTACGGCGCGCAGGCGGTATCCCACGCATCCTGCACACGCGCCACAGCCACCGGGGCGGTGGGATGGCACGCCTCGACTCCCCCGCCCCCTCGCTGCTCCGCCTCCGCCGCCACTTCGACGGATGGAAGGGCGAACATGCACTCGTAGCACAGCGCGCACCACGAGCTGAAGAGCGGGCCGTTAGTGCTGAGTCGAACGAGGGCACGCACCAACGATCGGTGCGCATCGGCGTAGGGCGAGCTGGGTGATGCGTAAGGCTCGTCCTTTGTGGCGTGCCAAGGAGCGGGGAGGTCGGCCGTCGGCGTACGCACCGCTGCTGCTGCTCCGCGACCTACTGCGGCTGGCACGAGGGAGGAGAGACCCGTTTGAAAGAGCTGCTCCACCTGCCCCGGCGTGTGCAACCGCGATCGAGGTGGCAGCAGCGCCTGTGTGTGAGACGGATCGGCTCGATGTTCCTCCACGTCCACCTCGCTCAGGTGATGCTGTTCGTTGTCATTGGCTCTGCTTTCTTGAGCCGTGGCGTGGAGAAGCAAGAGCCACTGCCACAGTAGCGGCCCGACGGCGTCACACTGCGCACGCGACAGCCGCCGTAGCGCAGCGTCCTCCTCCTCCTCCTCTTCCTCTGCGCCCCCACTGCCGTCCGTTCCGTTATGCGTCTTCGTCTTCTTCCCGTTACCACTGCTGCTGTCGCCGTAGGCACTCGTGGTGCTGCGCGGTGCACTGGATCGCTGCTGGGCGCTGAGGCGCGCCATAAAGTCGGTGTAGAAACGATGCGCCACCAGTGGAAGGAGAAGTGGCGGGTTGGCTGACGCGGCGTGTGGAGAGGTTGCTTCGCTGTGTTCGGGGAGGTTGGGCATCAGAAGAAACAAGCTGAGAAGGATGGCATGTGTGCCGCCGTGGCTGTGACACTGCGCCGAAATTGTGTCCACTGGTGTCGCGTCTGGACAGCGCGGAGAGAGGGAGAGAGAGAGAGAGAGCGTCGCCGCGTTGGGGGCGCTGAAGTGCAGTCGAAGCATAGAAAAGGAAACGAACGAAGGACGGAGGACGCACGAAGAGTTGCTATGGCATACATATACATACATATGTATAACAGCTATAAAACACGGCGTATTTGCCGGGGGGAAGGATGCCACATACATTTTTTTCTGGCTTTGCCTCTGCGCTCCACCTTCGAACCGGATGAGGGGCGGCGAGGTGCTTCTCACGGCTCCATCCTCTGAACGCCCCTTCCTTTTTCTCTACTCGTTGTATACAAACACTTTAGCAGGCTTCTTCTCTAGAGGGTGACGTCCACCACCGCGTCTGCACCAACAACCCCGGTAGTGGCATCCGCGCGAGAGGGCCACCGCGTTGCAGGCTGACTGTGGCCCCCATCATCACTGGTAGCGGCGCTGTCGTGCGCAGAGGCGAGACGCACGGAGAGGAGAACCCTCTCGCCAGCAACCTGTCTCCGGAAGTTGTGCGCTACGTCGTCCGCCCGGTCCTCCTCTGCCTCCTCGTCGGTGCTGAAGAGGTTCCACAGCAAAAGAGTGCCGCGGTGGTGGCTGCTAACCCGCGAAGTCCCGTCCGCGATGCTGCCGAGCTCAGCTCTCTGCTGATCCGTACTAGACCGCATGTTGTCGCGGCTTGCATCGGCTGCGGATGCCAGCCAGCATGGCTGCAGGTCGGCCCAGACAATGCGCGACCAGCGAGAGACAAAAGTACTGTTCGTTCGCAGCACCGTGAGGATGTCCGTGTCTGCCGGTCTCCCGTTCCCCTCAGCGCTCTTCTCGTTGCTTGCGGCATCAACAGTTGTGGTGGTGGCCGGTCGCGCCTGCAGCCAATCCAGCGGGTGCTCCTGCTGCTTCTCTGCCGTGTTGCCTTCAACGTACATCGATGGTACGCAGCACGCGTGCAGGGTGACGCTCGTGGCCCGACGCAGCTGCTGCATTTGTGAGGAGGCCGCAGACAAACCCCGAGGCGAGAGACGTGTAGCGCCTCCATTCGATTGCGCAGACGGAAAAGGCAGCATCAGACTGGTCGGTGGCGGCGACATGTACGGCGACAGCTCTCGAGGCTCCTGCGCCAGCGCTAGATACGGCAGTGTCCGCGGCTCGGAGAAGATGGCGTGCGCCACGAACTGCGGCGGTGCTGCGCTGCCAGCGCGCTTCACGTACTGAAACGTGATGAGGTCTCCCCGCTGCACCGGGGCAGCCAACGGCATATCCTGCGACACCACACCGTAGCCCCCGCCGTCGTGCTCGCGGAGAAGCTGATCCAACGGCAGAGACCGAGGCAGCTGCACCCACACCTGTCGAGGAGTGGTGTAGGAGGGGGAAGGGGCGGCGCACCACAGCGTCGGCTCGACCAGGACCCAGGAGGGACTCGCTCGCGCTGGTGCGAGGTCGCGATGACTGCCGCTGGCGCCCCACCGCGCTCGTTGCAGCGCGACGGCAGACGGGATGACCACCAACACGTAGGCCGGCACATCCCCCGCACCTGAGACGTCCATTTCAGCCGCGTCTGCGACATCGTGGGAAGGGTGACCCCGCAGAACGGTCGCCACGCCCGTGAAAGCGGATTCTCCTCCGCGGAAAGCAGCAGCAGCGTCGTCCTCCGCATACTTCTGTCCCTCGCTCATCCTCGCTGTTACGCCGCGCTGCTCATCGGCAAGGCACGCATCCAGGCGCCGCACCTCGGCCAGCACACCGTCGTAGAGGACTTGCAGATCGCGGCGTGCAGTGGCTGCCTCCGAAGGAGGGAGCTGTGCACACTGCCGCTGCTGCTGCGGCGCGGCGGTGGCGGTGTTACCCGTTGGTTGGCGGTGCTCTCCTGGGCCCATGAAATTCTCCTGCGCCGCCGCCGCCGCAGCGTCCGCCCTCTTCGCATCTCTCGATGTCTCGACGACATCACGCGGTGACGTTGTTGGGTCCACGATCTGCGCAGATGCAGATGCAGATGCAGACAGCCGCAGCAATGCAGCGGCGGACCTCTCCTCGCGCAGCTCCACGGCCGCACAAAGCGCACCGCGCATCGCCACCGCGGCGTGCAGTATGGTGCGACCAAGGGGGCAGGTTAACTGTGTGTAGAGACGTAGGGCCACCGTGTGCTGCAGGCGCAGCTCGCGTAGTGCAGCAACGCTGAAGGGGATGCCGCTGTCGCTTTTCGCTGAGTTGCCTTCAGCCCCTGCGCTGCCCCCACTTCGAATGCACGGCGGTACGGTGGTGAGCCACGTTGTCAGCATTCGCACGAGCACAGCTAAGACGACGAGACGGGCTAGCGGTTCGTGAGGGTCATAGGCCAAGGCAGCCATCGCCGGCCGCAGCACCCGATCGTGCGCTGCCTGACACCGCCGGTACGCGCTGTGCCACGCCTCACACGACGCAACGGAGACGTCTCCCTGCGTGATCGGTTCATCATAGTTTATGGTGGGGCAGCCCAGGTGCTGCATCTTCTCGCTCCACAGCCGATACGCTAGCCTGGCGAGGGTCCTGGCCGCGGCCGCTGGGCAGTGCGTCCGACGCAGGCGATCAGCCAGGCTTACACGATCCTCACAATCCACCGCACCGTCGAGCACCGATGGGTCGTACAGCAGACGCAGAAGTGGCGGAGGAATCGTGGCGGCGTAGGTGCGCCAGGCCTCGAGAGAGAGGGAGTTGGGCGACAGGCCGCACGACAGCAGGAGGCGAACGCACGGCAGATGGCCACGCGCACACGCCACGTTGAGAGCCGTGCGGCCGTCGGCGTCACCGAGGCGAAGAAGGCGCAGCAGACGCGGGACACAGCGTGTGGGACGAGGAGTCGTGGCTGCGAGAGTGGAGAGAGGGAAGTCGGTGCTACAAAATGCCGCCGCTGCCGCTCGAGATGGAGAAGGTGAGACGTCGCCGTCGTTGCTGTTTCGAATGTCTCTGAGCTGCACCACGAGCGGCGCTCGAGAAGCGGAGGGGGGAGATGCGAAGAGCCTGTCCGATGCCGGGCGGGAACTCCGCTCCGTTGCGGCCTGAGAAGTTTCCTTCCCGATGAGCGCAGCTGCGTTGGGGTCGCCCGATGAAGGGAGTCCAGAGCTCGCGGTTGGTGGGCGTTGCGGTGCTTCGAGCCCTGGCAGAATCAAGGCTGGATCGCGCGAGCTGCAGTGCAGCATGAAGAGCCGCAGGAGCACCACATCGTTGTGGGCGCACATCCAATGAATTGCCGTGCCGCTGGCAGCTGCCTCGGCAGAAGACGCCGCGTCACCGCGTGTCGGCACGTCGTGGTCCTTCAAGGGCAGAGGAAGGCTTAAGAGCCAAATCAGAGCCGCCGTGGTGGCGGTGGGTGCTGCGTGCCCGTCTTGCTTCCCCTGCACACACGCGCTGCGTCCGCTGTTCATGTTCACGCTGTTGTTGCCAAACCAAAGCGGCTGATTCGCTGAGCCGCCGGAGGAGGAAGAGAATAAACTATCAAGGAACAGCTGCGCACTGCGCAGTCGCCGGGAAGCATCGCGGCCAATCAGCGACTCCACCGAAGACGACGACGTCGCCCTCGTCGCCTCTTCCTTCTGTTCATTCAAAGCCAGTTTTATTTCCGCGACCCACCAATGTCTCCACAACAGCTGCAGAACAACCGCGGCTTGTCTTGTCCACAAAAAGGTAGAGGAAAGCGGCGGTGGTAGCTGTGGTGATGACAACTTCAAGTCTGCGATCCACGGCGGCGAAGGTACGACCGTAAGACGTAGCAGGGCAGCCTTGTTTGCATTCCAAACTGCGATCCGACACGCCGCGACCCACCCACGTGCCTGCGCTTCCACCTTCAACCGCCTGTTTTCTTGCTGTGACTGAGAGTTTTCGAAGCGTGAATCATCACCACCGTATGGACCGTGCTTTCCCGGGTCGCCGTCTTCACCGTGGTAGAGTGCGTAGTAGTGGTTCAGCTGCGCCATCGCCTCGACGGCTAGATCGTTGTTCAGCGCGGCGGCGTAGCACAGCGGGCAGCGACGCAGGGAGCGACTTTGCGATTGCGCGATGGAGTGCACGTTGCTCTGCGCCTGCCACAAGCCCCGCGCCATCACGTCCAGCGCCGCGAGTAGCGACGGTTCGCGCCACAGCTCCGTCATCGGCAGTCGGGACTCCAGCAAGGGAAGAACGCGCTGCAGCGTCACGCGCAGTCCTGCTCCCTCTTCTCCGTTGTTGGTAGTTGTGGTGCTGGAAGGTGTGTTTGGTGCCGCGAGGTCGTCGCCGTCCACACCGTAGTGCATGCGCACTGCCGCGTACACGGAGTCGGAAGAGGCGGCGCGGTGGACATGCGACGCATGGATGTTGAGATGGTCGCTACTGCGCCGTGCCGTCGCCGTACTGCTCCACTGCGAGAGCTCGGATGTGTCTCGTGACGAGCTGAGGAGACCCGTCCGTTTGGCACTGTTGTGGTTGGGATCGTGTGATGTCGTCCCTTGCGGCTGCAGGGACTGCCCATGTCGCCTCGCCTGCGAGCACAGCGCGGCCGCCATGCAGAGGACAAGGGCCAAGAGCACCTCCACCACGTCCACGTCCTCATCAGAAGACAGCACCGCAGGCGCGGCGAAGACGTCGACGTCAGCGGCGCTCTTGCCGCTTCTTTTCGACTTCGCCTTCGTCTTGCTTTGCGGGCTGTGCACGGAGAAGAGAGTTCGCACATACGAGCTGGAGTCACCCAGGACGGCGAGGTAGTGCTGGTGCGTGCGGCGCAGAAGGTGCGTCTCTTCGGCTGCGAAACGGTCCTCTGCCGTGGCGTTGTCCAGATTGTTTCGAGGAGAGGATAAAGTGATCTGCTCGCCATCTTCGGCTCTTTTCCGTGTGTCACGTCCGTTGAGCGCATCCGACGACCCAGCTTGTTTGGGGAGGGGAGGAGCAGCAACAGAAGCACAAAGGTAGGCAGAGGGGGAGGTAACGCCTTCTTTGGTTTCGAGCTCTGCTTTTTCATTCAGTTGTTGCCGTTCTGCAGCTGTGCGAAGGAGGCTGTAAAGCCGATGCACGTCCAGCATCTGGCAGAACACAGCCGTCGCCGTTGGCTCGCCAGGTGAACGCACCTTTGCGCTGTCGCGTTGTTGTACCGCCGCTCCATCTTCTTCCCAGGGTGTGGAGATGAGACACTTCCTTGCTGCCTCCAAAAGGGGGAGCAGGCGTGCGGTGTCGTGCATGAGTCGATAAAGATCAAGTCCTGAAAGGAGGAGTTTCTTCTTCTTCAAAAAGAAACCCCTGCAGTTACGTGTCTTGACGTGTGCCGCACCCACTCGTGTGGACCCGCTCGTCCGGAGGCAGGAGAAGAATCCTTCCACGCCGCGTAAAATCTATTGAGCTCTAATATAGTAAAAAAATAACAGTAGTAGTAATCAAAAAGATCTAAAGAACTGTACCGTAGTGTGTGTGTGTGTGTGCATTTGCGTGTGCGCGCGTGGGAAACTCATGTTGCGCTGCAGAAGGACACGAGAATGGAAATGATAGAGGGAGAGAGTGCGAATTTGAAAAAAGAAGCAGAGAAATCCCTTTTTTCTTTCAGAGTACTGCGTGACAAGAAGTCGGATCGCTGGCGTCAAAACCGCCTGTTGAGGCCGCCCGCTGCGCAAATTCTCGTGCTCGACTGCAGATTGTCAAAGAGAAAAGAAAAAGAAGAAGAGAATGAAAGGGGGATGACGCCTCCCCTCTGCCGCGGATGGCAAGGAACGCAGGCACCTCCCTCCCTTGTTTTGTTTGTATGCGTGAGAAACGACTTCACCTGCCCACCCCATCCGCCCCGTCCCGTCCCGTCCAACGGACGTAAATGCTGATATATATATATATATATTTCTTGCGCTCCCCAAAGGTGCAAAAGAGCCTCGCGAATACAAACTCCCCTTCACAGAAAACACCCGCAACAACAGAAACACCACACCACACCGCTAACTGATAAGAAGCCGAAACACTAGCAAAAGCGGAAAAAAAGTAATAGAGATTGGAAAAGTCAATGCAAAATGGTAAACAAGTTCCACGACGCCAACCCCTACGAGTTGCCCATCCGGCAACCCGCTTCGTGCATCGTCGCCGTCAGCGCTGTAAAGCACGTCGCCCGCCGCGCAGCGCAAACGCACGGGCGACAACGGCCAACAACACACGACGGTCACACTCCACGGTGCGTGCGAGATTGCCCGCACTCTCCCCCCCCCTCCCCCCCCAAAAAAAAACGGACCGTCGACACAAAACCCCCAAAACAACAGCAGAGACAAAGCCCTGACATAATTTTCTTTTGGGGTGGAGCAACGTTGAAGATGAAAAGAATCGAAAGCTTCAAAAGGTTCGATACCGTTTTTGGTGTTGTTGGTGGAGTCTTCACAGCGGAGCTGAATAAAGAAACTGCTTCGGTTCGTCCGCCACGCCGCCCTCCCTCTCTACCGAGATGTAGCCGCCACGACGCCCTGCCGCCGGCGGCGTCTCATGGGCTGCAGCGGTGCGCAGAGGCGAAGCCGCCACAGCTGCCGCGTCCGCCGTGGTGGCTTCGGGCACCGCCGCCGCATCTTCGTCCTCGTCGTTAAACAGAAGGGTGTAGCGCCTTCCACGCGAGGGACCAACGCGAGCCGAGAGGGGGGGCAGTGGTGCTGCCGCGACCCCCACCGCCCCGTCATCTAAGTCATCCTCATTCTGCTGCCGTGCCTGTGCCGCGTCGGACCGGTGGCTGCGACACACAGCCACGCTTACCTCGTTGCTGCGACTATGGACCCTCCAGGCTGCTGCAAGACGTCCCCCGGTGCGTGTGCGCGCCTCCGCCACCGCTGCTTCCTCTGTCTGTTCCGCGTCCACCGTAGCGGTACGCATTGGATTCGCCGTGATGGGCGAGGCGGCGGCGGTAGACGCGTCCGACGTGGCCGTCACCGCCGGCGAAGCGGGCGCGGCCTCCTCGCCGCCCTCGCGCTCCTCCGTGGCGGCCCGCACGAGCTGCTTCACGTAATACAGCGGCAGATCGAAGCAGCGCTGCACCGTCGCGCGGCAGACGGGACACTCCTTTAACCGTTTTGCGCAGAAGCGGCAACAGCAAACGTGCCCGCACGGGGTAAGGGCGACGTCGATGTGCCGTGCACAGCAAATCACGCACGCCACGCTGTCCTCGATGTCCTTCACCTCTGTTTCCGCCAGCTCCTTCTTGAACTCGCGGGCCTCTGCCCGGCGCAGCGTGAGTCGCTTGCGGTAGTTCTCAATCACGCGCCGACGCTCCAGCACCCAGGCCACGTGTCGTCCTACACCAGACATGATGATGCTGCCGAGAAGCACCAGCACACTGAGGCTGAAGCAGCCTAGAACGACGCTGCTTTTTGGCATTTCGTAGCCCACCACCGCCTCGGTGCAGTTGCCGCACGATGCCGTGCTCGCACAGCAGCGTATGGCGGACGAGGCCACACAACACATCGGTTTGTCCTCTCCGCACTTCGCAGCGACCATCAGTTGATAGGAACAAAGGTGTGGGGTGCGGTAGGAGACGTAGGCCTGGCGTTCGAGCCGTGCCAGCGCGGGCTGCGCCGCACCGACAAGGCAGAGAAGCAGGAGGGCGGCGAGGGCTACGGTGAGGAGGGTGGGGGAGCGGCGGCCAGTCGCCTGGTTGGAGCGTATAGAAAGACTGGGCATCGCAGCAGCCCGAAAAAAAGAGGGAGGGGGAAAGCTTTCGTTAGCCTAATTTGGGGAGCTTAGGAAGTAGATATATATTGCTGATGGAGAGCAGCAAAGGAGTTGAGGGAAGAGAGGCAGTGGTGCTCGAATGGGCAAAGCAGGGGTAGTAGCAAGCAAAACAACAGCAACAAAGAAAAATAGAAAAAGAGAGCCTAGAATTTAAAAAAAGGGGGAAACTGAAAAAGGGAAGAGAGAAGAACAAAGATAAGCAGCAACACGTGCGGAGACGTGTCAAGTGCTCGCGGCAAACACCCTAAGTGCGGGGTGCTTTAAGAAAATATATGTTTGCTTGTATACGCGTCTGTGTGTGTGTGTGTGTGTGTGTGTGTGTGCGAGGGCAACCAAGCACTACTAAAAATAGTACGAACATGTCGAGAAGCGAGTGGGTCAGGAGGAGATATGATTGTGTTTCTTCCATCTACGAGTGGGGTAGGACCTTTTTTTCTCTATGGAGCCAGAGGAGGCAGGTAAAGGCTTTTTCTCTCTAGTTATGGCTTTACCCTGTTTTCCCCAACGACATCCCTTTCCTGTTGTTCCCATCTCGATTTCCTTCATTCCCGTTTCGGAACACCGCGCGAACACCATAAATGCGTAGCGAGCAAAATTAGTTTTGAGATCAGCAGATCTTCGTTCGTATGTGTACTCACCCGTGCGATTTCCGAAGATGCCGGCTTCTCTTAGCCGGGGAGCTGAAGACGTTGACTCAACGCCTTGAGGCACAGGGCATCACGGAGGCGGCGCACAATGTCCCGGTGAAGGACGCCGTCGCTCGCCACAGCAAGGGGTGTCAAGGACCGCCGTGTCGTACTTGGCAGAGCAGGCCGACTACCAGCTGTCCCCGTGGAAGATCGGCCTCCAAGAAGCACAGGACTTCTGGGCAGATTGCCCCGACCTGACGGAAGACAAGATCAAGGAGAGATTTCTGCGCATGGCGAAGCACAAGCAATTGCCGCTGATGGTCGTTTTAGTTTGCATGTATCTCTCCTATTCACGACGGAGAAGGAGGTTGGCAGAACGCGGATTCTGCAGCTCCTCTTGTTTGCACCAAGCGATAAAATGGTCGAGTAACACAACTGGCACATCTATGAATGCTTGCTCCCGCAGGAACAGCGCATCTTTGGCGAGCTCATCGCTCATTGCCCATTGCCTTTCTAACCCCATTTGGCCGGAGCTTTCTAACCTGAACGGAGGAAGTGCCTCCACCTACCGACATTACGGAGATGAAGAGGCTTTACGGTACGACATCTCTCGATGTACTGGAGGGTGCCGGTTTCGAGCCGGTGCTGAACGCTCAAGGCGAGCAGATTGCGGCTGCTGATCGGTCGTTGACAGAGGCCGCCTTGCAGCAGGTGCAACAAGGCATCCGAAACCTGTCCGCTGTGCTGGCCAGCAGTGCCTGCAGAGGTCGCGGAGGAAACGGCCCTTGGGCATACGGCGGTGGCGGCGCCGCCGAGAAGGAAGAGGCCCCCCCCAAAAAACCGATGAGGCGCGCGCGCGAGAAGAGTTCCCGCGGTGACGCCAAGCCTGTCAACTGCCTTCAGACGGGAGACTTGGTGTTGGTCGACGGCGATCTTGCGGCGGGCAAAACCAATAACTTGGAGGTAGATAAGATTCTCCAGCACTTTTTTCCACCGAAAACGGTTCTGCGCTGCCACACCTTTCCGCAGCTCTTTCGTTCGTCAGTAGCTGAGATTGAGAAGTTGGTGGAGGACAAAGAATCGGAGTTTCTTCCCGATCGTCTTACGACACCACTGGATTGCAGGTACTCTGCACACGGGCGACAAAAGCCCAACCCGACTCCAGGTGTTTCGACTCCGCGCCCTCCGACGCTGTACAGAAGGATCTCCGCAGGAAACTAGAGCGGCACTGGCCGACCCTACAGGTCGAGGATATGCCACTGCGCGCACCAACGTAGCAAGAGCGAGGACTGTGGACTCTTCATGATGGCCACCTTTTCGGCCGTACACCTCAACACGCAGGTGCAGAGGCGAGGGACATCGCTAGCGGAAATGGTAGAAAGCGCTGTGCAGGCCGACGCGGCGTGCTACAAACGGAACTTACGTTATCTGCGCATCGCAGTAGCCCTCGCGGACGGAAATCGCAGGTCGTTCAGCGCACAGGCTCCTGCAAACGGAGCTCACCATGTGGGTTTTACGAGACGAGAAGATGTGGACGTCCGCCACGCAGTAGTACAGATGGGAGGTGTGCACCGTGAAGGTGTACGACTCCCCCAGAGAGCCCCCTTGGTTTTCCCTCACTGCCGGAGAGGGGCAAGCCTTGCCAGAGCGTGTAGGAGGCCATCGCTTTCTTGCCAGTGCGAAAGCAGCAGGATTGAGGGCCATTAGATTTACATGCCCAACCTTTGTCTCGCTTCTCTCGTTGGAGATGTACGCTCTGTAATTCGACTCGGTTGAACCCGGCAGTTTTTTAAAAAAATGTTTTTTACCTGCTGCGGGCGTACCGAGGCGCGAACCGCTTAGTCGATCGCCGCCGCCCTTGGGACTCTGAGCTGACGTTTGTCGATGCTCGAGTCAACGGACGGATGAGAGAGAGTTGGAAGCGAAGCTTGTAGAAGAGGCGCATCCAGATGAAAGGCAGGACCCCGCTGCTTTTGACGGCTCACCAAACGCCCGTTTTCCACGAACAGGAGATCAACGTGGTGCTATTCTCCATGAAAGGGGAGGAGAAGCCAGCCAGTGACTTATCACGGCACTTTGGGGAAGAAGACTACTCGCCTCAGACCATCGAATCCCCCGCTGACAACCTCGAATTGGCTAGCCTCGAACACACGTACTCTCCCTTTGAGTTAAAGGGTGGGCCTCCCTCCGGCCAGCACGTTCTTGATTCAAGTTCGTCTCCCTCTGTCTTCTCCTCCTCTCCAATCAGGCCTTCGACAAAAACAGCTAGGAGTGAACCATGCGCTTACGCGTGGAAGTGCGTGTGTACAGCAAAGTTGAGTAATAATAGTAATGAGAAAAAACAAAAGCAGAGCGCTGGACAACACGAAAGCCGACGGGGACAGAAACAAGAGGAAGAAGGCGATAATAAGATGAGAGCGGTGACCTTCAACTGAAGGGCATTGAACGACGCCTCACCGGCGGAGAACCGAATGTAGAGAAGTCGCGGCACTTGAACCCTGCGGGGCGTCCGCTTCTTGTCGTTCTTCCTTGCAACCAATCCTCTCTGCAAGGCAGTGAAGCTGCACGCCGCAGCAGGCTCCACAGCTCTGCGCATGTTGGTGCATCCCTCAACGGTTTTTATTAATTATTTTGCTTTATATTGTTTTTCTCCTTGGAAGATTAAAAGATAATAGTTTCTTTCGTTGTGCTGTTAGTTAAACCGGTGCGTAGCAACAACAACCACAGCCAATAAATAATAATAAAAGAAGATGGGCGGGAGTGGGGAAGAAAACGCCGGTGTCACACTCTCGCGTCGCCTCCCTCCCCCCTCCCTCTCCTTCCCCATCCAGCGCTTCCTCTCCCTCTCCCCCCTGTGTTTAAACAAGAAGAAGCACATACAACGCAACGGCAGCCACGGCCAGCGAACCACATCGACACTGTCGAGCTCAGCGTACGTTGGGGCCGCGGAGGATGAAGTACGATGCCCCGCAGCTTGCAATACCTATACATAGCCACCTCCTCAACGAGGCTGAGCTCTGTCTCTCAAATGAAAGATGAAGGACTTCCTAATCCCACTCATTTTCCCCCGCCCCCTTTTTTGCGCCGTCCAGGCGCGCCGCAGCCACCGTAGCAGCCACTATTTCGGCAGAGTTCGCCGAGTTCCTTCTCTCAGGTACCACAAGTACTGACATCACAGTTCCCATTTGACAAGCTTTATATGAATTAATAAATCATGCAAACATCGCGCTGGTCGATGCCGAGCTCCGCTCCCGCACCAGCGCCTTTTCGATCTCCTGCTCGATCATCGCCATCGTCACCGTGCGCTCCGCCACCGGCAGCAGCGCCGCCTCACAGCACACGTTAAAGGCCACCGTGCGGATCAGCTTGGGGGAGATGCCCGACGCGCTCAGCTTCGCGTAATCGACATCGACGGCGATCGGCGCCCGCTCCGGAAACGCACGCCGCCACAGCTTCTCCCGCAGTGGCCGGCTTGGCAGCACGAATGCAATCTCTGCCTGGAACAGCATGCAGGACGAGCGGGAGTTGACGCTGTGCGTGGAGAAGAGCTGTCGGCCGCCACCGCCGTCGCGACTGGTCGTCGTCGCTATCACAATCACCGGCCGTGGGTAGCGGCGCGCGTGGTACTGGATAAGCTGCGACAGCTGCAGACTCTTCGGCGACTCGTTAAAGAGCACCTGCGCCTCGTCAAAGACGATGATGGCACCGAGGCGGCGGCCTTCCTCAAAGACGGCGTGCACGTGCATCTCCTCCCGCAGGAGCAGCTCAGCCACGTTGCACAGCCGAATCGTTGCCCCGCACTCGTACGCGATGCCCTCCGCCGCGAGCGACTTGCCGGTGCCGCTGACGCCGTGGAAGAGATACAGCGCCCCACAGTTGTCGTTCGCGTCCTCGCTGAAGCCCCACTGGGTGTAGAGGGTGCTGCGAATCTTGGCTACGCTGGCGATCGTCTCCAGCTTCTTGGCGAGTGGGGCCTCCAGCACCAGCGCCGCCAGGGTGTTCTTTGGCGTCACGTAGGACTCACTCACCCCCTCCGGCCGCTCGGCCGCCAGGAAGAAGCCGCGCAGCTGCAGACGAGCGCCTTCGTCGAGGTCGGCCATCGTCAGCGTCGGCGAGGCGCTCTTCTCGCGTGCGACGGCTTGGCTAAGAGCGGCCAGCACCGCGTTACGGATGAGGCCGCCTGACAGCTCGTAATTTAGCGCCAGCTTCTCCACGGAGACGTCGTCGGCGAGCGGGAGCTGCGGCGGGAGGTGTGACTTCCAAATGCGCAGCCGCAGCTGGTGGTCCGGCGGCCGGAACTCCATCATAAGCGAGATGCGGCGGTTCATCGCCTCGTCGAAGTTCTGCGCCTTGTTCGTGGCGAGGATGATGAGCCCGTCGTAGTTCTCAAACTCTGACAGCAGCGCGGTCACAGTGGTGTTGTTCTGCCGGTCCTCGAAGAGGGACTCGCACTCGTCGAAGAAGATAATGGCCTCACTGAGCTTCGCCTCGCGGAAGAGAAACTTGAGCGCTTCGCCCTCCGCTTTGGTAGAGGAGCGAAACTGTGAGATGCTGACGAGCAAGATCTTCTTCTGCAGATGGTGCGCGACGGCGTTGGCCAGCATCGTCTTGCCGGTGCCGCTCGGGCCGAAGAAGAGCATGACGAGCCCGCCTTTGCTCATCCCCAAGCCGTCGCCGAACCCGCTTTGCTTCTTGCACTGCTCAAAGAGGCTGTAGTGCTCAATCGTGGAGAGCACGCGGTCCATGGTGGAGGTAGGGAGCACAACGTTCGCCAGCTGCACAGAAGGGAGGTACAGCTGCGACCCGGGCACCATCTCCGCCGTCTCCGCCGTAATGCCCATCACGTCATCCACAATCTTGCGATCGATGTCGACCAAGTACTCCATCAAGTCCGTGTTGAAGCGGGAGCGACTGGTGGTCTCGAAAGACAGCGACAACACCCCATTGGCGACGAGGGGGGCAGACTGGTAGAAGGCGCGCCGGGCCACCACCCGCTCCTCAAGCGTCTCGCACAGCACAAAGAGGGTGTAGCCCACCGTGATGGGCCGCTGCCCATCCTGCATCACGTAGCGGCCGTTCACCGCCACCAGCATATCGTGCGAGACGACGTTGCCCACCATAAACAGCATGATTTGCTTCTCCATCTCCGTCAGCTTCAGACGCCCGGCGAGCTGCTCGATGCGGGGGGTGAAAGTGTTGGCGGCGAGTGTGGCCTGCAGTCGCGACTCGTGCACCGCAGCCGCAACGCGCACCTTACCTTTCAGCTCACGCAGCGACGCCTCGACTTTGTTCTTTGGGGAGAAGCTGTCGTCCTCGTCCTTCATGTCGCCCTCCGCGTAGCGGATGCGGATGATGTTCGCCAGGATGCGGAAAGCCGCGTCCATGTACTCGATATCGGAGTCGTAGGGTTTGCCGCGCAGGGAGGGGTCCGTCTGCGCGGTCAGCGGCGACGATGACGGCGGCGAGTTGGGGTCCGCGGTGCCATGTCGGCAGCGTTGCGCCAGGGGATTGATGTCGGCCAGTGCCAGCCGCGGCTTGCGTGCCGTGTCCAGCGTTGATGCAGCCGGTGTGAGCGGGGCACCTGCCGTGGCAGTCGGTGCCGCCCCCACCGATCCCTGCTCCCCGTCTTGCGTCTCCTCCGCTACCTCCGCCGTCTTTGCGGTCATCGATGTCGCCACCGCCACCGCGGTGGTCTTCTTCTTGCTTTCGGCTGCTGCTGCGGCGCTGCTGTGCAGATGCTGCGCCACCGCCTCTTGAATCTGTTTCGGATCTCCCGCGGCGAGGATCTTCGGGTCGATGTGGTCCAGCACGTCCTCCAGCGCGTCCTCGGCCGTCGTCAGCGTGCTGTCCGCCGTCGAGGCGGTCTCGTCGTAGTCGACGTCGTCATCGTCCTGCTCCGCCCTCTCTTCTGCTGCCTCGCCGCGCCGCCGCGGGAGAGGTGAGCGAGATCTCCGCCGCGTGGCGAAGCCTCTGGCACCTCCACTACCGCTATTATTCCGGCCGCTACAGTTCTTGAAGGAGGTCGCCAGCGGGGGGCGGCCGCTCTTCTCGCCACTGGTCTGGATGGCACCCCGCCCCGGTGACACCGACCTCGTCGGCTTCATCTGCCGCTCTTCGTTCAGCACCTCCGAGAGCGCCGTGCGCTCCAACTTGATCAGCTGCTCCTCTGACAGCTGGTCGCCACTGAGAGCCGCGATGGTTTCCAGCGGCAGGCCGTACCTGCATTCCGTAAAGGACGAACGCATCTTGATGTCCGAGAAGGCGAGTCCCTGCTTCCACAGAACGCCGCTGTCGGACAGAATGGATAGCAGCTCCTGCGGGGTGAGGTCGTTGTGGTACGCGATGTTGACCGGCCGCAGCGGCTCTGCGATGGCGCCGGGGGTGTAGCGGCCGCACTGGCAGACGAGCATGTACTCGAGGGTTCTGGCCGCCTTCGCGGAGAGGTGCAGGCGGGTGCTGAGACGCACCACTCGGGGTTCCAGTGACATCTTGCGTAGCTGCGCTTCGGTGCAGCGGCGCACAAGCTGCACGGTCGCCTCGACGCACGGCACACACTGTCGGCGGAAGTCCAGGTTCGCCACTTCGATACTCCTGAGCAAGGAGGCGCCGAGCATCATTCCCGCGAGGAGGTAGGCGTAGTGCTCCATGTAGATCAACACATCCTTGGCGGCCAAATAGGCCGAGTCGGAGTCGAAGCCCGGGAGGTGCTCGGCACCGTACGCGGCAAGACGCTGCTGCATGATTTGGGGAGAAAGCGAGTCAGCCACCGTGTCCGCTGGTGCGCCGCTGCCGTTCGCTGCTTCGCCGACACCTTCCCCTTCCTTTTCTAACGGACGTGGATGTTTCTGCCGGTCGTGGGTAGAGCTGGGGCTGGAGGGGCCGCGGTCGCGCTTCCGACCGGCCGCACGCTCCGGCGCATCCTCCTCCTCCTCCTCCAACGGGAGCAGTTGTATTTCCTCAAAGTACGCCGCCACGCGGTGCGGCACAGCCACAAACAGCAGCGCCCGCACCTGCGTCTCGCGATCCACTGCCGGCGGCGGGGCTGGGTGGTGCCCTGCGGTTCGTGTGGTCGTGGCCGCACCGTTATGCAGCGGTGAGGACGTCGGCGCGGTGCTCGGCGCGGTGCTCGGTGCTGCACCCGGCACGCTGCAGACCACAAACTCCACGTAGGCGCGGAGCAGCTCCGTGTAGGTGTGTGGTGGGGAAACGAAGCGCCCTGTTTCATAGAAGGTCCGCATGTTGTGTACACGGCTGTCCACCTCGGTGCTGGCAAGGCGTGCAGCGATGGCAGGCGCGTCGCCGCAGTTCTGCGGTGTGTGGTTGCCGCCGCTGCTGTTGCCGTTGTGCCGGTGGTTGGACGCGGTCGCTTTCTGAATGTGGGAGGGTCGCGCCACGCTCTTCTCCACGGCGGCCTTCCTTTTCGGTGGCATCCGATCTGAATTAAAAAAAAAATGGATAAATAGATAAAGCTATCTTTAACGACTTACCTTAGGTGCGCTCTACGGTCGCAGGTTTCTTTCGTGGCGATCCAAAGGAGGGCACACGCCAGCACTCTCGCTCTCTCGCTCTCTCGCTCTTTCGCGATGCGTAAGGAGTGGCGGCAGTTTCCTCTCTGTGTGTGTGGTACGGACGCCCTTTATATATATACGGATAGTACGTGGTGTTGCGCTTCTTCTTTCCCTCGCACAGGACGACGCACGCACAGTGAGGTGGGTGTGTGGCGCTTAGAAAGACTGAATCACCCCCAGCCCTCCAAAGACAACGACATGAATAGAAGAGGTGGGGAGAGGGGGAAAAAGGGGACAAGTACGTAGCGATCCGTGTGCATAGCGGTGGAGGCGCCAATAGGCGAAACACCTGCTATATGTCGTATCAACGTCATTGCCGGCAGTAACGCACCATGTTGCGCTGCCGTCCACTTGCTGTCCGGCGAAGCAGACGGCATGCTGCACACAAATCGATGAAGTCAACGAGGGAAAAAAATATTCTGATCCTTGTGCGCGTGTACTCAGCATATGTCGCAGACGCCGGATATATCTAATATCCTACACCCACCACAACTCATCAACAAACACACACACACACACACACGTCCGTTTCTCAAAGCATTTTGAATTGTTTACGAGCGATTGCTGTGAAGATGACAAGACAGAACGCTGCGTTAATAGGGGCACTCCTCCGTCACGTGACCAGCCATCCCACACCGCACACAGCCTTTGGCCGGAAGGACAAGGTCTTCAAAGTGGTCCGTGCCGCTCGGCTCCTGCGTGATGTGCGACGCGTCTTCCATCACTTCGCGTTGGTGCTGCTGCTGCTGCTGTTGTTGACGCATAAATTTCTCCGCCTTTACACGCAGCGAGCACGCGTCGCCCGCCGCTTGAGCCTCCGCCGCCACCCGCGCCGCGGCCGCCCCAACAAACTGCGAGGTGGACAGCGGGGCTGAGGGCCGGGTATACGGCGGCATCAGCGGTACCACACCAAACGCGCGCAGTAGCTGCAGAAACGACGTCTGCTCGTCGAAGTTCATCTCCGACCAGCGAATCGGCAACGACGGGTACGCGGCTGCTTCTGCCGCCCGCGCCTTCGCACATCGGCGCAGATACACGAGCAGCATGCCCATAAATCCACTCTGAAGCAGCAGAAACGGACTGGCGTTGATGTCGTCTGACGTGGCGTGCGTCTCCGCAACCTCCGCTGTGCAGCCCAGCGCAGCGGCGGCGGCAGCGAGCTGTTGACGCCGTGTGCGCTCCTGCGCTTCCGCCGCTGCGGTGAGCCGAGGCGGGAACTCAAAACTCCACAGCTGTCCCACCGCGTCATACGCGATGCTCCTCGGTCGTGGCAGCGCCGGCGGAAAGCAGCAGCGTGCATCATCTTCGTCGCTGCTGCTGCTCTGGGCAGCAGTAGGATCAGCTCTCCCCACGGCGGAGGGGAATCCTGCCTGTGTCGGGTGTTGCTCCTGCTGCTGCAAAAAGCGCAAGAGCAGCGGCTCCACTACTGTTGTGTAGTGGTCCAAGAGGGCCTGCGCCGACAGCGTCGGAGCACCCTCTGTCCCGTTCCGCCGGAGAGCAACGTCGCCCACCGTCATGGCGCCGTCGAAGGGGCAGTGAAAAAAGGCATAGAAGGTGAGACAGTAGGTGACGGCGACGTCCATCGTTGTCTCGTAGCGCCGACCGCGAATGGAGAGCTGTACGCGGTGCTGTGCGGCGACGGCAGGTGGAAGCGGTAGAAACTGCATCGGTGTTCGTGCGTGGTGAGGACCGAAGCGGCTACCGCTGCTTTCACGACCGGCCCCCTCTTCCTCTTCCCCTTTCTTTTGCTTGTAGTCGCATTGGCGTAGCTGCTCGATGATGTCCTCAACCCCACGTGGCACCCCAGCGTCCGTCGCCGCCATTGCTGCTGCTGTCGCTGCTGCTGAGGACATGGCAACGAACCCTCTGTGCTCCTCTTTCACGGCGTGCAAGAGGGAGAAATGGGAAATCGACTACGGTGCTCATCAATTCAAGAAGTATATAATAATAATAACAAATGAAGATAGTGGTTGAAAAGGAAAGAGGAAGAAGCAAGAGAGAGTAGAACACAACGTTGAATCGGGAAGAGATAATCGCTTTGGCCGCTGCCTTGTTGAGGCGGCAGAATTCGGGTCAACACACACGACATCCGTGGAAGACGTGAAAGGGTCGCCAACGGCAGTTGGCACCGTAAGGGAGCAAATAACCACTGAAAGAAGGAGATCTCACACGACACGGGCTCGAAAGAAAAGCAAGCCAACAAACGCCTCCCTTCCATCGATGGTGGCTTCTACGCGTGTCGTCACCATACGTACCGCCTTTATTAGTCTTCCTTTTTCTCTTCTTTGAAGCATTCACGAAGCTGGAGAAGTCAACGCAGACAGCCCGCTTTGCCCCTCTTAGGAACCCCGCTACATTCTCCCTTCGGTGCCTTACACGTTCGCTTAGCGGTGCGCGGCGAACGCCGTACAGCGGGCCTTATCACACGTTAGCTCTCTTCAACTGTCATTGCCCCCCTCCTTTTCCCCGTGGTGGGTGGGACTGCGGAGTCTCCGCCGACACGCGGGCTCGCTTCGTGAGCTCTTCCATCAACGGGGTCTGCACGTGGAAGCACACACAGGCCGACGCCGCAGCCGGCTCCGCAGGGGTCGCCACAGTTTCCACCGATTCCGTGAGGCTTTCCAGCGCCACGGAGGTTTGGGCAGGCTGGTGCAGGCACCGGTCATGCTCCTCCGCATGACGCAGCATGCAATAGAGCGCAAGAGGGTCCTCCTCATCGGCGATCAGCTGCTCCACCACGGCGTCGGGAGCGCTGTCAGCCGTGGTCACGTCATGCGCGCTGCCGGAACGCGAGCTGGGACAGACCGCCATCACCGCCTCGGCCACCGCCTCGAGCGAGTCGCGGCTGCCGAAGCACACACACAAGTCCTGTGCACGTGTGAGCGCCACGTTCAGGCGGTGCCCGTCAGCGAGGAAGCCGAGGCCGAAGCGGCCGACGCGACGGTTATCGACGCGCTCTTCAAAGGTCGGCCCTTCGAATCCGCTAAAGGGTCGGCCGCTTCCATTTCGTTCTCCTTCTCCCGCTGCCGCAATGGTGCAGGAGGTGGCGTGAGTGCGCTGGGCGAGCAGCTGCCATCGTTGCACGGTCCGCACGCAGCTCAGCAGAATGATGCGCTTCTCCTTCCCCTGGAAGCTGTCCACCGTGGATACCTGCAGCCCACTCTGCCGCTCCTCACGCGTCAGCAAGGAAAGGATAAGGACCTTCTGTGCATTGTAGAAGGTGATGATGCCGAGCTGCGGCGCCATGTCCCACACCGTCAGCCGCAGAAAGGTGCGCAGCTGCCGCATGTACTGGACCACAGCCGCCGCCTCTTTCCTGTTAAACAAGGATCGACCACGACGACGCTCCACCACTGCAGCTGGAACATCAGCAAAGACGAAACGCGGACTCTGGCCGAGGCGCTGCGCGATGGCCAAGTTGGCCGGATCGTGCGCTGTAGCCGCTGCAGACGCCACGTCGTCGCTCAGCAAGCCGGTGCCCTCGTTGTCGCTGCCGCGAGCACGCAGGTGTACGCTGCTGTGCGTCTCCAGCTTCGAGTCGTAGAAGTACGCGTTTGGGAAGGCGCAGATGTCGGGGTGCATGCGGTACTGCGTGCGCAGCAGGAAGGACTTGTGCCCGCAGGCCAGCATGCGCACCAGCAGACTGCGACGCAGGCCGCACCGACTCGCGTCCCTGGAGAGGATGGTGGGCTGCAGCTGCTTCGAGTCGCCGACCAACACGCACTTGCTCCGTGCGAGGACGAGGGCCTGCAGCACCGCCGGCTCCGTGCCTTGCGAGGCCTCATCCACGATCACAACATCAAAGGTCAGCCCTTGCACCTGTCGAGGGATGTGGTGCAGCGAGCCCAACGTCGAGAAGATGATGGACGCTGACTCAATGGTGCTGGCACGGATGGCGTTGCGCTCACTCATCCGTTTCGTCGACGCCGCCTCCGCCCGACCTCCGCGGCCACTCACCGCACGCGTCATGCACTGCTCCACTACATCGTCAAGGAACACCGGCTGGGCAAGCCGCAAGACCGCAGCGTCGACGCGGTCCTTCACGCCGACGCGCAAAATACCGCCCGACAGGACGTCGTAGGAAGGGCGCGGCTCCCCGTCCGCTGCTGGCGACGACGACGAGGCGGAGGTGGAGGGGGACGGGGCGCAAGAACCAACCGCGCCGCCGTATGCGTTCGTCGACTTGACGAGCTGCTCCCGCAGGTGCACGACGCGCAGCAGAGCCTCGTCCACGGCGCAGTTGGACGGGGCGCAGACCAGCACCCGTGCAGTGGGCCCGCTGCGTCGATTCAGGTGGTGCAGCAGGTTCAGCGTCAAGGAGGCGATGGTCTGCGTCTTGCCGGTGCCGGGCGGCCCTTCAATCAGCAGCACCTCCGGCGCTCGCGGAGCCGACCCACCGAGGCAGCGCTGCGCGTCCCCCCCATCCCAGTCATCGCAGGTGGCGTAGAGCACGGCGATGATGGCGCGCAGTTGCCAGTCGTTCAGCTGCCGCCGTAGCAGCAGGCGGGCACAGAGTTGGGCGAGCAGCGGCCGCTGCGCCGGGCCGGTTGCCGTCAGCAAACCGGTGATCCACTCGTAGAAAACCGCGTTGAGGGGGGCGGCGTAGCACGGGTCGTACAGGGTGGCGGCAAAGCGCGTGTGGTCAATGGAGTGCAGCGCCGCCAGCTCCATCTGAAAGGAGTTCAGCGACGTCAGCTTCTTCACGTAAAAGGCGTTCTGCGGGTTGCTGTAGGCCGCGTGCCAGGCGTGCAGAAAGCGAAGCGGAGGAACGGAGGACGGCAAATCGCGCGCCTCCACCGGCTGGTACGCGCAGAGCTGCGCCGTCCGCTCGCCAGGCAGGAGGGACTGCACGTAGCAGACCTGCGGAAGGCAGCCCAGCATCCGCCAGCTGTCTGGCAGCTGCGACAGCGCCTCCTGCACCCGTGCCGCCTGCTCCCACTCGGAAAGCGACGCGAGGATGACGCCCAGCCGCCGCTCCACCCACGCCGCACCAAGTGCGTGCAGAGGGAGAAGCACCACCACGACGTCGCCCTCCGCAAGACCCGCGGAGAGGCCTTGCTCGGCGACCGAGCGCACCGCCGGGTCAACGGGTGGCGGTGGTGGTGGCGGCCATGGTGACGATGCGCTGTTCTGCTCCTCCGAGTATCGCGGGGCCCATTGCTGATGTACCGCCCGGTTGGCAGAGGCGCGAATTGAAAAACAGAAGCGGAGGGAGTCGCCGCTGTTGTCGGGCGCGCTCTTCGACCGCGACGCCCCGCTGTGGTGCACGGCGAAACAGGTGAGGGGAATGCTCGGGTGTAGTGGGAGCAGCTGCGTCCATGAGAGGGGTCCTGCCCCGGCAGCAGGTGTGGCTGCGTCGAATGGCGGTGGTGGTGCAACGGCGTTGTACCCGTTGTGCCTGCCACCGCCCTTCTTCCTCTTCCTGTTGTTGCAGTAGTAGTAGTTGTAGCTGTTGCAGTGGGGAGCACCATTGCGATTCTCGCCGTGCGGTGGCGTCTTGCCTGCCTGCTCGATGAAATCCTCGTAGTTCCGCACCACGTCGCACCGCAGCTCCAACGCGATGTGCGGGGCAAACCGAGCCGCGTATGCGCTCGCTGCATCACCGAATGGCATGGCGACGGAGGTGTTGCTGGCAGACACGCCGCCCAGCACCGCCGTGGCCGAGACGAACACCTCCGGCAGCACCGGCACCGTCGGCGCCATGCACTGCGAGTCCGACCCGATAATGTCGTTGAGGAGAGGGGGTTGCAGGCGCAGCAGGTTCGTGCTCGCCGCCACACGGCAGAGGCGGTCTTGCAGCGCTCGCAGCTGCGCGGCGTGGTGGACGCGGTGGGTGTTGCGAGCGTTGATCGCCTGCAGTCGTTGCTGAAGGCGGGTCGGCGGCGGTGCGGCAGGGACCGTTGCCTGCCTACCACCAGTCGAGGCGGTCGCCTCAGTTGTTCTCGGTGCCTTGAGAGGAGCCGGAGGAGGAGTCGGAGGGGAAGCACGCAGGAGACGGCCCAGCATGGCCCTGTCCGTTGCCACCACTTCTTCCATGTCGCTGTCTACCTCAAACTCGACCACGTCCGCATCATCGTCGTCGACGATCACCACCTCTAGCGCCTCGGCGGGCTGCTGCATGCTCCGTTGCGCATTCGTGCCGTGCTCGCGTTGATCTGTGGGGCTGCGTCCCTCCGTTGATGGAGGAGCAGGCGACGCTGGGGAGCGCTCCCGCTTCACACCGATGCACTGCTGCTGCTGTGTCGGTGGCGGCAACTGCAGTGGCCGGTCTGGAAACAAACGTTGTTGTCGAAGCTGGCGGGACGACGACGACGGCGCCGCCGCCATCACCACGTCTCCCTTGCCCCCCGCCTTCCCCGATGTGCCCGCCATTCGGTTCAAACAAGTAGGATCGCTCTCCGGCAGGTTCGTGCGGCTCGCCAAGGAGGACGCCGTCGCACTCGATCGCCGCTCCTCGTCCATCTCCTTCACGCGCTTCCGCTCATTCGACTGCCGCAGCCGCCCCGCCCATTCCGCCAGCCGCGCCGCGTTCTCCTCGTCGCGCTCCAGCGTTTCCTCTTCGATTTCAAACTGCCGGAAGCGCCGCTCCTGCTCCGCCAGGCACGCCGTCACGCTCTGCCGCGCTGCCGCCGTCCACTCCTGCAGCCACGGCGCGGCGTTGGCCGACAGACTCTGCTGCACCTCCGGCTGGCGAGAGCACAGCCGCACGAGCAGGGGCTGCGTAAGGCGGTGAAAGGCGGTGTCACGCCCCACACGCGCCGGAGGGAGGGCGTCGCTGATGTGCAGCAGCAGGCGGTCGAGCGAGGTCCGCGGGTACGTCTCGGCCTTGCGCAGAACGCTGAGGAAGAGGTGCTGGACCACGGCGTAGAGACGGGCGCCTTCATCTTTCTCTCGCGCCTCCTGTCGCGCGTACTCCGGCGATTTGCCCGCGTCGTGCGCACTCGACTCCTCCGCGTTGCCCTCTACGCGGCCACCCTTCTCGCTGCTGAAGGAGGGATGAGGATGCGTCGGCGGTCCGCCTGCCGCCGCTCCTGCACGCAGCATCGGCGTTGTCGGCAGCGCGAGCACCACCGCCTCCGCGAGTACGCGGCGCTGCTCCGCGTTCAACGCGACGACGTCGGCGAGCAGCGCGCACATCCACCACCCGCACCGCACCATCCCGTCGTCCAGCTGTGACCAGTGGCACTCGGCGAGCAGCGTCAGCCAATGCCAACCCTGCGCCCGTGCGGTGTTCGCCACCGATGGGCTCGACACGTCCCACGGAAGCGCCGTCGCGAGGGCCGGCTGGACGAGCACGACGTGGCGCCAGACCCACTCCGCCGCCTCGGTGGACAAGGAGCGGTCGACGGCATTCGTGACCCCCACGCAGAACACCGCCGCGAGTTGCTCGCCCAGCCGGCGAAGGCCACCGTCGGCATCCGCGGCGGCGGCGAAGGGCACCACCGAGATAAACCGCAGCAGCGCCTTCGCTTCCGTCAGCGCCCGAGACGCGGCGGCCACGGCGGCTTCGCGGATCACCGCCGGGGCGACTGCCGCCGCCATGTCGCCCCACGGCAGGCCCAACCACGTCTTCTCGAGCATGTCCTGCTGGTCCCGCAGCGTCTCACTCATGGTGCGCAGGCAGCGTTGGACGACCCACTGAAAGGGCGGGGGTGCGGCCGACATCGCCTCCCCAGGAGACAGAAGCAGCCACTGCGCACAGGGCGCGGCGTCGTCTTCCACGAGTTCTGTGAGAACCGCGCAGAGCTGTGCCAGCACCTGCGGAAGCGGGAGCCGCGTGGCGGCGGCGCTGCCGGCCCCGACAAGTGAGGTTTTGCACACCTGCGTGACGAGGGTGGGCAGCGTTAGCCACACCCGTTGCAGGCACACAGCCGGGACCTCCGTGAAAGGGGAAGGGCTGCTGCGGATGCTGCTGTGCCCGTTGTTGGCGCCCGTGCCGGCACCGTCGCTGTTGCTGTCGGAGGAAGGCGGGGTCTGACGGCACGGCTCCCGCACCGCCGCCGCCGCCGCGAAGGCGCGCACGTCCACCTTGAACAAAAGACGGTGCAGCCGCAGTGCGTGCAGCGTGCGGGTGTGCACGACGCCGCCGATGGCCAGCGTGAGCAGCTGCGACTCGTGCGCGGCAACCGTGTCGTGGAAGTAACGTGTCGCCAGCAGCGAGGGCAGCGCCGCGACCGCCGAGTCAAGGAGGAGGTACAGCCCGTAGACGGCCTTGTCAAGGACCGCGACGGACTCCGCGGCGACCCGCGCCGCCGCGACGTCGTGCGACGCGTTCAGCGGCTTCCCCTTGGCCGTCGCCATGGCACTTGCCCACTGCAGCTGCTGCGCGGCATTCTTCAGCAGCGGTTGCAGCAGCCACCCCGCCGTCTTCGCCGGCACCCACGCGGAGTTCACCACCCCATCGAGTGCGGGCCCTGCGGCCGTCTGCGGTGCACGGGATCCATCGTTGCTGATCTCCCTTCGGTCGCCGGGCAAAGGGGCCGCCACCCGCGCCGTCGGCGGCTCAAGCGCCGCCGCAAACTTCCACAGCCACTCCAACCGCGTCCGACGCCACGCCTCCTCCTCCCGGCTGCTGGCGAGGCCGCTCGCGTTGTCCAGCAGGCAGTGCACCAGCACCTTCACCAGCGTCTTTTTGATAGTCAGGGCAGCGACAGACACGGCTCTAGGCATGGCCGGGTTGGCGGTGAAGAGGTCATTAAGAGGACGAAGGAGGTGTGACATGGCTGTCTCGGCCGCCTGCTTCGGGTCTAGCTTTGCGAGGCCGCCGGTTGAGAGGGGGCGGGCACGACGCCGGCTTTCCAACGCCTCCATCACCCCACGCCAGAGGGACTCGTGCAGCGCCTGCACGCCGTGAAGGACGAGACTGCCGCCGAGCAGCACGACCGTCGCCCGACAGCGGCGCAGCAACGCAGCGAGCGACGACGAAGACGCCGTTTTCGCCTCCGAGGCTGCTGCTGCTGCTGCTGCTGTTTCTGTAGTTGCCGTTGCGGAGATCATCTGCTCGGGCGCGGTGCCCCACGCCTCCATCGCGGCAGCAAATCGCGCCTCCCACGCGGTGAGGAGTGTGAGAAGGTGGAAGACGCCCTCCATGATTGTCTGCACACGATCCTGCGCGACGACCATTACCCCCTCCTCCTCGGCAGGGCCGTCCTGCGGCACCGCATGTGGCGCCGTGAAAGGGATGACTCCGGGTAGGACGCCGACGTGCTTGAGCGTGCAAAGCAGCTGCAGAGCAAAGACAAGGAGCGAGGAAAGTTCCGTCTCCGCCGCGGAAGCTGCTGCAGGTGTGCGGGCGGCGCCGGCGGCTGCGGGGGAGGCGCACAGGAGGCTTAGAAGCGTGTCGCGCGCCCACCGCCGCACCGGACGCACACCGTGAAAGAGCAGCAGCACGAGGCAGCCGCGGTACGACGCCGGAAGGGAGGGAAATCGACTCGTCGGAAGGACGACTGAGGAAGGCGACCCGTCCGTGGAGTGGTGCGTCCCCGGCGGACCCGCATTCGCAGCGCGCACCAACAACATAGACGATGACGAGATGCAGGCCGGCGCCAACGCGTGGTGATAGGCGTGTGTGAGGAGACCCACTGAGGGAAGTCGCGGCGCCGCACCGGCCGCGTGCGAGACACCCGAGGCGAGCCATTTGCTGTGGCGCAGCAGCAGTGCTGCCATCGCACCGACGTCGGACAACGACGTCTTGTCTGCACCCACGATGGGGACCGGTGTCGTCATCGTGAGTGTTGCGCTGTCTGCCTTTGCGTCTAACAGCGCCGCCGCCGCTGCTGGTGGTGGTACGGAAAAGGAAGACGCCCATGTGGCCGGCTGCTGCTGCTGCTGCGGCGGCGGCGGCGAACTGGGTGAGGGAGGTGCGGTGGCCGGTACAATACTCACGAGCAGCGCGTTCAGCATCGCAACCGGGCTTACGGACCCTGTCGCTTCCATCGTGGCGTCGTCGTCACTACACGGCGCGCCAGCAGACCGTGACGCCCCCGCCTCCTCCTCTTCCTTCGCTGCCATAGTGAACGTGGTACTATCGTTTGAGTTTGCAACCCGATCTGCAGGAGGAGGTGTGGGCAGGAGGTCCAACCACTGCTGTGCGTAGTCGAGCAGGGCCGCCGCCCCGGCCGCTGCTGCGGTGCCTCCTTCGACGGTAGAGACGGCGTCGGACTCCGTCGCCGCTTCAGCGGATCCGTTTACGGGTGCTGGGGACGTTGCGGCTGCGTGGTGGTGGTGCACGAGCTGCGGCCAATGAAGTGCGAACTTACCGCTACGCACCCGCCACTGCGTCGGTTCCATTACCGCGAAGAGGGAGGAAGAGAAGTGAGAAAAAACACGCACAAGCAAACACAGACAGAGATTTGTGTGGAAGGCGCTCTGGTACTGCCCCGCCCGCACCGCCCAGGCGTAAACAAGACAAGAATAATTGTTTATGCTTGTAGGATGAGATGGAGAAGGGGGAGAGATAAAAGTTAGTAGAAAGAAACGAGGTAGAAGAATGGCGTTTTGGTTTTTCCTCTCCATTAACTTCTATGTTCAGCACAGGGATAAACCACGACCCTCACGATCACTCGGGGTCATTTACAACAACATTAGTTTTCGAAAGACAGCAACATATCATATTGATTGATTTATTAGTATCTTTTTCACGTGGAACGGGAACCAAGACTAACGCAGTGGCAGACTTCAAAACAAGATTAGTCCGCCCTCAAAGCGGGGCGGAGTGGGCCTGGGTGGGCGGGAAAACGAACAGAAGAGAGAACAAGGCGGAAGTCGAAGACTGTCCGTGGAAAAGGAGAAGAAAGTAGAAAGGAGTCCCCGAAGATGATATTCACGTAGATTCCATTCAAACCATACTTCACATTCAATCATTCCTTTCGCAAGCTCCCAGAAAACAAAGAGTAAAAGGGAAGAAAGAAGAGAGAGAGTTCTGGCCGTTTTGATTTACGGCGATTAGACGGGGCGGTTTGTGATACGTATTGTTCTTTCCCTTCCCTCGTTTCGCCCCCATTCAACTTTGATGGGAGCCTGCGGGTGTGCTGGTGTGCGCGTGTGTGTGTGTGTGTGCAAACGATTGTGTGTGTGTACTCGTGGTACATCTTCGGAGAAAGGGAGCGAGAGCGAGATGGGGGTGGGTAGTGTGCACGCGTGTCATGTGTTTTTCTTTTTGAATTGTAAGCTGATGTAATGCGAAGGGGAAACAAAGGCAGGAAAAAAAATACCCTCCGTACGCGCACAGTCAGGTGAGCTGCTGCTGCTCACGAACAATCCCTTCCGAATGCTTGCTTTGGCGGTCACAGAAGTCATCAGTTCATTCGAGAGAGACGTTGTGCACCACTGCCTTCTGCCGTAGCCAAACTAAATATACTTAACAGCAACAACAAAAAATCCTTACATGTCCTCCTTTATGCATCAGCGCTCATGGCGGGATCGTTATGAGAAAAGTCAGATAGAGTCAAATATGTGTACCGACGGATTCGTTGACTTCATCTGTTCTCTCTCTTCATATAGCAAGAGGCAGGAGAAGAAAAAAGGCAAGGGGGGGGGGGAGGGAGAAAGGGCCTGCCACCATGCACGTTCTTTCGAACGGACATGAACGTTCGCACTGGAAAAGCCCTCCATTCTTCTATTTTGAGGTTCTTGTCCTTCGTTGTGCTCACGCGAAGACCCGTACGCCGGCATGGGGCATCTCAACGCATGCCCGTGCTAGACGCCGAAGCCCACGCACATGTACCCACAGTGTTGCTCTCTCTATATTTATAACCTGGTGAACGTATCCTTTTCTACTACAGAGGAAACGCGATCATCCGCGGGTGAATCATTAAAAAGAAGAAGACGGAGAGATGAAGAGGAATTCGTATGCTCCAGGTGACAGACGCCGATAAAAGGAAGAAAAAAAAATGGGCGACTCTCACGGACGTGGCAGAGCGGAAGAGATCCGCCGCCGCCAACGTCCCGCGCACAGGTGGACGCGAGGTACAAATGCACGCTACAAGACGGAGCGGCGCCACCGCAAACTCGCAAAACCGCGCAGACGCCGTCGTGTATCGCGAAGGGACGGGTAGAGGCTAGAAGGAAAAACAAAATCATTAAATAAAATCAACAGAAACCATAACATGAAAAATGATCGCTGAGGCAACACAGCGGAGGGGGGGGGGGGGGGGTAGGGGGCGGTGGAGAGAGAAACCGCCGAAAGCGACGAAAGGGAGGATGTTTGCCGACCCTCACGAAATGCGGCAGTGCGCCGCTGTCCGGTGCGACGACGACAAACCGAAATAAATAGAAAAGACAAAAACAAACAAAAAAACGTCAACAAAAAAGAAAGCGGAGGTGAAAGCGAAGTCTCTTGAAGCCCGTCGTGGGCGCGTTCCGGTGCTCTCGCTCGCTGTTCGCTGTTAGTTGCGTGACGGCTGCGCTTACGCCACGGCGGAGGACGGGATGGAAAAGATGGAGTCTAAGTAAGGGCTGGGAGAGGCAGCTACACGAGGGCCGGAGTGCGGGTGTCACGCCACTGTGAGGGACGGTGCCCACGCCTCCTGTTCGTGGCTTCGCCGCGCAGAGCTCACCAACCGGGTCCGTTCTCCGCTCGTTCCGTGCGGCTTGTGAAGCCACATGCCCGAGGAGTGCGTCAGTTAGCACGCCCTAGCCCCCACACACACACACGCACAATACTCGTGGTCGTACACTACCACGAGCCCTTCACACCAGCGCCGGCTCAGAGACACTTGCGTGATCTACCTTTGCCGCTTAAGGCAGATGACATGGCGACCACTGCATAGGATGGACTCGCACAACGTCGTGCTCCTCCGCGTGTGCGAGCATCGAGAACAGCGCTCCAGAATCCAGATCATGTGCATCCAACTGTCGCACCACCTCTTCCTTCGTGCTGTCGATTGTGGTCAGCGTGTACGTCTCACATGCCGCACCAGCGACGGTTGCGGTGTCCGTGCCGCTGCGCAAACGCTTGATCCAGCTGCACTGACAGAAGCACACGCACAAGTCCTGCGCGCGCGTCAGCGCAACGTTCAGCCGATTCCAGTGTGCGAGGAATCCAGCAGCAGCGCCGGAGTTCGTCACGGTCCGCACGCAGCTCAGCAGAATGATGCGCTTCTCCTTCCCCTGGAAGCTGTCCACCGTGGATACCTGCAGCCCACTCTGCCGCTCCTCACGCGTCAGCAAGGAAAGTATAAGGACCTTCTGTGCATTGTAGAAGGTGATGATGCCGAGCTGCGGCGCCATGTCCCACACCGTCAGCCGCAGAAAGATGCGCAACTGTCGCATGCACTGGACCACGGCAACCGCCTCTTTCACGTTACACAAGGATCGACCACCACCCACCTGCATCTTACCCTGTGTAATGTCTCTCACGATGAAGCGCGGACTCTGGCCGAGGCGCTGCGCGATGGCCAAGTTGGCCGGATCGTGCGCTGTAGCCGCTGCAGACGCCACGTCGTCGCTCAGCAAGCCGGTGCCCTCGTTGTCGCTGCCGCGAGCACGCAGGTGTACGCTGCTGTGCGTCTCCAGCTTCGAGTCGTAGAAGTACGCGTTTGGGAAGGCGCAGATGTCGGGGTGCATGCGGTACTGCGTGCGCAGCAGGAAGGACTTGTGCCCGCAGGCCAGCATGCGCACCAGCAGACTGCGACGCAGGCCGCACCGACTCGCGTCCCTGGAGAGGATGGTGGGCTGCAGCTGCTTCGAGTCGCCGACCAACACAACGGCGCTGTGCTCACCTGCGACCTGCAGAGCCTGCAGCACCGCCGGCTCCGTGCACTGTGAGGCCTCATCGACAATGACGGCGTCGAAGGTGACCCACGGGTTGATCTTCTTTACGCGGTGCAGCGAGCCCAACGTCGTGAAAACGACAGCGGCCTCCTCCACCAGTTCACCTTCTATTTCCTTACGCAGCTCCCAGTTCTGTGACTGCTCCTCTCGCGGTATTCCCCTTTTCTCCATATCTGCGCACACTCGATCATCGAGGAAGACGCATGGGCGGAGTTGTAACACTGCCCGATCGACTTTATCCCTCAAACCAATGCGAAGCAGCTCCCACCCTTGAATCGTCGCTCGCGACAACTCATTCAGGTCGTTGCTGTCGGTGTCGCCCAGAAGCTTACGCAGGCGCAGCAGTACCTCATCTACGGCGCAGTTGGACGGAGCACACACCAGCACCCTTCCAACACCCTTTCTTTCACGGAGGCTGCTGTACAGTATGTTGAGGATAGAGGTGGCGATGGTCTGCGTCTTGCCGGTGCCAGGCGGCCCCTCAATCAGCACTATGCTCGGCGCACGAACCGCGTCCGTCTCCGCGGCCAGTGGAGGATGCGCAGCGAGCAGCACACCCCTCACGGCGCTCAGCTGCCACTCGTTCAGGCGACTCTGCAAGAGAACTGGCGCGGCGTTGGGCGAAGCATGTTGCACACTCCGCACATAGGCGGCGCTGCTCTCTGCCGAGCGCCGCGGGTCAAATAAGGTTTCAGCAAATCGTGTTTGTGGATCCCCATCACCGCATCCAGTTCCATCTGCGTTGCCCCAATACCCGAAATCTTCTTCACGTAGAATGTGTCCCCCTCCGGTGCCACAGGTGGAGCGGGGGAAGGACTGCAGAGACATGCCGTGGTAGCCGCGTGGCAAAATGGGCGGATGCAGCGATAACTTTGCCACATTCTCTCTCAAGAAGACGCCCTCGACGAGCGCCAGCTGCGGCACGCACCCAAGTTTCCGCCACTCCGCGGGCAGCTTCCTCACCACCTCCTGCACCTCCGCTTCATAATCGCCAGCAGACGCTGTATTTTGTGTGTGCGTGAGACAGTGCTGGTGCCATTTACTGGCAAATGAATTGAGCGGGATCAGCACCACCACGATGTCGCCCTTGCACAACACAGATTTGATGCCTTCTCGCAACGCCCGTTGCACGTCCGCGTCCAGAGGGCGGTTCCCCTCATACGAGAGAGGCCGGGAGGTCGCCGGTACCGCATCCTTTTTTTTTCTGAGTCTGGTCGGGGGCGAGTCAGGGCAGTAATGAAGGTGCAGTTTGATGTCGGCGCATCAACCCCTGTCCAGCCCTTTCGCTGCACAAGCCGTGCCACCCTCGCCTGCACACACAAACGTAATACCTCAGGATTCAAAGGTGTGTTCACGCACCACGCCTCTTCCACAGGATGCGGCGCTTTGGCCGTTTTATCGTGCGGTTGATGCTGTTTGCGTGCTAGATGGCGCACTGCCTCTTCAACCGAGAAGCCACCCTCACCGCTCGCAGCCACCAGCTCCGCAAAGTTGCTGGTGATATTGTACCGCAGCTCCACGCCGAGGTGAGGTGTGAAGCGACTTACATAGGCCAGCCCCGACACCGCTTCAATGCCGTGTTTGCGGCTGCCATAGAAGTCGTCGCTGTCGCACGAGGTATCGGATCGACTTGTCCTGCCTGATGTGACGTCACCGCTCGGTACGAAGATGTCAGGGATCGCCGGCAGCTGCGGGACAACGCCGTGTGGGCCGATGAAGTCGTCAAGCTCGGGATGGTCCGGCGAAGTCAGGCCTGTGCGGGCGACGATGTCCTGCAGAAATGTTTTTTTGGGATGAAAGAGGGGAGTGCTGTCAGCCTTTGCGGCGGAGGCAGGAGGTTGCGCAACAGCGTTTTCGTCCGTTACCGCCAGCGGAGGCAACTCAGATTCCGCAGCTGGGACTCGCGGCGTAGAAAGGGAATGGCTCATCTGCGTGTGGAGTCTGTAGAGCGTTTTTTTTTATTCTGCTTAATATTCTTTTAGGAGGAGAGAGAGGGTTGGAGGCGACGGTCTCTGATGGTGTGTTGTGGTTGTCGATATCTCAAGTAGAAGAGAGTTGACTGAGGAGGGGAGGTTTCGAATGGGGGAAAAAAGGTGCCGTTGCGGAAGAACGCGGCCCGACAGCTGCACGCGTGGCATCACCGTCGTGACTGCACCGCGGAGGGCTCCCCAACTCTATCGGTCCCGTTCCATGGAGTTGGGAACAGACTCCTACAACGACCCTGTAAGAAAGGAAAAAAGAAGAAGTGATGTCGACGACGTTGTGGGTCTTACGGTGATGTAGGATTCACCCTAACGCCTCGTTTGGCGCACGCTTTACGGGCCATCACACGTACTCTACGACCTTCATAGCAGCGCAACGGAAGACCTGCTCACACGACAGCCTACTGGCGTTTGCGTAAGTTAGTTAGGTGCCAACGGCACAAGTCCGCAGGGTGGCACATGCGCTATTGTCAAAGATTAAGGCAACGTACGCCACGATGTTAGGAGATCCAAAAACAAAAACAGCAGCGCCATCAACACCCCTGGGCCCCTTCCGTCGCCCGACAGGCGATGAGGTCGAAGAGTGGAAGCGGGAGAGGAGTGACCGGAAGGCCGCAACAAGAAAGCCGTAGCGCACCCGCAGTCGATGTTGTGGTACCTCCCCCCCCCCCCTCCCCACACCCCAAAGAAAAAAAGTGCGACTGCCAACGTCGGTCCTTCTCATCTTCTACCGGTTCACGTGCTTACGTGTATTCCCTGACGACATGGCCACCGCATGGCACACACGTGCGTGCATGTAGCTGGCGGTTCCCCCGCCCCCCCCCCCTTCCCCTCCGCTATCTGGCGGCGTCATCCTTCACGCACGGCGGCGCGTCGACGCCCTCCACCCTGTCCACGACACGCGCGTGAATGCGGAAGGCAGGCGCCACCCACGCCCCACACGAGCATCGCGACCCGGTCCACGACTGCGTGCCCAGCTTCGCGCGACAGCGCACGTTGGGGCAGTAGATGGTGTCCGGCTCCACCACAGCACCCGTCGCGTTCGCCGCACGAATTTCGAGCGCCACCCACGGACTTTGATCGGGATCGAGAAAGTAACTGGTGCACGCCTCCGCAGACGACGACGACAGCGACGACGGTGTCACGGTCGCGCCGTCCGCCGCTTTGTGGTCGAGTTGCGTGATGCCGCGGCGGTATTTAAAATTCTTTTTTGCACCTTCACCGGGATCGTGTGGCACGACGTCCTGCGCATCGAAGAGTTTCATGCGGCAGCGACGGCAGGCGAAGTACGTACGGAGGGGCACGGAGGGAATCGATGCGGCGCCGTCAGTCCCCTCTGACTCGCCTATCGCGCTGCGAGAGCTCATGATCTGGCAAAGACGCGATCTCCTCTTGTCTGTTGCCCGGAGAGATGTGCTGTATAATCTGCGCGTCGGTGCGGCTCGCTCTATGGCGCCAACGCTGACAGACACACCAGCACACAGGAAATGGAAAAGAATTGCAAACTACGTCGTTGCGCTGCGGCGCGGCTTCCGTCACACCCCCGAGCGAAGCAGCAGCAGTAACAGCAGTTGCAGCAGAACCGGAAGATAGCGCCGGCGACAAAACCGAAGCCAATGTGCGCGGGACGATGACGTAGGAAAGATCAACGACTAGGTGAGAGAGTTGAGTGAAAATAGAAGGGGATAAATGTTTATAAATGTATACTCTGGTGATGGCTGTGCCGCAGTTGGGCTGCCACACCTTCTGCGACCTCCGTGGTGGGGGGAGGGGGGTTGGGGTTGGGTTTGACGTCCCCATCTCCAAGAATGGGCAATAAAACTCAGGAAACAAAGGCCAACAAAAAGGAGATGGGAGACCGCACTTCCTCATCTCGTTTCCACAGTACCACTGTGAAGTGCGGAGGAGCTCGTTGACGCGCGGACCGTGTGTGTGGCCCGTCGCGACGTCCAGCACACCAATAAAACCCACAACACACACACACACAGACAAAGTCTGAATCACGTGACGTAACACGCAAAAAATGCCGCGTACGTGAGCTGCAATTCGTCTCGGAGGAGAATAGGAGCGCGTCTCTGTCTTCCCCAACCGCATCGGCTTGTGCGTCTAACTCTGAGTACTTTTTTTTCTTATTATTGTATAAGTTTGCTTCGCGACCTCCTCGCGCCTGCGCTCCTGCAACGATCTCTCTTGAACGCGAATGTCTTCGCTCGGAGAACACGAAAGGTAAAGGAGTATGAAAACGAGGCCGGAGAGTGCGCGTAGCGCCGCTACTCTTCTTTTTCTTTTTTTCGCCTAATGAGAATTCTATCTGCACCACGAACGCGGCCACGACAACAACCATAAGAAAGATTGCACTGCGATGAAGAGCGCACCACACAACGACGGCGCGAGCCGCTTTTCATATTCCTGCCTTTGCCGTTCGCCTCGCCTCCTTCACCCGCTCCGCTCAAAAACCTCCGCTGACCTTTTCCTCTACCTTTTCAATAAAGTTGAGAAACTCCTGTGTGATGAGAGCCACCTGCGCCATCGCTTTTAGCTGATCGCGCGAGATCCGCAGCGAGCCCTGCGCGGCGGTCGTCGTAGCAGCGCCCGAGCTGCGCGTGCCGGCCCCATTCGCCACCGCAGACCCACTCCGCGCCGGCGCCGTGGACGAGGTGCAGCACAGACACGCCAGCTGCGGCCACTGCACAAGAAAACGGACGAGGTAAAGGTAGTGGAGGTGGTCGGCGAGGCGGGGAGCCGCCCGCCCGGCGACGTCCACGTCTGCACTCTGGAGGGCGCGCAGGGCCGTCCACTCTGCCAGCTCGGCTGACTCCCGCTCGTACAAGAGAAGGTGTGGGGCGGTGTGCTCGAAGAGCTCCGCGATGACGCGCAGAACGTCACGGTAGAGCCGTTCCTCGCGCTGGCTGAAGGCGAAGGTGTCGGCGAAGTCGGGGCGACGGCGCTGCTCGGAGAAGAAGTCATCGATGGAGCGCTCAAGCATTTGCACAACGTGGGCGGCGCTGCAGGACGTATCGATACTGACGCACCGCGCGGAGGAGGACGACGATGCTGGGAGGGTGGTGTCCTCCTCGCTGGGCTCTTTGTGCTCTTCCCCCACTTCCGCCGATGGTGCGTCCGCCTGGTCTGTTTCGTCCGGCTTCGTCTCCGATTTGGGCAGCGCGGGGTACAACGCCGCCAGCGGAACGGACACGCCGACCCGTCGAAGCGGCAGCTGCGCGTGGTGCAGGTGTTCCAGCGCCAGCCGTCGTCGCAGCCGCGGGGGAATCACCAGACCGGGCTGCAGCGGTGTCGGACACACCTGCGGAACGACCTCGCCGACGACCTTTACGGGCGACGGCGCGGTGGCAAGAGAGGTCGAGGCAGCGGCAGTCGTCGTGCTGATGCTGTGGCTGTTGTTGCTCAGGCGCTCCTCTGCCCGTTCGCGCTTCCGTGCCTCGTGCCTTCCACCGCTGCTGCTCGTACGTGCAGCCGTCGAGATCGGCACCGCGGCCGCAGCGACTTCCGCAGCGCTCGTCGACGCGGCGACGGCTGCTGCTGGTGTCGTTGCTGGGTCCGGGCCGGAGGTTGCGCTGAGGTAGACCTGCGCCCCTGTCTGCGTGCCGCGCAAGGAGGCGGCGTGGCGCAGCACGAAGTCGTCGATGCGGCGGTGCGCGAAGGCATGAAAGCCGCGGGCGAGCGTCACCCAGGAGTCGACCTTGGCGTTAAAGGTGATGCAGTTGCGCACAAGCAGCTCGACATCCTCGCGGAGGCGCGTGAAGGAGGCGGCGACGGAGGTGCCGAAGAGCGGCGCTGCCGACGACGACGATGCGGTGTAGAAGCCCTCCTTCGCCCGCTGGTGCATCAGGAGGAGGTTCATCGGGTGGGGACACATCTTTTGGTAACTCGCGCGAAGATCCGGGTAGGCCTCGGCCACATCCACCGAGAAGGCGCCGCCGTCTTCGCGGCGGTTGAGGGAGTCCACAAGTTGCACAACCTCGCGCGTGGTTGGCACGACGAAGGCGGTGACGGTGGCCGACGCCGCAGCGGCCGCGGTCTTCTCCGTGGAGGAAGCTTCCCTTTTATCCGACGCAGACGTCTTCTTGGTTGGCGCACCCGGCGTCGGTGGGGGTTGCAACGGTGCGGTGGCAGCGGGAAGCCGCAGCCGAGACAGCCGTCGTCCACCGTTATGCTCGACGATGAACAGGTCGATTTGATCCAACGCGAAGCGCTCGAATTTTGCCGCCGTCTCCGCGTACGCGCTGGTGGGACCGTTGTACGCCACACAGTTGGAGACCATCAAGGCGATGTCGGCCCTCAGGTCCGTCAGCTTCACATCGTACGAGTAGGCGCCCTCCAGCGCCTTCTGGGCCGCCGTGGCCAAATCGCAGCGACGCGGGCACACCTTTGTGTAGCTCTCTGCTAAATACGGGTACGTCTTGACTACATCCTCGGCGAAGATGTGGTGGTCCTCGTCGCGGTCTAACGCGCGAATGAGTGCTGCGGTTTCCTCTTCACCGTAGAACTTGTGATCTCTAACAACGCTGCCTTCCATTTTTTAACCTCTTCGCGTTATTGTCTTTTCCTTTTCTTTCTGAGGGTTAATGATGCGAAGGAGGTCTGTTAGGCCTCACTTTCCAACGTCGGCGAGACCCACAGCGGGAACACAAACGCACACACACACGCACCCAACAACAACAATCAAGGATTGAATGCTGACGCCACAGTACTGTCTCTCTCTCTCTTTGCAAATACGTGTACGTTGTTTTCCGTGGTGCACCGTGAGAAGGCGGACAGGAGAAAGGGAGAGGAGAGAGGAGAGGAGGAGGGAGTCGTAAACAACGAAACGAAAGAGACGGTAGAGGAGAAATCACGCTGTCCCGCTAAAATTCAGGGTGCACTGCACCGCAAAAGGCCAGAAAGTGCCTTAGCGATTATAGTAGTAATAGTATCAGCACTAATAGAAGTCCTGTCCTGACTCGTCGAGGTGAGAATGTGCGTCATTTGCATTCATTCCCCCCTCCCCTCTTCCTCGGTTGCCAACGACGTAGCACCCAACAGGAAACCACGTTGCGCCCGATTTGCTTGCCTTCTGCCTTTGCTCAAATACGCACCGGAGCTGATCCGCAAACGACCCACTTGGGCCACGAAATAAGTAAAAAATATACTAAATTAAGAAGAGAGAAGAAAGGACGTCCAGAAGGAGAAGATAATGTTTGATAATATGATCGAACTGCCAGGTAAAAGAGGATCGAGGGAAGTCGCGCCTGACATTCCGCAAGTTTTTCGTGATCTCTGGGTGGTGGCGGTGGTCGTCGTCGTCGTCGTTGCTGAGAGGGACGTAAGAACAAAAAACCCCGTCGATACAAAAAAGACTTACCTCAGTTCGACAAGAAACGCGCTGCGTACTCATCGCGCGCACACACACACATAGGAAGATAAATAAGTATTGAACGAAGCGGTGCGTGCGGTCGTAGGCGAGGAAACGCTGACGGAAAGTGGGATGTACTTTTCCTTCCTTCCTTTCTTTATTTTTTCCAAATGAGCAATGCTCGGCGCTTCACACGGCCCATTCGCTGCTCGAGAACAACACGAGAGCATCCGTCGCCGACAAGGCGGGGAGCATCCACCACAAAAAAGAACACGCATAAAACACGGGCCCCGCAAACACCAAACCAGAAGCTTTGGCATACGTAAAGGGCATTCACGACACACACATGCAGTGATTCCCCTTAAAAAAGCGGCGAGGAATAAAGAGCGCACGTGAGACACGCGACGGGTTCAACGACATCAATTTTTTTGGGGGTTTCTCCCTCCCCCCCCCTCTCCTCCCCTTCGTAAAGTAGAACGAAGAAGTCACCCCTCGCCGCTTCTGCGGGGGCACACCAGCATTCACACACCTGCGGGAACAGCAATTTCAGGAAACACCACATGCACAGTATCAGGTCAAACAGAAATGCAAGGAGGGCGGGCGGGTGGGCGAGGAGGAGGGGGCTAGGAGGAATACGAAAAGACCGGTGGTGCCACAAAGGGCTTCTTTTTCTTTATCCTTTTAAATACATACGCACATACAAACGGTGGAAATCCAAAAGGACCGCGTGCATGATGAACAGCAAACGACAAACCGCCAATTACATAGGAACAATAATAATGATCACACATACACACACCCACACAAGTGCTCTCCACTCCGGCCCACACTTTACCATGTGACTGTGAGGAACTACAACGCAAACATGAACATCCAGAATGTATATATATATATATACTTATATACTAGCATTATAAGAAAAGGAAAGAATGCCGCAGCGAGTGCAGGAAGGACACCTGCTGAGCCTTCCATCAGCCGGCAGACACGACGGAGTACGCCTGCGCGGCCCCTACACAGGAGTTACTACACTTGTAGTTCGCCTCTGGAGGCTGTTTTGTTCAACGTAGTCCACGTCTGCTCATACACGGCCATCGAAATACCCGAGACGGGACCGGCCTTGAACAGCGAGGCCGCCAGGCCACGATAGAGCCGCGCAGGGTGGCGCAGAACGGCCGGGATGGCGTGCGCCTGGCGGGACTGCACGAGCGTCTTAACCGTGTCTAGAGGGTACAGCAGCACCCACGTCGCCATGGACGCCGACGCGCCAGATAAGAAGGCCCCGAGGTGCGACGTGCGAGGGGCGCCGAGCGCCGTGGCGAAGGCACCCTTCGACTCCGTCTGAAAGCACGCCCGATCGCGCAAGTTCGCGTAGAGGCCGAGGTAGGCGCCCGCGAAGCACACATCCTTCAGCACGTTGTAGCGGAAGCCGCGGTAGTACCCAAAGAAGCCCTCCTTTCTGTAGATGTCCTTCATGCACGTCCACGCGTTACGCGTGTCTCGGGCGGTTTGGTACTGCGTCTGGATCTTAATCACGTGCATCGGGCAGCCAATCAAGGTGCCGAAGCCGCCCGCCAAGGCTCCGCTAAGAAAAGTGCTGCCACCGACATACGCGAGAGCCTGACAGCTGTAATGCCGGGTGGTGAGTGCAAACGACGAAGCAGCGATGGCACAAGGCTCTTTCGCACCCGCCTTCGCCTTTCGTTTGCGTTTTTCGTGTTCCTCCTCCGCTGCCGCCGTTGCAGTTGTGCTCCACGCACGCAACCAATCCCACAGCGCAAACTGCAGACTGCGCTTCGCCCCTTCCATCACCAGCGGCGGAGCGACACCGCGATAGAGGCTGCGAACGCCCTCCGTCGACACCATCGACCACATCGTGCCAAAGGTGGAGCTCATCACATTCGGTCCTGCGGCCTGCATCCGCACTTTGGCGGTGTCGAGTGGGTGTCCCAGCACCACCGTCGAGGCTCCCTGCGCGGCCCCAGGCAGGAAGGTGACGAAGGACATCTTGAGAAGGCTCAGCAGCGCCCACTCTCTCTCTTCGACCGACACGAAGAAGGAGGAGTGGGTGGGGGCGGATGTGGGGACCGACGAGGCGTGCCCGTGCGGTACTCCCGGCGCCGTCGTCATCTCCCGCATGAAGAGACCTTGCTAAATATAGTTGAAAAATGAAGAAAACAGAAAAGGAGAAGATAATTGTAAAACCCAGACGGAGGAAGTTTCAACGTTGGTGAGGAAATTTAAAGCGCTTTAAACGATCTTTTTCTTTGTATTATTATTTCAAGCGAAGAAGAAGAAAAAAAAAAGGGGGGGGGCGGCACGAACTCAGAAACGAAAGGAAGAGAGAGAGAGGTGATGATGCTCCTTCTCTTTCCTTCCTTTTCGCCGATGTGTTTTGTGAGCTTCGTGCACCACACAGAGACAGATAGTTCTGATACCTCACCAAACGCAAAAAGGCAGCCTTTTCTTATGTATATACATACATACATATATACATACATATATACATACATATACATATATATATCTTCTCAAATGATCGCCCTTTCTTCGTTACGGAGAGATGAGAAGAGCCGCTTCTGGTGAGGGCAAGCCCAAAAGAGCCACCCGGCGGAATAAAGTGGAAATACGCTGGCAAGAAACACTTTATAGCACTAGCGCACGTGTGCGCGTGTCGAGAGCTTCGTTAGGCCGCTACGGACGTGAAGCAACACGGGTAAAGGAAACGAAGAGATGAAGCGCTGGCGGGGTAGAAATGAAGGCGTGAAAAGAAGCAGAAAGAGACAAACCAACACCAACAAAGAAAAACACTATAACTAGTAAAGTAAGGATTGTGGATCATAAACACACAGAGAGTATAAAGATATATATAAGGACTCCGAAATGTTAACGGAGGCGATGAATGACCTAACACGTATTCACCCCAGCCTAACCTTTTTTCTTATCAGAAGGATAACGCACAACACCGAACCGCTATACCGTGTCGGCGCTGCCAAGCAACCGAGGGACACGAGAGTTACTCCCGTCGTTCGCAGCGACGCTGAAATCGAAGGAAAGGCGTTCGTATATATATATATATATATATTGTGTTTGTGCGGTTCCTGTAGACAAGTTCAGCAGGTGCGTGTGTTTGTGCAATGTCGTAGCAGCAGGTTGCGGGTGTGTCCATATATATATAGGTCATGGTAAAAGAAGAAAGAGGGAGACAGCAATACAGCCCATTGGGAAGATGCGACACGATGAGGCGAACGACGCGTACGAGTAATAAAAGCAAAGAAAAGCAGGCGAACGAACCTGGCTACGGCGTGCTTCGGCCGCGTGTTGTGCCGCTCACCTGAAGAAGCAGAGCAAGCGAGAGTACTAAATACATAGCACTTTTTCTTTTCTCTTTTTTAAAAGGACATACACTTCTCAAGTGCAGGTTTTGACCCTTGCTTCGGTTGTTGGGCAAGGTATCTCAGAAGACATGAAAGGAAAGGAAAGGAAAGGAAAGAACAGCGTTCCACAGTACTGACGGAAACATTGATGTACATCGATTAGGTCAACAAATAATAACCATCGTAAAGAAAGGAGAGGGAAGAACAGAGAGAGCGGAAGAAATCATCAGCTTCCACAATCACGTATGCGATCGTCGAGTTCGCGTGGTGAGACCACGCTAGAATGATCCACTGCACTACCGATTCAAAGAGAAATAATAATAAGAAGAAATGTGGTAATTCACGCTCTGGGGAACACTTGTGTCCCTGCCGCTGCTAGCGTCGCACGGCGTACGGCTTCACCACCCAGTCACTGTGCAGCTCACCACACCCCGGGCAACGAATCGGGCGAATGCTGCCATCCTCGTCACGGTCCATGTCCACCAGTTCTCCGTTCGCGTCTACGCGGAGAAGCCGGCGGTTGCAATGCCCGCAGTAATACGCGCGCCGCTGCACCGACGTCGCGCCGCTGTGCAGTCGAAGCTGCGCCGCCCGCCGCTGCGCCACCACCGTCAGCGATGCCGCCGCCGCGCGCTGACTCAGCAACGTGTTGCCGACGGCACCGACGCCGGCGTAGGTGGAAGGCGAGGCGGAGCGCAGCAGCAGCCGCACGCCGTCATTTCCGTCCCCCGTTGCTGCGGCGTCTTCCTTTGCCACGGCGGAGTCCGTTGCGAGCGGCGTACGCGCCGCGCCCGCCGACGGCCCACGCGGTGCCACGTATCGATTGGAGTACGTGGTCGGCAAGTTCAGATGATCGCCCTGCTCGTTGAAGGGGGTGGACGGCTGCCACGACGTGTGCGACAGCTTACACCGCGGGCACATCAGCGGAAGGACGTTGTCAAAGGCCGATTTCGCAAAGGGCAGCGGGGTGCCGTCTTGGTCCATCGCGAGGACGTGGTAGCCGCAGAGGCCGCACTGCCATGAGACATTCTTGCGCAGTCGCGACGCGCCGGAGGCGGAGCTGTGTGCAGGCGGCTGCCCCGGCGAGACATCCGCCGCGGCGGTGGGAGGTGCCGTGGCGGTACCGTCGTCGTCGACCTCCACCACCGACACGTTCGGCGGCGGTGGCTGCTGTGCCTGGTGTTGCTCCTCCGAAGCCGTGGGGGAGGGCGAAGGCGAGGGGAGAAGGGTGTCATCATCTACTGCTGTTGCCGCCGCTGCCGCTGCCGCCGCCGGCGTGGATGTGGACGTGGAGGACAGCGAGGTGCGCTTTGGGTGGAGGGCCGCAACGGCCACCGCCGTCGGCTGCGGCGCCCCGTACATGTCTGTCGCCCACGAGGAGCCGGGCTGCGGGGAGTGCTGCCCGCGCACGACGTTCGCCAGCGCGTGGACGTCCGCCTCGGTGGTGGCCACTGCGATGGCGCTCGCAAGCGGGGAGCTGTTGCAGAAGAGGCCGCTGGCGCTGGTTGGGGTAAGGGAGACGTTGGCGGCCGCCATGGGCATTGCTGGCGGGCGGTGGAAGAGGAGAGATGTGTTATCTACTGTTGTTCCTGTGCTTTCGCGTGTGCTCTTTCGAGGCCGTTGATAGCAGGCACTGAGCTTTGGCAAGAGGAGGTGCGCGGTCGTGCGGCGCGTAAGAAGAACCCTTATGGTGAAGTAAAGCGTTTGTGGATGTAAATGAATAAGAACGACGTCAACCCTCAAAAGAAAACACGAAGAAGAGGTGGCTCGAATGAGTAGAGAAGTAGGCAGCGGCTTGGCTCACTGGAGAGACTTCTGACGGGAGTGAAGAGATAATAATAATAATAATCATCGTCAACCCAACGGCAGTAAACAACAGCATGATTTGCGATGGCGGCGCGGGTGCGCACCTCGTTGCCTCCGCTGAATTTTGGTTGCAAGAGGCCATCCCCGCCAGGTTAGAAAGGAGGATTCCCCTTTTATCCAAGACGGAGGACGAATGACGCGAGGGCCGACCACGCTCCGTGAGACGTTGATTCCGTTTTGAGGTCTGAAGTTGTGGCGCGAGGAAACCCTCCCCCAAAAAGAAACGCAGACTGACGTAGCTCCACGCAGCGAATCTTGCATTTAACATCCATGTTTGTTTACAGATATATACATCCCAGCAGTGACGGCGGAAGAAGCAAGAAAAACATAACCGCTACGAGGACGAAGGCCACCGTTTGCTGGGCTTCAAACCCTTCCCTGTTTCTCCCCCCACACACCCGCTCGCCGTCTACCGTGTCGAGGCACACCTCATTTCTTTGCGGAGGAGGGCGCCGAGGAGGAGGCACCACCCCCGCCCAGCGCCGATCCGCCCGCACCGTCCGCCGCAACGGCCTCCGTGTTTGCGGACTCCTCGACATGCACGGTGGTCGGCGTCAGATACGGCAGTGCAAGCGTGCACGCGTGGGGCTGCGCTGCCGCGGTGGCTGCCGCCGGCCCACACCCGCCCACCACGTAGGCAACGCGCTGACTCGACACGACGGCCGCGGCGTGGTGACGCGCAAACGCCGACGGGACCGCCGCCGCCGCCGCCGCGACGACGACAGCAGCGGAGGGCAACGACAGGTCGAGAGAGGCGGGGGGGCTGCCGCCCGCGCTGGACGCCGCGGCGGAGGCGCACTCGCACGGTGCGTTCATCCGCACCCACCGCGCCCGGACCACCGGCGGCCCACGCGCCGTCACGGCGGCAGGGCCGTTTTTAGCGGCCGGTGCCGGTGCCGGCGCCTCCGCCAGTTCCCCGTCCGCCCCGCTGAGGATTTGCAGCAGCCACGCATCGGCGCACACCGCACCCTCCGCGTCGAGGCCGCCGAGGACAAAGACCTCGCGGTGATGCACCAACGCGCCGGCGGTCGACGGGGCAGGGGTGGGAACGGCGGCGACGGCGGCGGCGTAGCGGGCACAGGGCCCGGGCCCGCCTGTGATGTGCACCGGCAGCCACGCGCTCAGTCGCGTGTCGTACACCGCGACATCTCTGTGCACCGTCAGCACCGCAGTGGCAACGGCGTCAGCGCCGTTTGTGTTGTTGCCACCGTCGCCGCCTTTGCTCGCCGGCGACCCGCGTTTGTTGACGGAGGTGGTTCGTGAGGCCGCCTTGCCGACCGTCGATGCCTTTCCCGGGCTGTTGCCACCCGCGGCTCCTCTTCCCCTGCCAGCGGGCGTCGGGGAGCGGCTGGCATCGGCGCCGTCGCCCTGCCAATGAACGGCGCGACCACCGAAGACGAAGAGGTAGCGGTCGCACAGGCAGCAGGCGCCATGAGCTGCTCGTGGAGGCGGCACCTGCTGTTGCTGCTGCTGTTGTTGCTGCTGTGGTGGAGGTGGAGGTGGAGGCGGTACTGAAGGATAGGTCGGGGAGCCTTGGCGGGGAAGGGAAGAAGCTTGCTCCGCTGGTGTCCCTGCCGTTGCCGAACCGCCATCGTCCGCCGTCGCGTTGTCGACGATGGTGCCTAACGCAGCAACGGTGCCTGCCTGCGCCTCGCCCCCAAAGCGAAAGCGAACCCCATGCACCGCGGTGACGCTGTGGTGGCTGCGCGTCGCGCTGGGCAGAGACGTGGGCGGACGAACGGGCGCGTCCACATCGCGGCCGATGGGCGAGAAGCACCGCGTGTCCGCAAGACGACGCCCGCGACTCCACCCGCCGTCCACCCACGCGCCGACCGGCCGCTCCGCCTCGAGCGCCTTCGTCTCCCACGTCACCCCCCACGGCGCGTAGTGCGGCCACTGCACCACCGACTGCCGTTCGTCTGCGGTGGAGGTGCGCTGTTTAGTGCTGTCGCGTGTCGCTTCTGTGCCCGCCGAGACGGGCTGACACGGGATAGACTGCCAGACGTGAGAGGCTTTGGTGTTGCGACCGAGGTGGGCGGAGGTCCACGCCAGCAAATCGAACGCCGTCGTCGCCTCCGCCGCCGCCGCAGCAGCAGCAGCGCAATCGCACGGGCGTCCTCCGACGATGCACAGCACGCTTTCATTCGGCGAGAGCTCCGCCGCGTGTCCCCAGCGCGCCGTCACGGCTGCTCCTGCCGCGCTGTTGCGCCGCACCGACTCCTCTGTTGCTGCAGTGGCTGCGGCGACGGTGGTGTTTGCCCAGACCGTAGGGTTGCCGACATCGACCACGAGAGGGGGGCCGCTGATCGTCTCCTCGTATAGCTGCGGTGGGCCACTCGCGACGCCCTTCCCTCGCGCACTCGAAACTTTCCCCATAAAACTAACAAGTCAAAGACGACAGAGAAAAAAAGAAGCAGGGGAGAGACGCAGGACCAGGTGGCGCACGCTTAGCCGTGGTGCAGGAAGGCAGAGGAAGGCCCACAAGCTCGAAGGGGAAAGGGAGGAGGGAGAATCCTCAAGTGAAAGCCTTTAAATGAGAATATCTCCACACTGAAAGCCAAATAGAGCAGGAAGGAGGAAGGAGAGCGGTGGTGGAATAAGACAGCACACAGAAGACGACTTGACGACATTAACATCACCCACAACATCAAGGGCACTTTGCGCTGTGCGAAGCGATGCCCGCTTGAAAGGAAGAGGGAGCGGTGCCTTGCAATACATAAACCTACGAAAGGAATGGACACGGGCAGCATTTTCGCCGTTGCCAGCCCCGTGCATTGCCAGCAAATTCTATCGGTCCTTGTCGTTTTCCCTTTTGACTGTAACGCATCCGAAGCACAGGACAAAGAAACGAAGCTACGGACCTCACCGACAACCTTGTACAGGCTTTACTACCTTCTGGGCAGCCGTTGACTCACAAGAAGAAGAAAAAATGAGTAGACGAATACGGGAAGAAGGAAAAGGAAGGTGCTGAACAGCCTCGTAACAGCACAAAGCGCGGCGGTGATGTCTGCGGCGTTAACCAGGATCAAAAAGTCACCGTTAAAGAAAAGAGAGAGAGGAAGCTTCACACCGCCCTCCTCCTTCCTCTGCGAAAGACAACCACAATAACTCGTTTTATCAACCGTCTACTGCGCTGCTTTTCAGTCGAGTGAACCGATAGAGGAATAGCGAAGGGAGACGAACAAGCAAGCAGCAGCAATACAAAACAAAGTAAAATCAAACCTTGACCCTGCGGCGCCTCCTATGCCTGAGGAAAAGGATTGTCCATGTTGTCTAGATTTTGCAGGGCCCACTCTGGCAGGTACGCCTTGGCGTGCCGACACAAGCGATCGATGTGAGGGGGAATCAGAACCGGCACCGTGTACTTCCTCCCCTCCACCTCCACGGTCTCCGTGGGCCAGCTTTCGTAGGTGATACGGTTTGCCCTCCGCATCTGCGCCACGCGCACCTCCGGCGACAACAGCGCCCTGCTAAGCTCCTGCACGAAGTCGATGCAGTTGTGCTTAATGAGGTGGTACTGCTTGCCCTGCCAGCTGTCCTTCTGCCGAAAGGCCTCCACCAACTCCTTCACGGCGGCGGAGCTCAAGTTGGTTTGACCGAGGTAGAGTTGCTCGCGAAAGACCTGCCCTTGCGAGTGGCGCGGCTCCACCATGGCGACACCGGTGCCCTCCTCGCAGCGGCCATACTGGTACTCGTCGTCGTAGACTTGGATGCCGACGTGGTGTACGCCGAGGCCAACGTACCACAGCCACCCGTTGGCCCCGATGACGTCGTACACGTTCAAGAAGACGGCGTTGAGCTGCTTTGGGCCGTCGCAAGGGTCTGACGCGACGAACGGCGCCGTTGTGTCCCCAACGTGGGAGATTTCGGCTGAGGAGATGGCAGCCGTGCCGGCATTAGTGGGGCAGAGCGACATCGCTCGTTGCGCGTAGAAGTTCCTACTTGCACGTGTGCGTTTGGGCGTGTCACTGTGTGTGTGTGGATTGCCGTGTGCGATGTTCCGCACGTCAAGAGAGAAAAGGGAGAAAAAAACAGGTTCGTGAATCGCACCTTTCCTCCTCTCAGGCGCAGTGAGCAGACAGGCAAGTAAGCAAAAAAAAGCCGTTGTAGCAAGAAGGCGAAGAGTGCATCCGCGGCCGGCACAGCAGGAAAAAGGGCTTGGTTTGCGAGTTGGTGACGCTTGTATGAAACGCGCGAGGCGGAGAAGGAAACAGAGAAAGGAAATGGAGGAGAAAACGGGTAGACTGCACGGCGACGTCGCCGCGACAACGGTCTTCTTCTTCTTTTCTTTCCCAGTTTTTCTCTCAGCGCTCGTGCTACACACACAGTGGACGACGATGATTGGTGCGCTTCGTGTTGGAATCATTAAAAAAAGGAACAACCGCAAAAGGAGAGAGTATCGGTCTAAGGAAGATAACGCGCAATTGCACACACACCAACTAGGAAGAGAGAAACAGGGCGACAACGGAAAAACCAAGTCGTGAACGGCACTTCAGTCTCAAAAAGGAAAAGGAAAATGCCATCGTGTGAGCTCAGCGATGCTCGGACACGACGGCACTCATCACGACGATCGATAGCGAGAAGGATAGCTAGTAAACAAAATCATTCGGGAAGAGGAAAAACAAAAGGAAGTGTATGCACATCACAGCAAATAAAAATAATAAACTACGAAACATCGGGCGAGTCTTGGCCGCAACAACCGCCAAACACGCAAATGTACTCCGTCTCATAGCGACAGCACCATCAAAAAGTGGAGGAAGCATGCGCCTGTTTGGTCGTTAAGGTCACTGATGAGAAGCCTCGGATAGACTGGAGAAAGGCAAGTCAGTTGTATCCAGTCGCCCCAGCGCAGCGCGTGGCAGAAGCCGCGCCGCGTGCCGCGAGAGCCGATCCACGTGCGGCGGAATGAGTGTCGGCACCGCGTGCCGCACCCCGCCCACCTCCACCTCCTCCATTCGTCCCTGTTCGAGACCGACGTTCTCCGCCTGCTGCGCCTGCGCCACACGCACCGCCGGCGGCAACAAAGCCTCGCAAAACGCACGCGCAAAGTCGATACAGTTGTGGCGCACGACGTGGTAGTGATCGCCCAACCAGCCGTCCTGCGACCGAAACGCCGCCGCAAGTTCCTCCACCGCCGCCTGGTTCAGCTCCGTGCGGCCAAGGCAGTACACCTGGTGGAAGATGTGCGGTGGGGAGTGGCGCGGCGGCACGCAGCCGATACCGGTGCCGTGCTCCCGGTAGCCGTACTGGTACTCCTTTCCATAGACCTGCACGCCTACGTGGTGTATACCGCACCCAATGGACCAGAGAAAGCTGCTGCCGCCCATGATGTCGTACACGTTGAGGAGGACCGCACGCGGATCCGACGCGTCGCGCAGGTGCTCCGAGGCGGCTAATGGGGTGGGTGGCAAGTACACCGCCGTGGCGCTCGGCGCGGCGGTCGTGAAGGCCGGCATGGAGAGGAACGGGGCCTTGGCGGTTTCCGCCTGACGAAGGCGGTCGGGTGCGTTCATGGTGCTTGGAGAAAGTTAAAAAAAGAAGTGTAAAATAAAAAGAAAGAGGAAGGCGAAGGATAATACGAATGTGGACAGCAACCAACACGAGAGGAACTGTCTGTGCGCTTTACGGAATGGGTGGACTTCACCGCTAACGTGCGCCGGTGGAAGTCAGCGAGAGCGAAGGCGCACGTGCGCGCAGTGAAAGGCAGACGCCTACGTGCAGAAGCTTATTCCTTCCTGTCTTGGCTCTCCTACGTGGGTCCGTGATGGCGAGAAGCGAAGAATTCAGTAATGTGCCTGCGGCGGCGGGTACGAGTAGGAGAGAGAGAGAAAGAGAGGGGGAGACAATACGAACAGCACCGTTGTTGACGCTTCGTTCATCCGCTAGGAAACTCATGAGACATGCTGTGGGTGGGGAGATTCTTCAAGACGTATCTCGTGAAAGAAGAGGAGTCTCCTTGTTCTCTCCTGCCTTTCCGTTTCTGATGGAGTGCGTGTCGCCGTAATGAAGTTGGCTCTCCTCGTCACACAAGTATGCACCACAACCGGCAAACAACAGCAGCCAAACATTGGCGTAGTCAGTGCTGGGACGACCGCTACGAGAAATAGCAAATACACACGGAGGAAGCGAAGAAACTGAAAATAGCAGCACAAAAAGCTTTTCTTCCTTCTTTCCCTTCTCTTTTGCGTTGTGAGGCACGACTGCGATGCGATACCCCCGTCCCCTCTCTCTCTTCCCACCCACGCCGCGTTACTCGTCGTCGCTGTCAACGACAATGACGGGCTCCGCCGCCTTCACCGTCGATGCGGACGTGCCGTTGCGCTTCAACGGCCCCTCAACTCCCTCCTCTGCGTCAATGATGACCGTCTCCACCGGAGCCGGAGCCGGAGAGGCGTCGCCGCGCCTGCGTCTTCGTTCTGCACGCACACTGGACGATGCAGGGACTGGAGGGACGAGAGTGCAGGACGGAGGCGCCGCGTGATTCGCTGGACTCTTCTCACCCCCTCCGTCTGTGTCGTCCTCGGCCACATCGGACGCTGCGAAGCGATCCGCCCACTGCTGGCCTTGGCGCACGGCTGTCCAGTAGGCCCGCGAGCACCACGCAGGGTCCACCGGCTCGGACAGGTGGGAGGGCGCAGCGGTGGAGGCGGGGGCGGCGCGGAGGGCTACTCTTCTGTCGGCAGGCGAGTATAAGGCCAACGCCATCACGTTGGCGAAGTGCTCATCCGGCTCCACGGCAACGGCGCGGACGACAGAGGCACCTCCTGACGCTTCGGTGCAGCGCACTTCACGGGTGACGGTCGTTTCCGGTTGTACGTTCGGTGTTGTTGCTGCGCTGCGACGACGATCCGTGTTCTCTGTTGGTGTCTCCTCTTCGTCTTCGTCTTCCGCGCTCGCTCTCGCCGCGGTGGATGTGGCCTCGGCAATGCCGAGCGGAACGAGAAACGAGAGGGCGGTGGAGAGCGGCGCGAAAGCCCCCGTCGTTGGCCAGGCGCACAAGGTCGTCCCCACACGTCTGCCGCGCTCGCACACAGGGGCCAGAATTACCTGCTGGGCTATCGCCGCGTAGTTCATCGGTGACGACGCGGCTCCTGCGTGGGACTTCCCCACCGTGCTGTGCTGCAGCAGCTCGGCGATGTAGCGCACGTGCACCGGGATGCCGCACACCCACACCACAAAGAAGACGTGCTGCTGAACGTCGTCAACGGTCCAGCGAGACAGGGGCGGGCGACGCGGGCCGAGGGTCGTCAGCGGAGCGCCGCCACGCAGGTGGGCACTCGAGCTGAGATGCACCACAGAGTTGTCATCTCCCGTGCTGTGCGACATGACGAATGAATACCACAAAAAGTACACGAGAGAGAATAACCAAAATACGAAAAACAACAGCAACAGCGAAGAGGCTTGCAGAGGATGGTAGTAGCCAAGTTCGTCTACGCCGCCGTACGAGAAGTGCAGAGGTGCGGAGGAGAGGGAGGAGGCAGAAACGCTCAAAAGACACGCCGTGAAGCGAACAGAAATGCGGTGGAGGAGGGTCGTCCGTCTCGATGCGCAGACCGGGCGCCTGCACCAACAAACACCCGTCTTCTTTTTGCCTACACACACACACACACAAAAGAAAAGGACGACGGATGACAAGGGAGAGAGCAGTCGCACGAAGAGAAGAACGCGGCTGGGAGAGAGAGTGAGAGAGAGTCCAAATACGCGAGGTCGGGGGGTCGAGGCGAAAAACGCCCCTTTTTTCATCTCATCTCTTCCTTCCTCTCCTTCGTTCCGGCGTGAAAGGTTCGTGCAGCAATTGCGCCGCGTGGGCGGTCCCACGGCAGCCAGCGCATTACCAATTGTTCTCTTTGCTTACATTGAGAGAGTGGCATCACGGTGAAACATGAAAAGTAAGGAAAGGGATGAAGGAATAGTCCAGAGATTCAAGAAAAAAAATGTATATATATATATATATATACAAATATATAACATACAGGAAGAAGAGGCACCACCACCACGAACGCGCGTGTGCGGCGCGTTCTCCACGTTTGGTGCGAATAAAAAAGGGAGGGGAGAGAACTGTATCATCATCATCAGCATCATCATCATCACTATGCAAAGCACGCAGAAGGAAGAAGAATTAGTTAAGAGAGAAGGAAAAACAAAACATCGGATAATTCCACTCGCACACACACACACACACACACACAAACCGCCCCTTCTGACATACATCGTTGGACAACAAGAGTAGTTTACATGGCAATCGCCATCAGCGGCGGAAAGCACGAAAAAACAGGAAACAAATACACGCACCTCCGCACTACACAAAACCTGCGGGGGTTTTTCTTCTTGTTTGCTTTGCGCCTTTAACGTTTCCAGTTGCAAAACATATATCTGTGTTTAGCACACAGACACGCCTCGTCACAGTTCAATTTGGGCCGGCGGGGTCGAGGGGGCGGCGGCGCTCTCCTTCGTGGGCGCTGCGGTGATGGCCGCCGCCCCACTCTCCCCGCGTGCCGCCGCCGCCGCCACGGCGCGCTCCAACGCCTGCTGCTCCTTCGCTACGAGCGCCTTCGCGTTGGCGATCTGCGCGCGCTTTAGGCTCACCTCCTGCTCCTCGCCCTCCACGTACTTGCTCGAGTGGTCCACAAACCGCGTGCGCGCGGCGACGGACTCGTGACCGAACTCCTGCAGGGGGTGCACAAAGGTGTCTCCGGCGCGAGCACAGGAGGAGAGCACGATGTCCTCCACCGACTCAAAGACCTGCTCGCCGGCATCCTGGGTAGCGTGGAGGGCGTTGATGACGCCTTCCACCGCCTGCGCCTGCGCGAGCACCTCCGCCAGCTCGCCGCGGTATTGTTCGTAGTTGGGGTCGAGGCTGTCCATCGCGCTGTCGCGGTTGTGCTGCGCGAGCCGCGCCTGCCGCTCCAATGTGTCGAGGCGGTGCGTCTTCTTCACGGTGAGGTCGCCGCAGGAGAAGACAAAGGCGCGGTAGGCCTCCAAGAAGCCCGCCGTCTCGCGGTCGATGATGTCGTTCAGGGCCTTCTCCGACGCGTCGCACGGCAGCTTCGGCACCATGTTCCTCACGTACGCCTCCATCTCCTGCACCACCGGCGCGCAGTCGGCGCAGTAGTCGAGGCACTTCTGCAGACGCCGCTCGTGCTGATCCGCAATCTGCACGAACTCGTCGTGCGCCGTTACCCGCTCCGCTTCTGCCTTCACGGCCTCGGCGACGTCTTGGGTGACGGCGCGCTGACGCTCCATCACGTCCCGCAGCTCCGCCGCGCGCTGCTCGATTTCCTCAATCAGCTGCAACTTGCGCTCAATCAGCGCGTTCAAGTTGTCCCCCATCGCCTTTTTCTGATCCTCGAAGGCGGTGCGTGCGGCGTCGTGGGCCGCGGCCTCCTGCGTGCCTGCCTCCTTGCACTTGTCCATGTCCGCCTGCAGGGCGTCCCGCAGCGCCTCCTTGTCCTCGCTGAACTCCTTCACGCCGTCCTCCGCGTCTTGCCGGATCTTCTCCAGGCGATCCGCAAAGTGCACCACCTCGCCCCCGCTCTCCGTCTCGTTGAGGAAGTGCAGCCGCTTCGCGTAGCACACCACGTACTCGTACTGCGCCGCGATCAGGTGCCGATGTGCCCGCTCCACCGCCACCACGTCCTCGCTCGCGCGGGCTGCGTCGTACACGTTCTGCGCCTCCTTCACCTCCGCCGCGCAGTGCACCCGCTGCACGTCCATCTCGGCCAGCTCATCTTTGATTTCTTCCGCCGGGTCGACGTGCTGGATGTCGTGCAGCGCGGTGAGCGCCTCCGGGACGTGCACGACGGTCCGCGCCCCGCAGTGCGGGTTCAGCGCGGTCAGATTGTCGCGCATCACCAAGTAGCGGCCGCGGGTGAGGTCGGCGTGCTCCAGCTCACGCAGCGCTTTGGTCACCGCCTCGACGTCGAGGGTGGGCCGGGCGTAGATCTCCTCCAGTTGCGCCGGCGTCACGCGCTGGGCACACTCGGCGAGGAACCGCGTCTCCTCCCAGCCGGCGGGACGCTCATGCTGGTAGCGGGCGAACAGCTCTTGCACGGCGGCCGTCAAGCGCTCGGCGTTGTGGCCCAGGGGCGGCAGACGGCCCTCCGCGTACGTGGCGAAGTTGTCTGCGATGCCGAGGCTGTTCTCGGCGAGGTCGGCGACGGCGGCCGTGACGCGGTGGTTCTCAACGTCCTGGGCATCGCGGTTTGGGTAGACCGGCGGGATAATGGCACTGCGACTCATTGGAGAGCGATTGTCGATAGATCAGTGCGCGTGTGTGTGTGTGTGGAGGTACTCCTAAAGAAAGAGAGAAAAGAGGAGAGAAGGCAAAAAAGTATTTCCACCTCTTTCGCTCGACGAAATCACAAGACGTGTAAGTGAGTCGGCACGAGGAAGAGCGGTAAAAGAAAGAGCTCAGGTGTTTCCTTGCTATTATATGTGTACTTCTTCGTTTTGGCTTCTATTCGGGCGCCACAGCGAAATGGCAACGACGTCACGGAGGCGAGCGAGAGGGGAAGGAAGAAAGAAGAAGTGTGGTGCAGCTTCACGGCAGGAGTCGCCGAGGCAACGCAAGGACGGACGAAAAGCGCCGCGTGAGGACGTCGACGCGTTGCGGGGAGAATGCAGAAACAAAAAAAAGGATGGACGAGAGAGGAGGAGAAGATGACGACAAATGAAACGGCGTTGTGCAGCGCCCGGGGCGAAGGAAGGCGCCGCGCAGTGTTGATATTTTCGGAGGCGGATCCGTAAAATACAAAACAAAACCGCAAGGGGCGTCCCACCGCCGATATTTCTGTCAATCCTTGAGAGGGGGAGCGATGAACACAAGATGCGGCGCGACAACAACTCCAGTTCTCTTTCGCCGTGTTGTCGCGCATGGCTTCCGACGCCGTTACTTCCAGCGCCACGTTGACGCTCGCTGCGGAGTCGCCTCTTCCGCAAAAACGGGGAACCGCATGCGAAGAGTCTTACGCGATGCTTTATAAAAAGGAGGAAAGAAAGCAAAAAAGCCCGTGGAACACATTAGGAACAAATGACAGAAAAGCAGAGGAAAAGAAAAGCGCCAAGGCGACGAACAGCACGTACGCAACGGACAAAAGAAAACAGCAAAGGAGGAGCGAAAGACTGTATAACGAGAAACAACAATACAAGAGAGTGCGTCAGCTGCGGTTCACCTTCGCTGGCTCTACAGCTTAGTATCAACGATGACACCTCTTTCGTTGTGCTGCAAGAATACATACATATATATATATATATATGTGTGTGTGCGAACTTCTCCGTCAGCTCGCTGTCGCCGCCGTCTTCCCCTTCTTCCGCTGCGCGCGAGAGACGATGCTGTCATCGTACGCCTCGTCCTGCATCAGGTGGAACCACAGCACAGCCAGGCCCGCCCCCACCACAATCACGCCAACCACCACAATTAATAGGATGTACAGCGGGTTAAACTGCTTCTTGTAGTGGTGCGTCTTGGCAGACGGCGGCGCGAGGTCGGAGAAGGAGATATGCACGCGAGCTACGCGATAGCTGTAGGCGATGCTGCCGTCGTGGATGCCTGTCTCCACGTACATTTGATTTCCCTCCACAAAGTCGTCCGAGACGCTGGACAGGTCCAGCTGCAGCGTGTGCGTGGAGGTGCCGTTGATGTTGCCGAAGTAGCGGCGCATCTGACCCTCCGATTCCAGGGCTGTTTCGATGAGGTGCTCCTGTGTCTTACGTGGAGTGGCGAAGCAGTAAACGGCGGTGAACGCTTGCGCGCTGTACAGCTCCGAGAGACGAGAGACGTAGAAGGCGTCCTCCGCCGTAACGCCCGCTTCCTCCTCCGTCTCCGGCGAGAAGGGCGTCACGAACGTGAAGAGCGTCGTGTCGAACATGAGTTCGCTGTAGTTGCCTTTGGCGAAGAGAGGCGCGCCGTCAGAAGAAGTGTCGCCGTCGGAAGGAGTCTTGCCCAGCACAACCCACTGCAGGTCCGGGGACCCCGGCGGGGTCTCCCTCGGCGTGGCAAAGTCGTCCGAGATGTCCACGGCAGCCTTCAGCGCGTCCAGGGTAAGATACGAATACTTCCAACGCACCGTTAAATTCAGCTTTGCGTGGCGTGTCGTCTCGATGCAGTATTCACTCTCCATCGTGCTGGGCAGCCCAAGAGCGGCATCAGCGGCGTTGTGGCAGAGGTAGGCATCATCCAGCAGCACCTGCACATCGGCAGGGCGAGACGAGCACGCGAACGCCCTGTTCGACTGCTTCTCGATGAAAGAGTCGGCAGCGCAGATGCACTCCTGCTGCAGCGTGACGGAGGCCCTAGGCACGACGTGGCACGTACTTCGATCCTCCTCCGGCACAGACATGTAATCTCCGACAGTGATCCAGCCAGTCCCGGCGCAGTACATGGAGGTGTCCGAGGCCAGTCCTACGTAGCCCTGGAGGCAGGTGATGAAGGGCGATCTAGTGGAAGACGTGGCGGCCAACGGCACAACTCGCCGCATGGACGACTCTCCACCTTCTTCGGGTGTCGCCGTCTCTTCCTCCGCGACGGGGGCGCGAGCGCGACGAAGCGCGGCGGGTACCGGAGAGGAAGAGGAGAAGCCATCCTCCGTCCGGCGACGCGCAGCACGCGGGTCACCTTCTCCGTTCGCGTGCGCGGCTGCGGTGCGCACTTGCGCCTCGCTCCTCTCGGATAACTTTGAATTCATCAGCACCGACGCGAGGATGCGTGTGGCAGCCACCTTCTGCGAGACCACCTTCACCGCCGCCTGCACTGCCGTGTGGGGGTACTGCATAAACCGCGCAAGGATGGGAAGAGAGGCGTCGCCGACAGGTCCAGGGGCCGCGGGGGCGTTGGGCATGTGGGATGGGGGCAGCCCAGCACCTTCCTCAACGTGACCGTCGCCAGCTTCGTCGCCGCCGAGGGCATCGTTCGGGCCGTTGGTGAGAAGAACCAGCGCCGCCCCAACGCGTTCCGCGTACTTCGAGAGACTTCGCAAACGCTGACGCTGCTGAGGCGTCGTGGTGGGGCCGGCGGCCACCCCGCACACCGTCCACGTGGAGGCGGTCAGCAAGAGAAGGGCGAGGATGAGCGCCGCTACCCGTCCCGTCCTCCACAGAAACATGCTGAGTTGCTGGTTTAGGTTGGAAAAAGAAGCCCGACAACTGGCCGAGGTAAAGAGCTGGGGCGGCTGATACTGGAAGGGCCGAATGCAGTCGCTGCAAAACGCGTGTGACGTGACAGAAGCGCTGGCCGCAACGCAGAAGCCGCTGCTGCCTTTTTGTTTGTTTTCTCCGCTGCAAACGCCGAAGCCCACCGAAAACCCGACAACAACGCACACGAGTGAAAATGAGTGGAACGGCGAATACGTACCAAGAAGCCGCAACAACCGTTTGTGTATTCGTCGGTTTAAAAGGAAAAAACAAAAAGCAGCAGCAACGAAAACAGAAGTAATAACCGAAGGAATCAAAACAAGAAAGAGAAGGAAAGCGCCGATGAAGCAGAATAATTGCAAAAAAGAAGGTAGATGAAATGATGGCCGTATGAGGGCAGAAGAGTTGTGTGGGGGCGTGGCCTTGAGTACGCACACAAGTACGCACGACGATGCTCGACTCAGCTACGACAAATAACTTACGTTGTGTTGGGTGTGGTTTGCTTCCTGCGGAAGGGGCAACTTGAGGTCGGAGCTTGAACTACGCGCACACACACACACACACACACAACTGAAGGACGGCTTCAGCACAGAAGGAAACCAAAATTGTAGCAAGGAGAAGAAAGCGAAGAAGCACAGCGAGAGTGAAACCGGAGTATGAACGGACTTCAAGAAAAATATACTTGACGCCGTTAATTGTAGGAAGGACAGCGCTTGCTGGAATACGGCCCGAACCCTTCAGCTGGGGCCTGGCCTTCTCTAAAAGGAGTACCCTGGAACGCCTTCGCACTGTGCAGCTCCTACGCAGACACAAACAGCGGACTGCGAAGTCTACATGGCCTCTCTCTGTGTGGAGTTACGCACACCACAGTTAATACATCGGACTATTTTTTATCGTATCATTTGAGTGTAATATTTCGTTTTCTTCATTTACAGACTTCTTCTAACGGGAACCTCAGACGAGAGGAGGAGGGGAGGGGAGAGAGGGACTGGACAAAAATATTCTGATTGAACAGTAGTAATAATAATAAAAGAATTGCTCTATGATGGCGTTGCTTTCACACGCCGGCCAAAACAAAGTGGGATGCGTATCAGCGCGTGCGGGTACGCACCTGCCATCCTCGCTCACTCGCGTGCTTTAGCGCGACGAGTTCGACACGGCCTTCGTGCCCTCGGCCATGGCGTGCTTCGCCAGCTCAGCCGGCAGCACAATGCGCACGGCCGTCTGCACCTCGCGGGCGCCCAGGGTGCGCTTCTTGTTCGCGCGCACGATGGACGCCGCCTCCGTCGCGATGCGCTCCAGCACGTCGTTCACGTACGAGTTCACGATCTTCATCGTGCGGCCCGACATGGACATCTGGCTGTTGATCGCCTTGAGGGAGCGGCTGACGTACACGTTCCACGTGCGCTTCGGCTTGTGGTGCGACTTGCGGGCACCGGCCTTGCGGGGAGCAGAGCGAGGAGTGGCCATGGTTGTTCTTGGTGTGGGAAAGAGAGAAGAGAGAGGGTGGACGAGAGAATGCGTTGAAAGCAGAAGATTCTGGAGTACGTGGACGACGAAACGTGGTGTGTGCAGAAGAGGCGTGATGTAGATAAAATGGAAGGGAAGAGGAAGAGGAAGAATAAATGGCAGAGAAAATGACGGATGGGTTGAGCTAAACAAAGATAGTGGAGTCACGCGAGGGAAGGCGGAGAGCGTTGCGCTGACGACAACAACGATTGACAGAAGAAGCCACTCTCAGCCTCCTTCCTCAACTCAGGGGCTTCACCCAAACCAACAGGAGGGGGCCACATGAAAAGAAAACCTCGTTGCTTTCTCTCTTCTTTCGCCTCTTCGCTGTCCTGCTTTCAGGCACAGTTCTCAGCAGTACAGCAAGGAGGTAAAACGCTGGCTGCCATACCCCACCTCCGTCCTTCCACGTCGCTGACGGACTTCCATCCACACGAGGTGTTACTATTATGATGGTTCTTGGCCTTTTTAAATTTATCTTCTCCTCTCCTCTTCTCCCCACGATGCGACGACGAGGATGCGACGTAGGCGAATGCACGACAGCGCTCTTGCCTCTTGCGGTGCTGCAGCGGGCCGTCGCGCATGGCGAGGGAGAGAACGAACGACAATGGCACGAAAACAAAGGTAGAGGACAGTAACGACAGAACGCGGGGGAAAAAGGTAAACAAAAATATGTCAAGCATTTATTTTTGCGTTTGGTGGTTCATTCGACCGCGTCAGACGAACCGTCGAAGCCAGGAGACGAAGAAACTTAATACAAAAAGAGAGTTGTCTATAAAAGGGCGTGTGCGTGCCCGACAGCACCGTGCGTTCGTTTCTTTGGTGAGAGAAAAGGAAAGAAAACGACGGTGGTCGACGACACAGCCTGCGCACCTACACGCGTACACGAGTGAGGAAGCTGCCGCCTACCAAAAACGGAAAGACACGGTTGGGTTGGCGGACGTGGCGGAGAATGCGCACTTCGCAGCGTATCAGCGCGTGCGGGTACGCACCTGCCATCCTCGCTCACTCGCGTGCTTTAGCGCGACGAGTTCGACACGGCCTTCGTGCCCTCGGCCATGGCGTGCTTCGCCAGCTCAGCCGGCAGCACAATGCGCACGGCCGTCTGCACCTCGCGGGCGCCCAGGGTGCGCTTCTTGTTCGCGCGCACGATGGACGCCGCCTCCGTCGCGATGCGCTCCAGCACGTCGTTCACGTACGAGTTCACGATCTTCATCGTGCGGCCCGACATGGACATCTGGCTGTTGATCGCCTTGAGGGAGCGGCTGACGTACACGTTCCACGTGCGCTTCGGCTTGTGGTGCGACTTGCGGGCACCGGCCTTGCGGGGAGCAGAGCGAGGAGTGGCCATGGTTGTTCTTGGTGTGGGAAAGAGAGAAGAGTTCGCGATGTGCTGTGGAACTGCGGAGGGCGGGAGAGTTGCAACGGTGCGTACAGGGAGAGAGAAATTGTTTTGAAAAAGTCGTAGTGTTGCGCGGAGCCCCAATAAGCAGCAAGACATGTATATGTAAAAGGGAAAGGAAGATGAAGGCACGATAGGTAACCGTTGAGTTGCACTACTCGAGGAAACAAAGCCGCAAAAGGGGGCTGTGGAAGCGGTCCGTTCCTGCCATCTGCAGAAGACAGCAGGGCCCACTAGCACGGTGGTCCAAAGTTGGCAACACAACAGTTGCTATATCGTTAAGAGCCGGCTTTGGTGTCGCTCTTTCACCGTCCATGCTGAGAGCACCCGCTAAGAGCGACGGATTACACCTCGTCACGCATCGAACATATTTTCTTCATTTCTTTCAGGAGCACTGAACTCAGCTGAATCAGTGGGATAAGGGCATGCGACCCATTCTGTGTGCGAACTTGAGTGTGATGGGCACAGACACGTCGGCCTGCGTCAACCGGATAATAATCAACAACAACAAGGAAACGTACAAAGAATGTCGCGCAGAGATGCCTCTGCTGACTGTGAGAAGAAAAAAGAGAAAGAAGGAGAAGACGTCGTCATCCACGCAGCGTCAGCACACTGCCGCTCAACGCGGTCCACCGCGCATCCAGTATCAGAACAACAATACAAAAAACTCGTGTTCAAGAAACCCACTGACGCTTCTCTGATTGTTTTACGGCTGCTGTTTCATACCTGTTGTGAAGGCCGCTGCCTCCTTCGCCTCCAGTTTTTCCTTCGCTAACTTCCCGTCTCGGTATGCCAGTTGACGCTCGTCTATCGTAGCCGCCATCAGCGCCTTCTGCGCCGCCATGCCCGCCTCCGCTTCCCGCAGCACCTTCACATCGTACGGCAGCTGCGTGCACGTTACGCTGAATATGACGAGACCCAAACACGAAATCGGCGTGGTGAGGCGACGCACCGTTGAGTTCTGCACCCACCGCGCTACAACGGAGTTGATCGGGTCTGAGTAGCGCAGACCGCGACTCACCACCCACGCCGCGATACCGAGCCAGCAGCATTGAAAGCCGACCGTCATCGCGGCGTGGTTGCGCGCGTTGCCGAACATCTGGTGCTGCATGTGGTGATTGCCGTAAATCCGCTGGGCCTCTTCCATGCGACGCACGTACTCAACGGGGATATCCAGCGCTGCCACCTCGGCCGGATCGGTGATGAAGGGCGTCTCCACCGCTGCGTCACGCACGAGGCGCAGTGGGGCCACGGCAGCCGCCTCGCTTGCCTCCTGATCGGCCGCCGAACTCGACTTTGGTACTTGCATCCCTACGAACCGAGAGAAGGAAGAGAAAGAGGAACGCCTACCTGGCGGTGACGATGCTTCTATTCGCTAGTCTTCTATTTGTCGTTCAATTCACCCTCGCAGTACGCGACGACAAGCAAAACAGGAAAAAAACACAAATAGCCAGAACAGTTGCGGACGAGTTGAGGTTGAAGACGGAGAAGGAGAAATATATATATATATATATTTAAAAGGTGGAGACAGAAAATGACGAGTACTCGGACTGGCCGGATTGCACGGCGGCACATCACTGATCATACATGAGGAAAGCACCAAGGAAGACCATGGAGCAAGCAGAAACGAGGAACATGCTATTGGTGGGAGACACAAAGATCCGCAGCGGCCGAGGCCAAACGCACATGGAGGTACGTGAGAGAGCTGCTGCATAAAGCGCAACGCGTTGGGCTTCCAACGAATAATAGCTGATATAATAATAAAAATACAGCCAGTTTGGGTGAGGAAGGGGGAGAGGGGAACACGAAGAGCAGTGCAGACAACATTGGTAATAGTAATGGGCAGGCTTTGACAGCCCTCTCTTGACGATCGAAATCTACCGCGATGCAAAGCCGCAAAAGGGAAAAAGAGCTTCCGTCGTGGATGTCTATCTATGGCCCGTCAAGCGAAGTTTAATAAAACACACCCGTCGATGTCGTTCTTACTGCATGGTTTTACGAACTTTGGTGAGAGCGCCAGGACTGCGCTGCGTGCCACTAAGGCGATGCCGCCGATCACGCGGTGTGCCGCTCTCGCTGCTCTCCACGCTGCGCAGACGCTTCACGGAGCCTCGCAGATTTGTAATTTCCTCGAGGCTCTGGCGTCGACTGTCGCCGTCCCCGTCCGTCGCACCGCTGCCGCCATCCCCCCGTCGAGCTTTGATTGGTGGTGACGAGCTGGCTGCGCTCTCCGTCGTTGCCTTCACACCTTCCGCGTGCGGCCTCGAGTCCAGCTGCGCCTGTGCCAGCTCGGCGAAGCTACGCAGCTTCTCGTTCTCGGCCTCTTCATCAGCCAACACGCGTTCTACGCTCACCACGCGGCGGGCAAGGCGGCTTTGCGCCACCGCCGCACACCCCACACGTGCCCTCGCTTCGTCTGCGTACAATGACGCTCGTGCGGCCTTTTCTTCCGAGATGAACTGCCGCTCCTCTGAGACGTGCCGATGGGCGTGGGCCTCTCGCAGCACGGCGAGCTCCATCAACATGCTCTCGCTCTCCCGTATTAAATCCCGCACCAGAGGGTGCTCGAGGAGTGCGTCAACGTCCGCGGATGGCGGCGCGTGGCGGGCTGTTCTCTCCGTGCTTATCATGTCGTCTTCTCGGCTCTGTGCGGGTGCGCGCGTCGCCGAGGACCCTAACTGCGAAGGAGGTGCGGCAGACACGGCAAACGGTGCGGTCTTCGGCCTGTGCCCTCCTGCCGCTGCCGCCGCCTCCTGCGATCGCGCAGGGGGGTGCCGTGACCCGGTCGACTGCGCCATGGCCAGTTTCTCTTTTTCCTTTCTTTAGGCTGGAGAAGTTGTATTCATATGTATCTAAACCGGTAGGTATATGTATATGAACGAAGTAAGCGACGAGGCGCGATCTCTATTTCAAATCCAAAAAACAGCAAACTAAACCGGTCGTACACCATACGCTTGGAGTCCTGTGGCGTCGTCGTTCACACAAGTAGGCGTGTGCCCTCCAGTCCGCGTCGCTCGCAGTTTTCTTGCTTGTTATTGCTGTTGGTGTTGAAACCGCCACGAGAGAAGACGCTGGGTCGCTTCGGCCGGCGAGGCGTGGCGTTAGGCGGCGGGCAGCGCAGAACGAGTAAACCACGAGGAGGAGAGAGGGAGAGTAATATTGCTCGTGAGCGAGGAAGGGGAGGGGGGAGGGGCAAGAGGCGATGCCTGCCTGTTCTCCTTGCTCATGTGACCGTTCGGCTGCGATCGTGAGAGATGAAGATATAAGAGCAACTCACCACGTGACCTACGCACGCTGGCGTCCGCAAGCGGAGTGCACACGTTAAATGGTGTCTTGCCTCCTTCTTGGAGTACAGCCTCTTAGTTGTCATCTTTACGTAGGACTGCTGATGTCATGGCAAAGACCGAAAAATGTCCTCGACGCTCTTCACTCGCTGAAACACGCGCGAGCGCCCGACCTTGGTGAAGAGCGCCCCGTCATCCACGTACACGAAGACCGCCTTTGCCGCGCCCCCTGCGCTGACCGGCATCCCGTCGTGCAGCCGGTACAGTCGGTGGCCGTCCGGCGAGCGCGAGGGTGTCGCCTCCAACACGAGCTGCCTGTCCTCCGCCAATGTTTGAAGAAGGGGCACGCTGACTTTGCCACCGTTCTGCCGCAGCAGCGTCTCGTATGTGCGCTGCCTGGACGCGGTGCTGCTCGTGCCGTTCACCTGCGCCACCTCCGACCGCGCTAGCTTCTCCGCCACCATCAGCAGACGATAGTGCGCAGTGTGCAGGAGGCTGGACCACGCACGAGCCCCACCCGCCGTGTCGCCGCCCCCGGTGTCGGGTGAGCGCGGGCCTTCTTTGCAGGACCGTAGCTGCCGCACCAGCAACGAGTGCGGCAAGACCAGGTTTTCGAAGAAGGCGGTGGACATGCCGTGTCGGGCCGCGTCGTGCCCGAACGTCTTCTCCAGCGGCATCAGCCACGCATCGTACACGCGAATTATGGTGCGCAGCGGACGCCCTGCGGCGGAGGAGGACGCCTCGACCGCCGCCGCCGCCTGATACGCCCGCACGAGCACAAAGACAAGGCCCAGCAGCCAGCGACACTGCAGGGAGAACTGCGGCGTGCTTCGGTAGTAGTCCGCACGGAGGTGCTGGGCGGTGGTCTGCAGCGGCCGCAGAAACCACCGTGACGCCAACGTCGACGGGTAGTGCTCTAACACGTAGCTGTCGAAGAGAGGCAGGAGGAACTGGCCGCCACTCAGCTGACGACACCCCAAATGGGAGGGCCCGCCGCGTGGGAGGAGTGCAAGGGACGAGGGCTGTAGGAGGAGGTCCGCCACACGCCGAACAAAGCGGCCCATGACGCCTTTCGGAAGCAGCGCCGCTACGTCCTGCAGCAGCGTACGCAGCCGCAGACTTCCCTCCCTCGACCACTCCGTTATGGTGATGACACCAGCATCCGCGCTGTCGGGGCCGCTCTCCTTGCTGGATGCATCGGGGGCGTGCGGTTCACTTGCGAAGACACGCAGCAGGTCAGCGGCAATGGCGGGGGCGGCTCGGGGAGCAGCCAAAGCCACATCCACGCAGAGGGCACCAAAGAGCAGCGTTGCGGTCACCTGCGCCCCGCTACTGAGCACGTTTGGATGGCGCCCACTAAGGAGCCCGCCCACCGCGCTGCTCGATGTTGCTGCGGAAGTCACAGAAGAGGACTGCACCTCGTCCAGTGCTTCTTCGCTCTCGTCGGAGGCTGCCCCGCCACTCCACAGGGCAGCCGTAACAGGAGACGTGCTCCGCAGCGCCGCCGTCGCCCCCCGCAGACCCCGCGTGACGCTTTGCAGCAGAGCAAAATCGTGTCCCTTACTTCGGCGTTGGTGAAGCGCGGTGGAGGGCGTGTGCAGCTCGTTTTCCACCTTTGTCTGCATTGCGGCGATGGCCTCCACGAAGGCACGAAATTGGCCGAGAGACTGCAGGGAGCGCACCGTCTCCGCAAAGCTGCTGCTGCTGCTGCTGGTGCTGTGGGCAGAGGCCGCCGCGGCGCCAACTGCCGTAGAGGCGGCGGACACCGTCGACTGGCAGAAGGTGGAGGGCAGCGTGGCCGTGCTCACGACGCTTGTGCGCCGCTCGTCGAAGAGCACCTGAGACCGCCGGAGGGTGAGGGCGGTGCTCGCGAAAAGCTGATCGACCTGTGCCGGAGTAAACATGTGTTTACGCTGTAGATAAACGCTGCTACAACGTTAATGGGGAGAAGGGCGGGGGGGGGGGGAAGACAAAAACACGCAGTCGACTACAGCAGTAGCGATGAGCATTGAAGATTCAAAACCACCGCAGAGTTGACGCACGGCGAGGGAGAAGACGAGAAGTCGTGGTCATCGTGCAGTAGAACGAGACGTGAAGAGACGATGGGCAGGGGCGACGCGCATGTGCCGTTTGCCGCATCTACAACCTCCACCACCTCCTCCTCCTCCGTCCCAGAATATGTACATGGCAACAAAAAGCTGTAGTAATAGTTGTGGTGGTTCGAAACGTGAAGAGAGTGTTGCGGCGCACGACGCTCACTTCGTACGTTCTAACTACTTTGCTCACGTGCGATCCTTCTGCTTTCTCTCTTTACCCGGAGGACGGCGTCAGCTTTGCGGGGGAGAGAAAGAAGACGTAAGGCGTACGATGCGAGTCGTGATGCTTCACACAGACACACACGCACACACATACATAAAGAGGGCCAATGATACCACAGCAAGAGAACATGGAAGAGCAGCAGCACATGAGCAACCACAAACGGCCTCACCAGGAAACTTGAAAGAGTAAGAAAAAAAACAAAAAGCAGAGTTCGTGCGTTAGCGGTCGTAGTCGCCTCGCACTACGACAAACACCCAGAAAGAAACACAAAGAAGAGTACAGTAGATCTCGCCGTTCTCTCTCTCGAGCTCGCTTGGCTTTTTCAAAGAAAAAAAGTCCGCCTTGTCCATCAACGACCACTGACAACTCACGCACGCTTCCTACTGCGGTGCCTCAATCTCGCACTGACACGTAGATGGACAGCACCAGGAAGGTCAGGCCGAAGCCACCGCCGATGAGACACCCGCCCGCGCTGGCGTCGCACATGAACGTCGAGTCACTCACGTTCACACACAGGATGCCCGTGACAATCATCGTGAGCGGGTTCAAACACATCACCGCCGCAGCCGTGGCGACGCCCAGCACGCCGTTCGCGGCTGTTTTAAACACCATCTGTGCAATCAGCATCACGAGCCACAACACACCCGCGATGATGTGGCATGCGAAGGCGTAGAAGAGAAAGTGATAGTGCACTCTGAGAAAGGTGCTTCGCTGTTGGACGTACGGCGTGACCAGCGGGACGTAGTTCCACTCCCACGCCGCGTTGTCGCCGTACCACAGTTCGGTGGACTTGTGCGGGCTTTCGGTCTTTTGACGGTTGATGTCCGAACTGCATCGATAGCTGATGTTGAGCAGGCTCCCCGGTCGACGCGCGGCGACGAGCCAGTCATCATCGGACGGGTAGAGGGCGTCTCGCGCGGCCTTGATAGCGGCGTACGTCTTCGCGGTCACCGCCACGATCTGCGGCCAGCTCGACGAGGTGCACCAAAGCCCGCCACTTTGCGGACCGGAGGAGAGCGGGTCGAAGCCGTTGGCCGTCGGCGTTCCCACGTCCTTCCCCAGCGCCAGCGCCGTGGCGTTCTGAAACACCGCCGAGGTGTAGTTCACATCGAAGAAGGACAGGACGTAGCACATCCCCGACCTGCCGGCCGCTGCCCGCGGACAGTACGGCGTGAGGACGGTCTCGTTCGGGTCGAAGGTGATTGGCCGCCATCGCAGGTCACTCAGAGCGGCGGGCAGGAGCACAAAGGACGGCCGGTTTTTCGTGACGTACCGCGTGCACGGCGCGGACATCGTGAAGTCGATGGAAGGGCCGTCGAGGACGTGCCCGGCGGCCTGCACTCGGGTGAAGGCGAGGGCGGTGATGGTGCCTAGTACCGTGCTGCACACGAGCAGCAGCAGGCCCCATGATAGAATGCGCATCGTACTGTGCTTGTTGTCGGAGGTGGAGCTGCCCGCCAGGGGGAAGACCACCATGAGCACCTCCAGCAGGGACATCACCGCGAGCAGCACAAAACACGTGATGCCCAGGTTCGTGTCGGAGCGCAGCGCCGTGCGCAGGAAGCCAAGGAAGTAGGCGACAACGAAGTTGGCTGTCGCCATCACCCCCACCATGATCCCCGTGGCCAGGACCCAGCGAATGTGCTTCGCCGTGCCGATCAGGTGCTCCTTCTTCTTGTAATCCTCCACCTTCACCCGCTCCTTGATGTAGTCGTCGCGGGTGACAATTTTCGTCTTGGCCACAATACGGCGCACGTAGCGCGGCAGGTCAGCCCGCTTACGCCACTCCTTCCGCCTAAAGTACGTCCAGTGTGGGGCGAGGTTTGCATAGAAGCGCCAGAAGCGGGAGACGCAGCCCAGCTGCACAATATCGGCGTGCGTGCTCACATCGACGTAGAGGAGAATCACACACAGAATGTCGGCCGAGAACGGCCCGGTCTGCGCCGGCAGCTCGACATCACCCTCACCGCCTTCGTTGCTCTCGCCGCCGCGGTCATCCGCGCGCACCCCACCGCCGCCGCCGCCGTGCGCGTCGTTCGCCGTAATGCATGAACGGAAGCGCACCACCGCGCGGGGCTGCCCGGTGAAGGTGAAGTCGCCCGACTGCTCCCGTATGTGCTGCATGTGCAGTGACGACGCCGTGATGGGGTAGGAAGAGGAGTAGGTGCGAGTGTCCGCCGTGGTGCTCGTCTCGGAGAAGTGGTCGGCGATGCGGACGTTGTCGCGCGGGGCGGAAAAGACCGTCGTCGAGACGCGCAGCTCCGAGTGCTCCCGCTGCACCGGCGTCTCAGTGGGCGAGCGAAACTCCCGCTCCTCGTACAGTACCCCGATCGAGTCGAGGGAGTTGGTGCGCTTGAAGAAGTCCATTTGCGCTTTCTTGGAATTTTTGCCGTTCTCTTACGTGTCTGTGTGCGGGCGTGTGTGTGTGTGTGTTCCGTCTTGTTGCTTTCAATGCAGTGACTCAATTGTAGAAGAGAAAATATGTTTGTTGATGGGTAATACCCCGAACGTCGGGGCAGCGCTGGCGACGCTGACAAAAAGCCCGAGTCAAAAATAGACACCACCACTAAGGGAATCTGACGGAGAGCAAAGGAGGGGGGGGGGGGACGAACGAAACGATTGACGCAGTAAACGCGCGGCTTAGCGACTCCGCCTGCCCTTCACAAAGCGCGGTGGGCGTTGAATGAGGAAAGGAGGGGGAGAGGGGGAAGGGGAGGATGACAACAAAAGGCAAATATGCGGCGAGTATACGAACCGGAAAGATATACGTCACTTCTCCCTCGAGAGCACACGTGCATCTTCTCCGTACACTTCGAGCATTCGACTCGGCACCATCATTCGCGGTCCACAACGATGTTAAAAAAAGGGGACTTCAGTAAACTGACTCCAAGTAGCCACACATCACTTTTGTGAAGCGCCTGCGGTAAGAAAGACGCAGCAGCGACTGCGGCGTGCACGTGATTGCATACCGCTCCTCCAACGCCGAAAACTCCAGATGTGGAGCTACGCGGCACGACCGGTGGAGGCGTTGGAGGTGTCGAACCAAGCGGATGTCGCGTTGAAGTCCCTCACGGTCGCGTCGTACCCCGTCGGGTCTAACCAAACCGGAGAGGCAGGGCAACGCACCTCTTCGCGGACCGCTACGCAACAGCATCATACCTAGCTCGACAGGTCGCGCGCGCCTGGCTTCCCCACATAGCGGGCACCGCACCCCGGCACCACCCTGAGGTCACCGCCATCATCACGGTTCTGCACACCGTCCCACGCACAAGGGAGACTCCAAGGCATACCTGGCCTTGTGGGACTCGGCTGTCAAACACATGCGCTGCAACACACTGCTGAGCCATGCGCTCATCGCGAGTTGGCAGGCGCCACGGTGCAGCACCGGCACGGGGCACAAGCACTTCCTCTCTCCATCCACCACCGGCAACGGCGGTCGTGCGCTGGTCAACGGTGCGGGAGTTCAGCCCCGTACTGTGGCTGCCGGAAATGGCCAGCCTCGAGCACGCATAGCGACGGCAGCGGCGGCGGTGGCAGCAACGATGAGTCAAACGGCGCTCTTCATGCCATTCCACTCCGTCTCTGCCCTGCACAGCGGGTCGGTGTGGACGGCGTGAACGGCGACGGCCGGGCAGCAACGGGCAGTGCCGCCTCTGCTGCAGCTGCAGTTGTGGTGGGGCCTGCGGTGTCCTCGGCAGGGCCGTCTGTGCACCCCCGGCCGATGCACGCGCCAGCTCGACACCAACTGTCTGCACGAATTACGCAATAGTAAACAAATGTGCAGGAGGAAGGGTGCTTGGGTGTTGCAGGGCGCTTCGCCGATGTGCCGGTAGCCGGCCAGAAGAAGAACAGCTCACACCGCGCGGGTTCTGGGAGCGAGAAACAAACAAAAGAGGCGCTGTCGTACCTCTGAGAGCCAGCAGCGAGTTTCCGCCCGACGTTCGTAGAAAGCAGCGAAACAGCGCGCGGAGTACGCACGCCAAAGGCAGCGACACGACGACGCCAGAGCGCGTGCACAGCAGGCCGCGGCTGTAAGCCATCTATCGCCTGCCCAGTACACCCATTTTGAACTCCGTCGTTCTCCGCGGAGCTCACGCAGCATCGGTAAGGGGGAGGGGGGAGGTGCGTCGGTAGAAAAGAATTTGGGATCTTGAAAGAGAGGACAGCACTCGATACCAGCGAACATTCGCTGTCGTCCAACGTCTCGTGCGAGGCACTTCACCTGCTCCACACTTCATTATTTTCGGTGACCACTGTCGACTCCCATCGCAGTCTCCCTGAATCACTTCCAGCAGCAGCGCCTCACTGCGTGAAAGCGCACCACAAAACAGAGCAGGACACACTGTCGGCTCAACGCATTGCAGGACGTTGCACACGGAAAGCACGGAGTTGATATGTATCATATTACCTTCCACCGCCGACCCTCAACGGTTGGGCAAGTTGCACCTCTGCTTTTCTTTTCTCTAGTGGAGCGTTAGCCGCTGCCATTCTTTGTCAACCTTACTGCAATTTCGCTGAATATATATTCAAAAACTTAAGAACCATTTTGAGCTCGGAGAGGAACTGGTTAGTGTTTTCGGACTTAAAGGCTTCAAATGCCTCACCGTTTTAATGAGAGAACTGCTCCGTTGCGCATCGATAGACGCACCATCTTCACGTGCGCGAAGGTTTCAGTGCTGTTGAAGAGGAAAGGGCCTGCGCATACGTGAGTCAAGAAAACATGAGAAGGAACAAAACAAGTGGCACACCACATCGGGTGTACAAAGAGGAAGGTGCTATATAAAACGAAAACAGGCGTAATAGAGACACTAACAGCAAAGAAAACAAAAATATTTTTTGAATGGAAAAAGACAAGCACGGGACAACATGTGCGTGCGTGTGTGTATATATAGATCAGCTTACTGCCTATCCAGCTTCACGGACAACGGCTTTGGGTCACTTCACCGCCTCTCAGGCACTTGAGAATACGATCGGCTCCATCGCTTGCACCACGTAGTGGAGAAGAGAAACAATCGGAGATGGAAAGACACACGAGGAACGAATCCAGAGTGCCTCTCCGGTGTCGAGCAGAGCGCCGCAGAGAAGAGAGGCAGCGAAACAGTGGTCACAAGACTTGCCAAGATCTAATGCACTCGTGAGTAGGAACAGAAGTGGTCCTGTACAGACCGTCACTCTACGCAGCAGAAAACCAGCGTCGTCTGCGCACGGTGTCATCGCATCGCCGTCTTTAGCCGCATGTAAAGATGTAAGAAAGAAGGAAAAACGGAGCGCACTCATTCGTGCGGAAACAGCGTTAAAGCAAAAATAGTTTTTGATGAGAAGTTTGTGTTTTTGATTGTTATATTGAGTGCCCCGTCGCATGTAGGCGCGCCTTCGATGGTCCGCCGCTTCTCCGCCATCCGCAGAGTACACAGATGGCAGGGAGGCACGTCCCTCCGTTCAGGCCTTTCTTAGGTGGTGTGGCACACGCGCTACTGTTCGCCCCACACGGAGCATCTCGATGAAACAAAGCCGTCGTCACCTCTCCTGCTTGACATTCTGTGAGGAGTGAGCATGCTCGAAGCTCACAGACGAAACAGTGGCACGAGGAATGAAACAATAATCAATATGCGTGCGTGGCGTGGCGGTTTCATCCGCCGATGGAAAGAATTCTACCGAAAAGAAAGAGTTTTTGGTTGTTGTGCGGTCACTCCGATGCTAGCGCCACGCACGTCCCTCTGAGAGACGGTGGTCCGCTCCAGCCATCTCCATTCGGTCACGCCTCGAGTCGCATCGCAAAGAGTCAGACCTCCATCCATCGCTTTCATTTGATACTGGGAGGAATAAAACATAAAATGCAGTTAAACTCGCCCGCTTGCCAGTCGTGTCCACGTATCTAGGTGTGCGTTGCTGCTGGTACGGGGGGGGGGGGGGAGCCGGTGAGCACGCCATCGCATCTCCATCACAAATATACCGGGCCGCACACACACTCTACTGAGCGAGCGACGTGCTGCACGTTGAGGTTCGTACATGCGAAACACAACGGCCCACACCCTTGCCGTTGCAACTGTGCCTCACGTCACCATCCGCTGCGGCTCTTCGACGTCAGCGGGGAAAGGGCTCTCCGCGGTTGCGCAGGCAAAGGTGACAAAAGGCCGCAGAACGCATGCAAAAGAGTTATCTCCTCGTTAATAAGATCAGAAACACATAATCAAGGGACGGGGCAAAGAACATATCGCCGAACCATCCGCGACGTCCTCCGCCGTAATCCGCAGAGCGAGCAGGCCAGCTAGACTAGATTCCACAGCACACATGAACACAGCAGTGCCAGCATTAGCCATCCATTTCGGTTGCTCAGGCTCTGCCGGTACGCAGCATCACCCTTGGAGGCGCATTGAGAGTCATCCGTTAGCGCGTACCTGCGCGCGCACTGGCTGCACTTTGTGCTGTTGCCCGCTTCACACTCCAGGCAGTGCACCACAGCGCACGTGGACTCGTTGGAACTGCTGCTGCTTGCGACAACCGGCGAGGGCTTGTGTGGCTGCTGCTTGCAGGGCTTGGCGACGGACTGCTGTGGCTGCTGCTTGCCGGGCTCGGTGTTGGCTTGCTGTGGCTGGAAGAGTGGGGACCAGCACCGCTGCTCGACGCGGTGACACAGACGTTCGTCGTTGCACAGCTGTCTGCGCTCACCGCCGGGTCCACGGTCGGTGTCAGGCTGCCAGCCCACTCCGGCGGCACGCAACCGCAGAAGTTGTTGTCTTGCAACAGCAGGTTACCTTTACTCATATGTAGCTTGCTCCACTCCGCCGGCAGGGGGCCCGACAGGCTGTTGTTGTTCAACTCCAGCCATGACAGAGTTCGCAATGAGCTCCACGCTGCAGGTAACGTGCCTGACAGTTTGTTGTTGCTCAGCGCGAGGGTTCCAAGCATTGTCATCCCGCTCCACTCGCTCGGTAGTACGCCCGTCAGACGGTTCGAAGCCGCATACACAGCCATCATCAGCGAAAACGAACTCCACGACTTCGGCAGCTCCCCTGTCAGCGAATTACCGTCCACGTACACCCACATCAACGATGTCATGCCGCTCCACTCCGCCGGCAGCGATCCTGTCAGCGCGTTCCCTGACAGTACAATCCGCTGCATCTGCGTCAGCCGTCCCCAGCTCAGTGGCAGCGTCCCGGACAACATGGCGCCGATGTCATTCGCCTCGAACCCCGTCACCGTCACGAGTGTGCCGTTCACGCCGTCGGCGAGATCCGGCAGGCTCGAAGCCTGTGTCAGCTTCAACCCCGTCAGCTTCACTTTCGTGGCTACGCCTTTCACGCACTGCACGAAATTACGCCAGTCGCAGTAGTCCGCACCGTCCGCGTATTGCTTCAGGTCCGGCACCGCCGTCACGAGGGCCTGCAGGAACTTCATCGTTTCCGACTGCGGCGTGGGTGCAGACACATCGCCATCTGCCGCGGTCGCCGGGTGAGGGCCGAGAACACAGCACAGGAGAAGAGCGACGAAGGCGAGTGCCTTCCACGGCTGCCAGGCAAAGCAAAAACGGTTCATGCCGCTGTCCGGTTGGCGGCTTCGGCGAGTGGAAACGGAGGGCGGGAAATCGACGCTTAAAGTGACCTTGAAAGCAGAAGTAAGAGCGGAGCACAGCGCACAGTTAGCAGCAGGAGTCTCCTTCGCCCGCCTTCAGCTCACGGAATCGGTAGAACACGTGGGTGCTTTACGCGGCGGAACAGCGCTGGGGTGCGGATCGGGTCTCGGCGAGAAATAGCAAGGAGGGCTCAAACGGCGTGCGCGTTAGCAGCGAATGGAAAACAGTGATACTTCAGCGCTAGTAAAAGAGAAGGGTAGCAATGAGAGAGGGGTAGCGTGAACGTCTACGCAGCCGACAAATGGTGAAGGAGGCCAGGGTGGCAGCCGTTGGTGTGTGTTGGTGCCATCGGCAAGAAACGAAGCGTGATGGAAGAAGGGCGTCGACAGTGGAGTGGAAGGGATTTCACAGAGGAGCGCAGGGCAGCAGCGCTCACGTGTAATGGGCACGCACTCGTCAAGCACGCGAAGGCGCGACCCGTACGTGCGAGTGAGAGAAAACGGAGGCACCCTACAGAAAAAAGGTCCGCTCTCAGCGTTGCACACAGCAGCGGCGGTGGCATTTACGCCTTTCATCGCTGCCGCGATGCGCACACGGCCCGGCTGCCGCCTTTCAGCGAGTTTGGCACCTCGCAATCCACAGGAGGGGGACACGCCCGGGCAGAGCAGACAGTCGGCCCCGCAGGAAGTCCGGCTTTCACGCCATCGTATTCCGCAGAGCATTTGCATCTGAGCAGAGAAAAGAGAGAAGGAAAAAGGCGGCTGCACGGCAGCACCGCGAATGTAGACGCCGCTGCTACCAACACTCGCCGCCGCTCTAAGGCGAAACCTTGGCCCACCACCTCCAACCGTCACCGGCGGAGCTGCGCCACGCGTAGCCGCGGCGGCGCTACTTCGGCGGCCTCGTCCCCACGGTGCCTGTGGCCCGCGTCACCTTGACACGCGTCAGGAAAACAAGCAGCCAGAGGAGCACCGGCGGTATCGGCCACAGGCGCAGGCCCACAGGCTCCCACGGCTGCCTCACGTGCAACACGCGAGCTCTGGCGGGAACGGCACTGGATCATCGCGACCAGAAACCGGGCCAATACAACGCCAGGGCCAGCTCCAACGACGGACCCAGGGCGGAGAGCGCAATTCGTGCGCAGTGCCGCAACTCCCGCGCACACCAACGGGTGTCTCGGAGTCTCCTCGCACCACAACCGGCTCCATATCCCAAAGTCAGAAGGATGACCAATGCCACGCTCAGCTGCTTGGCGACGCTTCAGTCCTTCAGGCTCGTTAAAGGCAGCGGGGCATAGGGGGCAGCGGTGACCCATCGGACGGGCGAGAACAGACTGCGGCCGACCACCCGCGACGGGGACAGCTAGGCGCGTGCCAACGGCATGGTGCGTGCGGGCGTGGCAGAGGATGCCGGGAATAGTAAAGAGAGCGTAGTGGCAGGCTGCACACACTTGGACACGGGGACCCGTTGTGCGACGAGTGGGCGGCGGCGTGCCCGTCTTGACGGCTGCGGGAGGGGCGACGGCTGCAGCGGCGGTGCGGCCACCCGCGTGCGTCGTTCGACGGTGGCGTTGCGCGTGCGTGGCAGCGGTCCGGCGGTGGCAGGTGGGGCACTCGGGCTCCACGACTACGCAAACTCGCCTCACGGGCGGGGGAGTGTCGAGCCGCAGCGGGCCGTGACCGAGCATGCGTTGCTGGGAGAACGTCAGTGTGCTCGCAGTAAGGAAGGTGCACAGAGGACAGCGGTGGAATAAGCCAGGCGGCGACGCGTGGAGCGCCCGAGCAAGCTGCCAGCTCAGCTCCGCCGGGGCAGAGATCCCGTAGTCGCGTACGAGACGGCGAATGAGATGCGGTCGGCGCACGCAACACTCTCAGCAGACGGGGCACGGGACTGGGTCGGAAGCTGCCTCTGCAGAGTAAGCGCACGGCGGCGGTTCAGGAGAAGGCCCCGACAGCGGAGGGGCAGGTGCGCCTCCCACACATGGAGTGCTGAACACACCATCCGCATTCAGCGTCGTCGTCGTTGCGAATGCGCCGCTGAAGAAAGCCCAACGAGCACGATTCGCCACCCGCGGACACGCATTCCTGTAGGTCGGCTCATACGCACACGCCGCCGCAGGTCCCTCTTGCGTGAGAGCAACCCGGACCTGTCCGCCACGCTAAAACACCCGCAACCGAACTCGACAGGTCGAGCGCGCCTGGCTTCCCCACATAGCGGGCACCGCACCCCGGCACCGCCCTGAGGTCACCGCCGTCATCACGGTTCTGCACAAGCGTGGATGATCCCGCCTTTCACAAGAAAGGATGACGAGAAAGAAAAGGGTGTCTTAAAGAAGGAGGGGAGGTGGAAGAAGATAAACGCGAGACACTTTACGTTAGGTGGCTGATGCACGGTGCAGCACCTCGCCTCCAATTCATTCCCGCACCAGGAGACATACGGCAGTGACCACAAACCCGGCTGTGCTGCTGCAGGAATGCCTCGATTTATTCACTACGCTTCTGTCTTCGAGGCGGCTGCGCAATGTGGGCGCAGTGGGTCATAGCCGCTACCGGTAGTCTGTTTTTTTTTATATAAAAAGATAAGAAGATAGAAACAACGGAGACGTACCGAAAAGTACCGATAAAGAAAGCGCTGTAACCGTCGGACACCCCCACCTCTCTCGCTCTCCCTCTCTTCTGTTTAGCGGACGTTCCTGGCCGGAAGCCGCACCAGATGACCCGTGAAGGGCGACACCATCGTGGTGGCCGTCACCTCACACAACCCACGCGTGCCGCGTGAACGGCGGTAGATGAGACAATCCATTCGTTGCACCAGCAGCACGAGACTCCGCAGCTCCCGCGCATATCGCACCCATGGACCGGCACTCGTAATGTCACGCGCCGTCACAGCGCAGTGGTCTGACGTGCCGTCGCTCATAACCAGCAACGACCAAAGCCCGTACATGGCGTCCTGCGTCGTCAGGTACAGCTCGTAGAACGACTCGAGCAGCAGGAAAGGGACATCGCACGAGGTAGTGCGACTGGTCGGTGTGCCACGGCCATCATCCTTCCCCTCCCCCATGCTCACCAGCCCCGCTACCGGTCCGTGGCTGGTCACGTACACCGCGCGGCGCAGGCGATGACCCGCCGGATCGGTGTACTGCTGAAAACACGAGGTAGCGAGGGCCTCCGCCGCCTTCAAGACGTCATCTTCCGTGTACTTCAACGTGGCGGACCTATCCGGGTAGCGGTGGGCACCGTGCCGGACTCCCTGCGCAAGCAGCCCAGCAAGGGCACAGGTGCGTGGTGCGGCCATCGGTACGACGTACTCGGCCGAGGCGGCCACAAATGTGTAGTTCATGGTGTACGGTCCATCTGCGACGGTGCGGGTGTGCACCAGATCGCGGAGGATGGTGCCTACCGCCGCGTCGTAGGCAGCCACCAACGACGCCGCACGACGATCGCCGAGGATCCAAAGGTGTAGCAGCAGGCGGGTCAGCGGAACGACGGCGTCGTAGGAGCCGCCCTGCAGGGGGAGAAGGTGCTGGTGCGCGAGGGACAGCGGCACCCCACGCCTCGCCGGTGCCCAGAACTGCTTACTAACGTTCAGCACGTGTTGGTAGGCCTGCTGAAGGTTAATTGTTGCCGTCGGCTCTGCGTGCGTCGCCGCGCCCCAGATCGCACTCGTCAGCGACTCCCACGACGAGGAAGCTAAACTTAAAGAGACGAGAGACGGAGACGGAGACGGGAGAAGTTCGCTGACGATGTTCTGCGCCTCCGCCACCTCTGCGGACATGCCCTTCACCGCCCACACTGCCGCTGCGCTTTCCACGGCCTCGCGCACCGCCGCCGTCGTCTCTCGCGATGGAGGCGACGGGGACGGCGACAGCGCTGCCGTCACGATGCGTCGTAACTCAACAGCTGTGACCGTCGCCTCCGTTTTGACTCCAGTGAGAAGGAGAAGGTCCCACAGAGCGAGTTGTGCGGCGGGCAAGCGCGCCACCAGCGGTGCGAGGCGCATGAGCGACGCCTCTACAAACCTTGTCGCGTCCCGTACGATCTTTACCTCCGCGAGCGGCTCTGTGGGCCATTTGTACGGCCAATACACCTCAGCCGGCAGCTCCGCCGCCGCCCCGTCAGCAGCGGCCGTCGCCCGTTGGGTCTCGATGCCATCTTGGATGTTCATCGAGACCGTCTCCGCTGCTAAATTCACCACAATAATGTACCCGACTACACCCAAGATGGCGAAGACGACATACACGTCAACGGAGCGCAGGAGGCGGCCAACGCGACGACGCTGCACTGCATTTGGTGGGGCGTGTCGCATCTTCATGAAGCAAAACGAAAAGGAATAAACGAAAGCAAAGACTGCTTATTATACGTGATTACTGAACGGATATATATGTTTTTTTGTTTGTTTACAGGCACATTAACAAAGATCTCCAAAGGGAGATGAACAGCCGTGCGTGACAGGCTCCTTCGAATACCAGAGAAGAGCAAACGTCTTTCGTCAAGCTACTCGGAACTACGCAGCAGCGCTGCTCGGCCGGATCCGCTCTGCTCGGCGGAGAACAACAGAAGAAAAAAAGAAAGAAAGAGAAGAGTTGTCAGAAGTGGAGAAAGGAAACAGCGAGGGAGGTTTTTGCGGGCTGTAGAAGACGAAACCTTGGACTTCACCGTTCTCGTTGTTCGCCGTTGACTTCTGACGCTCTCGGTGAACATCGAGACGCGGAAGTAGCACACAATGAATTGCCTTTGTATGTGTACGTGTACGTGTGTGTGTGTGTGTGTGGCCTATTTGCCCCTTTACGTTCTATCGCAACTTTTAGTGTGCGCTAGAAAATCAAGCAGACACACCGCAATAAAGAAGTGGAAGGCAGAGCTCAGTCGTCATCACAGTCGATGCTCGCTGCAGCACTCCGCGCCCGTCACCATCCGCAAACAACCAAACACCACGCACTTCCGCGGCTTTGCGCGGCAGTGCGCACACCAAATCTGATGCGCTTGCACATCCTCTGCAGAGAGCAGGCGAAGACACCCCAAGGTGTGGCACTTTGAGGCAGAAAAGGAGAAGAAAGCGTCTTCGGTTTGCCCACTGGTGAACAGCGACGGCGACGTGGAAGTTGTTGTGGATTCACAGTTCAGCGAAGCAGAGGCGTGTTCCGCTGTGAACGACGACGGAGGCATCGTGTAGTGGAACGGTGCACTGCCGACCACTTGAGCATCGTCCGATAACCGTAGTGCTGACGGCTGCTGCAGCTTCCAAAATGTCTGAGAGTGCGGAAGGAGTTCCACTAGTCGGTCCCGTGCCTCTATCAACTTACCAAAGGCGGCATCAACAACGGAGGACGCAACCGGTGAAGCGTCTGCCTTCGCTTTATCTGGGTGGATGTGAAGAGCGCGATCGTGAAAGGCCTTTTGAATGGCCTCGCGTGTCAGGGGCCCGTATTGACAGAGTCCCAAAACGTCTCTGTCCGAGGCGCTGCTGAGAATGAAGCGTGCGACATCGCGTTCGTTCATTTCTATTTCCTTTTGCGTACCGTGCGGCGACTCGCACAGTGAGCGGGAGAAAGGATGGAGCACCGCTAACACAAGACGAGAACGGGGACCACTATAGCGGTACCATCGCCCTTGCAGTCCGCCACAAGCAAGAAATGGAGTTGTCAGCAACACGCAAGACTCGCAAAAAGAAGAGAAGAGAATAAAGTTGTGAGATGAACCCGCCGTGCATCGTTGACACCGACTGGGTAAGCGAAGAAAGCGTGCCTGCCCGATCGTAAGAGGGGCACGCGGGAAAGACGAATACTTGTCTCGGACGTTTATTTGCTACGCGAAGCCAGTGAGCCGCGTGAGACGCTCCCCAAAGTGTCTGATTTCCCTTTAAAATAATCCCTCCGTTTAGAGGCGCTTTTGGCTTATCCAGTGTGACGTGGTCATTACAGTGCAGCAGTGGGAGCTGTTAGCGTTGCTTATTGCGGGGAACTCTGCGATGATCAAACCTGTTTGCCATGTACTCCCAGTGGCCGTCGTGCGAAGAGAGCGAGTGGGGGAGACCATTGGAGAAGCACCGCATCACCGACCCCGTTTCCGCATAGAAGAGGGAGGACGCGACGATGAAAGCAACCTCTCTCTCTTCTCATCCTCATTGCTGCTGGGGAGGGAAGACGCGATGGTTCGCGTAGCGCTCCCGCTCGAGTTGCGCGCGTTGTTCGCGCAGCTGTTGCAGCCCCTCCGGCACTCCAATCACAAACTCGCCCGGCCTACCTTTGCGGCGCACGTCGGTGAGGTGCGCGATGCGGCTGCGCAACCCGCGACTCCACAGCTGCGCCGCCTCTCGATTCTTCTCCTCAGTGCTGCGCAGGAAGCCGTACCGCCAAAGCCACTGCACCTCCTGCTGCATTTCGTGATGGGCGAGTGCCACGGCTTGCTGTTGTTGGGAAGGGTTCGTGTGACGTGCTTGAGAAGGGGCGAGGTTGCCGCTCCGCGCAGACGATGTCGCCATGATGGAAGCCGAGCTCAGCACCGAATCATCATCTTCGTCGCGCGCGTAGAGCTCGTGGTACTGCCGCTTCTCGATTTCTTCGACCGCACGCGCAGTGGCAGCCGTCGTGCGGCCCGCCTGCTGCGGTCGTCTCTCCGGACCTTCCTCGGGTATGGCGGGCCGTGGCTGATCCCCGAAGAGGCACCCGCGCTGACCGATGTGGTTGTACCGCAAGACCAGCTCCTCGCCTGCTGCGACTGTCTGCGACGCCGTCAACGCCACATCGCCACTGTCCTCGCAGTGGTACACGACGTTGGCTTTGCGGTCGCCGTGATTCAGCATGTCCACCAGCGGTATCAGTGAAAGCTGCGGCACGCCCTGTCGTTGCCAGTTCAAGTTGACAGCGCGGGAGCGCAGCATAAAGTGGGCCCACCGCAGCGCCGCCTCCTCCGCCTGCCACGCCGCAGAGTCGAGCACATCGGGGGGAGGTGGAGGCGAATTCGAAGGGGCGGTGAGCAACGCAGACAGCAGCGCCGTCACCAGCTGCGTCTGCAGGTGCTGCTCCCAGGATAAAAATAAATGCACGGCGTCGTCCTCCTGCACGGCGGCGCCACTCTGCGCTCGCTGCGTCGCGCGCTGCCGGGCCGTGAGAGCGGAGGTGCGCCCTTTAAAGTAGTTTGTAAGGACGCCGGTTGTGAGCGCCGTCTCCACAGTCGGGTGCCGCAGCTCCGTCAGCCCCACCTCTCCCGACTCCACCGCCTGCACCATCAACTCCGTTGATGCCGCCGTGACGTCTTCGCCGGGTCGTACCTCGCGTGTTTGCTGACCGAGTCGAAGACGCCGCGTGAGGGGTTCGAAGGCAGCGTCACGCGTAAAGTGTTGACGCAGCAGCACCCCCATCGGTGGTGGCCGGCGGGGCAAGGCACCCATCCAGCACCACATTGGATGCGCGGAGGGCAGGGCCGCCTGATGCATGGGGCTGTGGGAGATGTACAGAGCCGTCGTCATCAGCAATGCGTCCCGCGAGAGGAGGAGGTGGGGAGGAGCGGCGGAGGAGAGCGGCAAGCGAGAGAGGCGGCCGATGAGGCCGTCGACGGTCTGCGTTGAAAGCGGCCTCAGCAAGGCATCGGACGAACTCGCGACGGCGCCGGACTCGTTGATACGGCCGCGACAAACGTGTCGCAGTAGCTCCGTCGCACTCTGGCCCGTCAGCACACATTCCTTCTTCACCGTTGCGATGTGCTCTCCGCGGTGGATGCGGCGGGTTGCGACGACGCCACGCACCGGCAGCGCATCTCCACCGCTGTTTGGGAAGGGGCGGATGACCTGCTGGATCTTGTGCACCTTCGCATCGCGCACGCATTGCGCCAGCCATGCACCACCGTGTTGAACCGGGGTACGTGTCTGCATATCTCACCGCTCCTTGATGTGGAAAGCGAGCAGTAGATCCAACTATTGTGAATGAAAGAGGAGACAGAGTGCGAAAGCTGCGTTTTCAAGTCCGCCTCTGACGCGTCGAGGCAGCACAAACTGCAGTTGACTGCGTGGTGGCGTGAGGAGGAGGCAGCGTGAGAGGCATTGGATAGTAAAAGGCAGACGTATAGCATGCGCAGAGTGTTTTCTGCGAGGAAAACAAACAAACCAGAGTAGAGCTACCGCTCCATCACAGACCCTTTACCCATGAGCACTGCTCCAGGAACTGAGAGCTCACGTTGCAACATTGAGCTGCCATAGTTTGAAAAGGAAAGAAAAAATGCCTGCGTTGTACTCCCTGTGCCGTTGCTAGACGTGTGCACGGCGTCAAGTCCAACGGCCCAGCCAACGGCAACTAATTGGCGGCGAGACCGGACACCACACCCGATCCTCTCGTTTTTCTCTCAATTCGTTTGTTTTAATTATCCATTAAGGAGGCTCTTACGCAGAAAAATAAATGCACTGTCCTCACACATTACACACTTCCGCAGCGACTCCCGTTGCCACACTCCAAGGCACCACAGCTGCCGCGCATCCGACTTAGTTAGACGTGGGGTTCACCAGAGTAGTAGCACAGGAGCAAAAAACGGCATGCCACGCCTCACAACATTAGAAAGAAGACAAAAATTAAAACAATGCAGCCTTGTCAGCGTGAACACAAGTTTCATGAGCATGACAAAGCGGAGATATGAAAGTAGCCATCAACAAACCGTATACGGCGAGCCTTGCCTTCTACCGCTACACACCACGTCCGTCAGGAACGCATGCACATGCCCACGAAGAATGATGATGGCAGCACACAGATGGACAGACAGACAGACGCACACACACACACACACACACACACAGGCAAACAGATTAAGCGGCGCATTAAACGTAGTCCACCTCTAAGTCAAAGTCACCACGGTCCGCCAGGCGGCGTGTTTCCTTCAGTTCCCGCTGCTGTGCGCGCTCCTTCTTTTGGGCGGTGTGACGCATGGCGAGATCGGTTCCCTCGCCCACCGTGCGCTCCTTGGCCAGTACCTTCTGCTTGAACTCCTCCAGAGACATGCCGTTCTCTTCAGCGAGCTGGGCTTGCTCCTTCTCAATCTCAGCATCCGTCTCCTTCTTCTGCTCCAGGGAGACTTTTTTCTTCGTGGCGCTGAGCTCCTTCTCAATATCCTTGATGCGGGCCTTGTTCTTCACGCCAGCCGCCGTGTAGGCAGACTCCGGGATGTCCGCCTCCTTCTGCTGCACGCGCTCGTAGAGCTCGCGAAGGGCCTCGAGCTTCTGCGAGTAGTCCACCGGCATTCTAAAGAGTGAGAGAGGAGAGAGTTTAGAATCAAATGGATAAAAGACGGGTAGATTTAAGTAAAGAAATAGCGTTTAATTTGAGCCAACACAGCGGAATGTGACTCCGTGAAGGGAAGAGAAGGCAGAAAATAGTAGCTGCGTGGAATGTGCAGTGTTGTGGGTGCGTGTTTCAAGACACAGCGGGGGAGCGGAGAGCAGAGGAGAGTGAAGGGAGGGGAGATTGGAGCAAAAGGTAGACGTGCCCGTACGCACGTGCATACACCGTTAGGTGTGCCCCTAAAAAAAAAGGAAGCTCCTGGACGCAGGGAGAACACAAGCTCAACACACGACAGCGCTACTACCGTCCTTCCCTTTCACCGGAGTACTCCAGGCGGTAAAACCCGCAGCAGGTACAGTTTTCGCTTAAGAGGAGAATCGCCATTGTAACGGCTCGTGAATCGCATCGCTCTAACGAGGATACAGAAAACAAACAAACAAACAAACAAATCTAATCACCTTTTCGCTTTCAGATTTTCCAGGTAAACGGGCAGCGGTGTAATGCCGCTGACGGCTGTCACTTCGTCAAAGTCGTTCGCTAGCATCTCCTCCCATGGTACATTCAGGTACATCGGCACCTGATGCTTCCCATGGACGCTGCACGGTGCGTTCAGCGAAGCCCATTTGATATACACTCGCATGTTCGCCCGCTGCGCCGAATTCAGGTGCGGCCACCCACCCGCCACCGCCAACACACCCAGCGGGAGCCCCGTGTGCTTCCATTCTAAAATCTTCACGGCGAGTTCCTCCTCGACGGAGCGGCCGCAGTCCGTGGCGGCGTGGAGGAAGTCGTGGCATTGCCGGTAGCGCGTCATGACGTAGGCGAGCGTCGGGTCCGCCACGTGCTTCACAGGTGTCCGCCCACTCGGGGTGAAGTGGTTGTGGTCCATGTACGCGGCGTAGCGGTGGCCGAACGTGTTCGCCGGCAACGTGCGGCTGTACTCGAGTACGTCGTCGCCGACCAGCGGTTTGTTTTTTAAGATGGTGCGCCCATGTTTGTCCGCCATCATGCACTTCTTCATGTACTCGAGGGAGTTGAGGGAACTCAACTCGCCCACCGTCGAGACGGCGTCGGCGTTCGTCGGGTCGCGGATCGCCTTTAAGCTCTCCACGGCGAAGACCGCCGTCTGCCGGCCAATCGACGCGCCAACGGCGAGAAGCGGGATGAACTGCATTGCGATACGAAGAACAAAGTACTGCTTTCGACGGTACAAACGTGTGTGGGCCAGTGTCCGCAGGCGTCTTGGTCAGAGACTGAGGCAGAACGCCTATTTAGGGCAGCGCAATAGAAGTCTTCAGAGAAAGGTGTACGGTGCTTGTTTCCTTGCTGACGTGCACGGTTACGAGAACGGCGACCTGCAGCTTAAGATGCGCGGTGCAACAGTACTGAGTCAACAAAAACAGAAAAACTAATATGTTTGTGGAACTACAAAGAAAAGAGAACAAAAAAAAAGGGTTTTGATGAATGCAGATGCTGAAGGGGGTGACTTTGATGGGAGTAAACTAAAACTTTTTGAAGTCAGACTGCATAGTTGAGCACAGAGGAGGAGACGTGAGGACGACGAGATAATAAAAGCAGTAGAAAGACCTTCTGCTGTCAGATCTCCCACTTCAAATGATGACACTACGCAGAGCAACAGAGAAAAAGACGGCTGCGGCGCCATTCCGCAGGCAAAAAAGCATCATTGAGAAGTTGCGGTGCAACGTCCACCTGCCACCGTCTTTTTTTCATGTAGACGTCTTCATCGCTGCGAAGCGAAGTAAAGCTACCTTCGAAGACAGCCGTTGGCGAGGGCGGCCCAGCACGAGTTACGCAGGGGAAACGAATCCACATCATTTCAAAAAACGTTCAATGATCGTGTATGTGTTCGCGTCTGTGCGTGTGCGTGTTCGGCGGCAGCAAAATAAAAAGGACAGGAGTTCAAAAAAGAAAAAATGGGTTGTAACAGGTGGAGCAAACGGGTTGAAATAGGGGTGCAAAGAGTTCCTCCTCGTCTTCCCTGTCGTGGCAAACCGATGCGCCTGTGCCGTCCCGATGCGTACGCTGAAGAGGACGTCAGCATGACAGCAAAAAAACCTTCGGAAACGAGGGAAAGAAAGCGGAATTCGACCATTTTGAGGCGCACATCAACACGTTGCACTCCGTTACAATTCACGATGGTTGGTGTATGGTTACCGACGGTTGGCGCGCAGGGGAACTAAAGGGACGAGAAGACAATAGTGAATAGAAAAACAAAATAGTGTTGCAACATCAATACGTGTTCCATTACCGCTCTCAGCGGGGCACCGAAGCAGAGAAAGCAAAACAAAATAACAGCAAAGCCGCCATCGGTGCGTTCACACCCCAAAAAAAAACATGAGGACCGTTTCTCATTTCTAGTGCACCGGACGAGAGGCTCTTCGCGAGTTGTGTGACGTGCGTGCCCGCCAGACACCTCCGTAGCATCTACATGAGAACAAACTTCCCGCCCATCACACCGGCGACACCATAAAACTGCGAGGAGTCATCAACAGAAGCAGCAACGAGAATAATAAGGAGGAATAAGAAAAGGAAGAGGCAGTGCCGCACTCACCACGGAAACACCGAAACAATCTGCGATATCAAAAATAACATCACCTACAGAACACGCCCCTTTTCCTCCCCAAGAGACCGCAAGGGCGGACATGGCAGCGACGCAGAGAGGCGCTTTCACCCTTAAAAAAAGACAAGAGAAAGGGAAAATACGGTACGTACATCGGCCGCTGCATCTTTAGCGCTCGTCAGTACCGTTCTTCTATCGATGTTGTTCAACGCACGGAGCTGTCATTGTGTCAGCGACCACTGTCGAGGCTGCCATCCTCACGCCTCTGCTCGCGGCCCCCATCCGACGGCGGAAGGTTAGACGAGTCGACGCCGTCTGCCTCGTCGAAGTCGAGGACAGTGTGGCCGCTCTGCAGTTGGCGGATCACCAGCTGCCAGTACGCCCCGCGCCGCTGTAGCAGCTCGTCGTGGGTGCCCTGTTCCACAGCCGCACCGGCGTCGATGACGACGATGTTGTTCGCATTGGCGATGGTGGAGAGGCGGTGCGCGATGACGATGATTGTACAGCTTTGCTGGAGGTTGGCGATGAGCCGGTCCAGAGCCCGCTGCACTAACGACTCCGACTCTGAATCGAGGGCGCTGGTGGCCTCGTCGAGCAGCAGCAGACGCGGCTTGCGCAGCAGCGCACGTGCGATCGCAATGCGCTGCCGCTGCCCCCCGCTCAGCCGCACTCCGCGCTCGCCCACAAAGGTGCCGTAGTCCTCCGGGAAGCTCACGATGAAGTCGTGCGCGTTGGCCGCCTTCGCCGCTGCCACCACGTCCTCGTGCGAGACGTTGGTGAGTCCGTAGCTGATGTTCTCCTCGATGGAGCAGTTAAAGAGCTGCGTGTCTTGGGCTACCACGGCGCACTGATGGTGCAGCCACGTGAGCGACACGTCGCGGATGTCGTGTCCATCGATGGTAACGCTGCCCTCCTGCGGGTCGTACATGCGCAGCAGCAGGTGCATCAGCGTGGACTTGCCCCCACCGGAGCGGCCGACGATCGCCGTGACGGTGTTGCGCGGAAAGCGCACGCTGAGGTTGTTCAACACGACGCGATCGGGACGCATTTGGTAATGAAAGCGCACGCCGTGGAGCTCCATCGTGCCCTCCAGCACCGGCAGCTCCACTCCCTGGTTCGGCACGATGTGCGGCTCTCCATCCAGCATCGTCAGCACCCGCTCCGCCGCACCGGCGCTCTTCGTGAATTGGTTCAGCACGCCATTGAGGCCCTGGTAGGCAGAGTTCATCATCCCAGAGTAGAGCTGGAAGGTGACGAGCTGGCCCACCGTCAACTCGTTCGGCCGCGTCATGATCATGTAGCCACCGAAGCCGAGGAGCACCGCACTCGAGCCGAGGTCCATAAGGCTGGTGGCGAGAGACGTGCCGGAGAAGGCGATGGCGTCGCGCAGCGTCCGGCTGAGCGCGTCGTCCATGGAGGACTCAAACTTCTGCTTTTCGTACTCCTCGGTGGAGAAGGCGCGGATGGTGCGGATGTTCGAGAAGGCCTCCGTCGCGGTGCTGTTCGCCTGCGCGAGCGCGTCCCACACACCGCGGTTGATGCGGGCGGACCAGCGGGCGTACGTCCCGGTGATGAAGACGATGGGGCCGACCACCGTCAGGGTGATCATGGCGAGGCGCCACGACACCATCATGCACATCGCAATCGCACCAATCAGCGTAATGACGTTCGACAGCACAGAGTTCATGAGGGTCTGCACGGGCTGGATGGTGGCCTGGACGTCGTTCGTCATGCGCGCCGTCAGCGACCCGACGGTGGTGCCGTCGAAAAACGAGATGTCGCGGTAGATGAGCTTCGCGAAGAGGTGCGCCCGCATCCCCATCGTCAGGTTGCGCGTCACCAAAATGCTGCAGAAGGAACGGGCGCTGCCGAGCACCAGCGTGATGGCGGACAGCGCGCAGTAGCACTGAATGTAGTACCAGAAGTTGCCACTGTTCTTGTTCACGATAGAGTCGAGCACCTTGCCTTGGTAGTTTGGCAGGGATACGCGAATGAGCTGGTTCACGACGAGGCACCCGATGGACACGGCCACGATGCGCCAGTACGGAATGAGGAAGCTGAGGGAACGCCAGATGTACACAAAGGGCGAGAGCTGCTGCGTGTCCGTGGCGATGCCCCGGTCCCCGCGCGTCAGGTCGTTCTCTGCCGACACCATCGCCTTGTGCCGGTAGCAGTTCAGGCAGCAGTCGAAGTCGCACGAGCCGCACTCAAAGTCCTCCTTAATAATGCGCTGGTTGCAGAGGTCACACTTAGTCGCCTGCACGCAGTGGTTGAAGCGAAGTGGGTGCGGGTGCAGGTGGGGCTTCAGCACATCAGCGCTGCCGATCATGTCGCCGAGGTAGGAGTCCAGCGAGAACACTTCCAGGTTCACCCAGAGCACCGTAATGGCCATCAGCACCGGCTGCAGCGGGGGAAGAGAGAACTCAAAGAAGAGGCACTTCAGCGCCACCGCCGCGTTGCACAGCGTGAAGAGCACAAAGGTGGTGAAGAGAGTGACGGTTTTGATGCGCTTGTTGCGCTGACGCAGCACCGACTGACGGCGCACCGCCGCAAAGCGGTCCTCGGCGTCGGATGCGTCCTCCGTGGGCAGAGGTGCGTAGTCGCCGTGCTGCGGAGCGGCGTCCTCCCCTGACGCCGCCGCGCCTTCGTCGGTCACTTCGTCGTCCGCGGTAAGGAGGCGAGCGATGGGCACGCGAATAATCACGACGGCCGTCAAGCGAAGCAGCAGCAGCGCGCATAGATCAAGAGCGTTGTGTCGCCAGTCGATCAAGCTGTGCCAATCCAGTGCGTCCCACCTTCCCACGTTACTCACCACCAACGCTCCGATTGTGGACAGCACGTCAAACAGAAACACGAACGCCAAAAGAAGGCGATGGCACCGGGCGGACAGAACGGTCACCGTGCGGTTGTTTCCGCCGCGGCGCCCACCACGATCGGCAGACATGACGCTCCAAGCAAACGGAAAGAAGTAAAAGAGCAGATATAATATATATATATTTATTTATTTATTTATTTATTTCAGATTGAACTGAACGAGCGAAGGAGAAAGAAACGGAGATCATCAAAGGAGAGTAAAAGAGACTGCGTTCGTAGACGAGGTGAATCGCACTTGCTATGCGTAATAATAATGGTAACAAAGAAACACACCGGATCGCTGTGCGATAGTAAGAATGCCAGATGAGCAACACAACGGAAAGAAGAAAATAATTAGTAAAAAAAAACCGTGAGTGATGAAGTAAAACGAGCAGAGAGGGCGGAAAGCGAGAAGGTAACAACGAGAGGTTTGACAGTGGCAATCGCATTTGCGTTCCGCATGGATAAGAAACAAGGCTGCTTCGCGAAACGCGTGAGAAGTCACAGTGCTTAGAAGAGCATGCACTTACTAAAGGGACACGCAGCGAGAACAGTTTTAGTAAAATTTGAAAGCAGCGGCGCCGTTCAGCTTAAAAAAGAGCTCACTTCAACAGAACCGTTTCATTCGTTTGATGGGAAAACAACTTCACCATAAACTAACGCTACAACTCTCTCTTTCTCGGTGCAAGTATCCCTCACTTTGCAGGTCTTTCACAGCAACGTGCAAATATACTTCATAGCGCTTACCGGCCCTTAGGTGTGCCACCATATGAAGGCGTAAAGTCGCTTTTAGATTTCTCCGGTCGATAGCAGACGACGAGATCAACTAAAAAGTTTGAGGTCAGATTGATCAGAAAGTGCCGTGGCGAAGCGCCTTGCTGTCTCTCTCTTTCGCTGATGCTGTGCGCATAAACCGCGGCCTCGCTGCCTTCACTCTTTAAAAAACAATCTGTGAGATATTAAAAACAATTAAATAAGGGGGAAAAGTGGCACCTACAAAGTGACCAGCAACGCGCCAACGTCAACGGATGCAACACTGCTTGCATCGCAGTCATCACGTGAACCTGTGTAGGGGGGGGGGGTGAAGCTTTGATTACCGTGTCCGTTGCTCACGTCCTGTTGGAGTTGTTATCAGCGCGATTGCCACCGCTGCTGCTGTCGTTGTTCCTGCGTCTGCCCCTGTGTGGTGCCCCGCCGCGGTGGTGCCGCTGCGGCTTGTAGGAGGCGCTCCGTGACGAGTTGTAAATCGGCCCCCCGCCGCTCATTTGATGTGTACCGTAGAATGGGGTCGCGTTGCCGAAGTAGGTGTCGTCATCGCCCGGGTAATACCCGAACGGGTTCCCCATGTCCGCGCCGGAGCCGTCGCAGTACGGCTCCTCCTCCATCATCTCGTACAGCTCAAATGGTATGTCATCGGGTGACTCTGCGAAGTAAAAATCGTGTGGCCTGTTCGACGGTCGCCGCCGCCGCCCGTTGTTGCCTTGCCTGTTGTTGCTGGAGTTGTTGTTGCGACGCCGGTTTGACTGACTGTCCGCACTCCACCGATTGAACTCCTCCATCACCACGCCGGCGTTCTCCTTCCCGAGGGCATTCGCAATGAACTCAAAGCTCTTCCCGTCCTGGTACATGTTGACCATCGCCTTCACCTGCTCCTCGGGCCAGGTGGTGGTGTTCGCCGCGTTTTTGCTGGGTTGACTGGCGTTTGGTGAGCCGGCCCGGTCACCGCCGCTGTGCCCTGGCGAGGAAGGGCGCGGCTTGGCGCTGCGTCCATTCGCAAAGTTGTGCCGCGGCTGTCGCCACTGGCCATTCATGCGGTTGAAGTTCTCCGCGTGCGCCGTTTTATTGAAGGCCTCCTCCTCATTCTGCCGCCGCATCTCCTCCCACATTAGTTCGTACATGAGCGGGTCCATGTCCTCGTGCCAGGGCTGATAGGCGGCGTCGTACTTGGTGTAGTACTCCGATGAACTTCGTGCGTCCGAGGAGGTCGACGAAGAGGCGGGTGAGGGGCGACTCGACAGTCTGCCACCCGCCTGGTAGAACTGCTTGACGGTGGTGTAGGCCGTGTTGATGTCCGTCATCCGGTCTGTGGAGGAGGTGGCGGAGGTGGCGACGTCGGGGTGGTGCTCCTTCGCCAGGGCGCCGTAGCGCTTCTTCACATCGGCCAAGGTCGCCGTGGCGTGCACGCCGAGGGTCTTGTACGCCCTCCGCACATCGTCCTCCGTTGGTGTCGTGGCACAGTGCCGTCGTGGCGGTGTGAGCGGGTGGCGTGACAGGGCAGAGAGGGAGGAAGACAGCGCGCCGATGCTGCATTGCAGGAGGCGCTTCATGATACAAATGTTGGACAGCGTTCTCTCGCTCTTCTTCAGCAAACGATGGGGGGGGAGCAAAATGAATAAAAGAGACAGCCGATAAAGAAAAAAAAAAGGAACAGAAGAAAAAAGGCGGTGGTGTAGGAGGTGGAAAGCAAAGGAAAGGAAAGGGACTCCAATGAAAGAATGCTGCTTGCTCGTTGAGATGCCAAGGCAAAGTGAGACTGATGGCAGCGGCTGTCAAAAGAAGAGAGAGGATCTCGCTTCGAAGACACGGCGCAAAACTTCACTGGCAACCTCCGCAAAAAACGTCCTTTACAGAAGAAGAGTTCCAGGTGCCAGAGGACGAAGAAGAAGACGGCACCTAAAATCTGTCGAAGAGACACAGAGGAGTACTTTCCATAACTTGCGTGAATTCCATTGTACGCACATGTCAGTTCCACCGCGAGTGGGCCTGAAATCAAGAGAGAGGGCGGCTCGAAGCCCAAATACATCAACACATACGAACGGGGGAAAGAAAAAAGAACGCTCAAGGACACGTCCACCACACGCTGCGGTTCCCCGTATCTTCAGGGAACCGAACGAATGATCAAATAATGATAATAATAAAACAGGATGCCTCTCTCGCCGTTGAGCTACAGGTCCTCGTTAAGCTCGTTTTGTGTCTGCTCCAGGTATGCAGCCAACGTGGCATTGAGATACACCGCTTGCTTGTACCCGCGGTTATTCAACATCATCGCGGCTGCCGCAGCGCGAATGCCGTTGTACGCGTACACCACGATTCTATCTTTCTTTCCCGGTTTGCGGGCGTTGTACCTCCGCTGGAACTCCGAGCCCCACATGTTCAACGCCTTCTCGAAATCGCGCATGGGCATGACAATGGCGTGCGGTAAGGGCGGCACAGCTGCCACCTCGTAGTCCTCCCGCACGTCGAGGATGTACACGCCGAGCGTGCGGTCCTTGTCTAACGCGTGTACCACCGCCTGCAGCTCGAACACGTCAAAAGGATGATCAAAGGCGGGGAGTGACATGATGCACAAGACAATTAGCACTAGAATGGAAAAAGAACAGATCGAGATAAACTACAGCTATTACGGTGACGTGGCGCCCACACTTGGACGTGACTCAGACTCGCGCGGTATCGCTGGCGAACGGTAAAAATGGAAGAGCTGACGCGTGACAGTACAGTGCATCCGAAGCAGCAACAGTGACGTGCATTGAAAGGTGTACAATGAAGGTAGAAGCGGAAGAAAAGTGTTGGGGGAAGAAGTGCAGGAAGGTTCACAGTACTTTTCTTTTCGGAGGTTAATTCACTTGCAGAACGTGCGACAGCGAACAAATATCTTCTCTTGGCACCCGCCCGCGGAGAAAACCATACGCAGGACGTGCGGAAACCGCCAGGAGGGCTTCTTCTTTATCTTTTTTTTCTTTTTCTTTGTTTGTGATGAACGCGTTGATGCAGCTGCATAGCCGTTCGCGAACGCCAACGCAAACCCAGCAGCTGGCTTTGCGGAAGAGGTTCCCATTCTACCTCTTCTCTTGGACGTTGTATGCGCCTGTGAATAAAATCAGCTAGTGAGATAGCCGCCCGTCATCGGAACAAAACTGCGTGCTGACCAGCGGTGCATTGCGTTGTGAGAAGGTTAGTGCACCCTACGCAAATGGAGCGGGACTAAAGAGCCCAAGAAGGCTGAATTGGTGTGACTACGATGAGCTGAAGGCGTTGTGCCACTGAGCCCAGCTGCCAGAAAAATTACGTGCGTTGTCGAACCCGAGCTCGTCCACCACCTCGCACGCCACAGCGGAGCGTACACCGTGCGCGCAGTAGAACACCATCTGCGTTGTGCCCTTTACCGGTCGTGGCGAGCCGAAAAAGAACGCGAACTCCGCATCGTCAACGACACTGTCTGGTGCCAACACGTCCCGCAATATAGGCAAAGGAATGTTGACGGCAGAGGGAATGAGGCCCGTCTTGGCCACCTCCGCAGTGGACCGCACGTCGATCAGCATAACATTGCGCGCGGCTTCGCTGTGGTTCAACTTCGCCTTGACAATGTTCGCCACCTGCTCCAGAGAGATGTAGAAGTGCAAGCGAAAGCACCGCTTAAGCATGATAGAGAGGTTGATTACTCCGCATGCGTAGTGGATCGCCTTCACAAGGAAGAAACGCGAGAACAAAAAACAATATTTGCGGGCGTCGCGGGTTGCAGTCGCCCAGTCCGCACTTTCTGATACGTCCTGTCGCGTACTCGAAGATCTGCACACAGCAAAAAGATGAGGAGGAGAAAAGGTTCGTAAAAAATGTAGAGTCTTTTTCGCGTGTGAGAAGTCGCCATTACGATACAAAAAGGAACGGAAAACGTGGAGCGCCCGCCGGGCTCCTTCGCAAGTCGTCGCGGTGCATCGCCGTTCGTTGTTGGCGTAAAAGGTGAACGGAGCACAAATACTATCCAAAGATGCAAAGCAGCGAAAAGTGAGTGCTTTCTGTTCGTTTGCAGATGAGTGCGAGTATGCGGTGAAACATAATATTCATTGCCGTAGCCGCTGGCGTGGATCTTGTTGGACCCTCCCTTCTTTTTCTTTTAGTTGCCTCATTGTCAACCGCAACGAAGCAAGAGCGTAAAAGCCGAAGATCCACAAATAGGGGCGCGGTGTCCGCCACTTTAATCGAAGGAAACGCGAAGAGAACACAAATTATGGCGCGAGATTCCTCCTCACACACACACACGCACGGACGCAGCAAGAAATAGTGGGTGGCTGCTGAGGCAACAAGGTCGCATGCAGATTGCACTTTCCTTTGTTGTACTTTTAAAGCGACTGTGCTGACCCCAAGAGTTCAGCTTCCAGCATTGCAGTTCAGCAATTCACCTCCTCCTTTATGTGATGCGTTGATGCACATGGCGGATGTGATGGTGCAAATAAAAGTGCGGTACCAACGCTGCACCCATGAAACAGTGAAAGCAAAAATTCTTGCTCGTATCCTCGACTACGTAGAGGTACAACATGAATAACAATAACAAGACCACGTATAAAAGCCTTGTCAAAGCGAACACGGCCTACGCGCTCTTCTCCATCTCTGCCCACTCCGACCAGCTGCCAGGATAGACGTCGACGTTGGCGTAGCCGTCCGCGGTGAGTGCGCTGGCCGCCTTCTCCGCCCTCCCACCACGAAGGCAGTACGTGACGACATGATCGGCCTTGCTCGGCTTGGCGGCGTGGTACTTGTTCGCAAAGTCCTCGGTAGACAGCTTGAGGGCGGCCTCCAGCTGGTCCAGCGGGACGTTCACGGAGCAGGGAATGGCGCCGGCAGCAACTTCGTCGACGCCACGAACGTCGAGGATGCACGTCGTTGGCAGCTCCCCGGCCTGCTTCTTCATCGTCAACGCCTTCATCGTCGCGTACGTCAGGCGCTGCATCCTTTTTTTTTTTAAATGGGTGTAGGGGAAGGGAAATGTGAAACGAGTGCTGGGCAGTAGGAGAGAGTTGTTTCCACCGAGCGCGGGTCGGACTGCGCAGCACGGGAAAGAACAAGAGTGAAAATGTCGACGCAGAAACGCACGCGGTACATCACGACAAGAGTGAAAGGAGGTGAAGAAGGGGACGAGGATGAAAGGGAGAAAAGACCGAGCGCTGAGGTAATGCAAAACAATAGCGTGTATCGCCAGTTGTTGCTAGAGAAGTTGGGCGCTTCCCTCCCCGGCACCAAAAGAAGCGTCACCGGCACAACGAGGAACGGAAGCAGAAACCAAACTTACATCCCTGACTCCTTCCACTCGCGAAAGGGAAAATGAGAAAATGAGAGGGTTAATATCTTTGATTGCACCTGAAGACTTGATGTGTCTTTCGCGAAAGGAGATGATAAACAGATGCATACACGCAACAGATGTTTTCTGGCGGCATGTGTGTGAGAAAGTCAGCGCGAGCACATCTGTGCGGTTCTTTTCGGAGGACGTCTATAATAATTCAAGAGTTGGTTTGCTTCGGTTTGCGTTGCGCGAAGCAGCTGAATTTTAGTTAGTGAAAAAAGATATATATTTTAATGTCTGATACAACAGTGCCGGCGAGGACCGCATTCGACTCGAAGCTCGACAAGAAAAAAGTGTTAAGGAGCTGGACCGCTGCTGTCGGTATCGCTGAGCAAATTCAGTCGCTGGAAACGTCTACGAGTGAGATGGGAAAAACAAAGATGCGAGCAAGCAACTCGAGCAACGCAGCTAGCATTGAAAGTGGAGCCCACGCTTTTGTTCTCACTCCGGCGCGAGGATGTGCACCACCGTGTTCATTGGGGAGCCCTGCAGTTTGTACCGCGCGCAGCAAAGGAGAGGATAGAGGGACTCGACCTCCGCTTTCGTGCGCGTGCGTGCGAGCTTGGTGCCGTAGGCCACGCGGTGTAGCAGCTGGAAGAACGTAGAGGCGACCGCGTCGTACGCCGCGCGGATCGGGTACTGCAGCGTGTAGTACTGCCGGAACTGCACGTCGGTCTCTGCCACAAAAATGCAGCCGGAGCAGATAGCGCCAACTCCGCGCAGGTACGTCGCTGCCACCGCGTCGTCAGGCATGACGCTCAGCACGTGCTGCAGAACGACGAAGTCGAACTTTTCCTCGGGCAAATCGTCGTGGTAGGCAAAAGCCACCTTCACGTTATCAAGAGAGCACTCCGGTGGCAACGACGTGTTGCGCTGTGTGGAGGACAGAACTCGATGCACGGCAGGGCTGCTCATGAGTCGAAGCCACTCCGCCGACGTCGCCACGTTCTCGTCCACTTCCTCCTTGCAGTCGCCGTCGCCGCCGTGCCCCTTCCCGAAAGGGTGGGAATGAACCACGAGCACCCTCACCAATTCCGTGCTCGCGGGGACGTCCTCCTTGTGCACGCACTTCGTCACGTCTTCGGCGTGGCGCTGCGGCAATGGCCAATTGTTCGCCGCGTAGTCCACCTCCCTGTCTTCGCTTTGGTAGTCGAAGCTGTCGTTCGTCAGCCACGTTGAGTGCCGCTCACCCGATCCAGCGGACGAAGCGGCGTTGCGGCGACGCGCCTCCTCAATGCGCCGCTTCCGCTCCACGCGCCGCTGCTGTTCGTCATCCGGCATGTCCTTGAAGTAGCGTGTCCCGCCAAAGTTGAAGTCCTTCAGCTTCACGTTGAGCTTGCGGAGCGACATCGCTTCGGGTGGCATGCCTAGCTCCTCGGTGCACGCCGCATTGAGATGCACGGCGTACATCGACCAGAACGCCTGCTCCTCTGCTCGCTGGGCGGTCTCCTTTTCGAGCAAGCCCAGCATCACCTGTTTGGCGACTTCGCAGAGATCAAAGAAGGCGGCGTTCATGTCCGACGTGTTCTTCCACAAGAAGTCCGTGCGCTCGGGCATGATGGCGATCAGGCGCTTCCACTCCTTCGCTACCAAGTCCAGCCACTTCGCCCGGGCCTTCTCCCACATCTCTAAAAGCTCTGCCGCGATGAACTCGGACAAGTACGCACGCTCTAGGTATTTTTTCTTCTCCGCCGCCGTTGTCAGCACCGTGCCGGTCTCGCTGAAGCCGCCGAAGCGACCCGCCGTCCGCTGGGTGGCGTCTGCGTTTGCTTTCAGTTTCACATCCAAGCTGCGGAGCGGGAAGCCGTCGGGACAGGTCAGCTCCTCGCCAAAGAGAGTCGTTGCGAGAAGGGAGGAGGGGGCGAGCAGCAGCTCGTGAACGCGCAGCGCCTTCGCCGCACAGTGGTGCATGCGGTGTAGTGCGCTAACAACAGCAAAGGGTGACGGCTGGACCGGGAAGACAGGTGACGGCCGGTTCAGATTCTCGCCGTTGGGTTTTACGAGCACCTCCTTCACCGCCAGATTGGCTTCCTTGTCCTGCAGCGCAGCCGCCAGTCGACGCTGGTACTCGGCGTAACTGCCCGGTTCGCCTAGGGGGGAGCGGTAATAGAAGACGCAGGTCAGCCGCCTCCAATCCTCCGACGGGCAGCTCTCCTCCACCTCGGTGTTGGAGTGGAAGTGGTGAGAATCGAAGACAAAGACGTCGCGCGGCTGCAGCAGCACGCTCATGTGGAAGTCGTCGAAGGTCAACGCGAGTCCTTTGAAGTTGCCGTCGATGCACGCAATGCAGCTGTAACCTCCGTCGAAGTCGCCAGCGTCTGTGTGCGTCGCCGTGCGGAATCGTGAGTTGATGGTCAGTGTGGAGAAGGGGGCGCCGTGGATGCGCACGACGTCGGGAATGGCGCTGTCCTGCGCCGCCCAGTGCTCCGGCATGACGCACTTGTAGATTTCGCTCACGTAGTCCACGAGGGGGAAGACCGCGGGCCAGTCCTTCTCGTGTTCGTACGTGAACGACGTCTTCCGCGCCTTCAGCTCCACCGGCGAGCCGCGGTAGTCGAAGTACCCCGCAATGCCACTCAGCGGGGACTCCCCGCCAAACATCGGGCTCCGCAGCGACGAACGCACCGCTGCTGAAATCAACAAATCGGCAGCCGTCGACGCGGCAAACTCAGGCAGCGCTTTGCGGAGCACCACACCGATGATGCGCCCCTTGCCATCCTTGACGGTGGCGCTGTCGTAGAGCTCGGCGATGGTGTGCGCGTTGTCGAAGAACGGGTGGGACTTCATTGCGTCTGTGTAGGATTCCGTCACATCGGCCGGTGTGCGGACATCTTTGCCGCTGGGAAAGCTGAAGATGTCCAGTTTAGCCTTCTTAAGGTCTGGCTTCATGGTTCTCAGCTGGTGTTGTGATCTAGAATCCGAAGAAGGTGCAAAGTATGTGTGAAAAGCGAGAATAAACTTATATATACTGCTGTGCGAGCAGAGCGTTTAGGGTTGGTGAAAGATGCCGAATATCTTTACAAAACAAAAGTGATTGTTAACGATGAAAACACCGAAGCGGCAGGAGAGTAACAAAAACACGGTGGGATAGAAATGACTTCAGAAATGAGAATATGATATATGAGTGAAACAGCGCAGGCCAGCTACGTGTATCCGGCACGATAAACAATCCAGCATAAAGAAAGCGTCCCAGAAGCTTTTTCCAACGAACCCGTGTCGCTGTATCTGTCGCTGGCTCACGCAGAACAGCAGAAGATAATACGTTTAAAGGAAGAAGAGAAAAAATGGATGGAAAGTTGAACGGTCACGCATCAAGCAAGAAGGTTGCGTGGAAACAACAGCGTGCACCAGTGCTTTTTCCCCCATTTTGCAACGACAGCAATCAACAGAGGCGGTTACCACCCGGTTACGCTTCCGGATTGCAGAGGTCAAATCACTTCCATTCGAAGGTGAGCGACTCACACAAGACATTACAAGGAGCGAAGGAGACTTGCAGCTGAACATCATTGCAATTGAAACTGGAAATCAAACAAACTCAAACAAAACACCTTTTTTTTTGCACGAAGAGCATTTTTCTTTTTCACCACGTAAGTCACTAAGTGCAGTGCCGATGATCTGAAAAGGTTTCACGGAAGTTCTTCAGCACCGTGCTTCGCTTTCCCCTTGCACTGCTTGCTCTCTTACACACACACGCATACACAGATTTGCACATTTACGTAGCTGTCATCGTATGCGCATTATGTCGACGTCTGACTGATAGGCTGCGAGGAGACGCGAGTGGCACAGCGAAGTAACGAAACGAAACCTTCTCTCACAGCACACAAATAATAATAATAGAAAACCAAAACAGTATAGTGAAGCTCAACGACTGGAAGAATTGAAATGCCTTCTTATATCTCTTCATTTTCTTCCTCTTTTACACCAGGACCCAACACCGTCACTTTTATCCAATGATACTTCTTTTCTCCTTTGTTATGTTGTTTTTGAGTGCCCTTCTTTGAGCAGCGAAAATAACCTGTCAGCTTTAATAAAAATAGTATTCTTAGAAAAAGAAAGAAACAAACAAAAACATGAGACCCAAAGGTGTATTTCTCCAAATTGCAGTGCGCATCGGTGCTCTGCGCAGACTCCATCTATTGACTTGTGTATGAAACACTGAACGGAGATCACCTGATTAGTGGCACATCCTCTTTTCCGCTTTCAAGCACAATGTTTAGGGCTTAAAAATGAAGAACGCGCATATGGCGATGACGATCATGATGACGGTAATGCCGAAGTAATTGTTCGCGGCCTTAGCGACGGCCTCCGGAACCTTATCGGCATCATCGGGGTGGATATCGCCAATGTAGTACCGCGCGAGATCCTCGATGGCGGTGTCGGAGTGGCCGACAGCGTCGAAGTCAGACGTGCCGTCTTTGCCCGCGACACCGAGAAGCGTGTCCGCACCACCTGGGTGCTGGTCCACAAACTTCGTGATGTCGTACACCTTGCGGTCCTTCACAAACCACAAGTCATCCTCTGTGGTGTGCTTCTCTACCTCGCTCAGTCGGATGTAGGTAGTAGCAGTCATGCCGGAAAACGGGAGTTCTTCAAAAACACCAAAAGAAGAGGGGGTATAAAGGACGGCGCCAACAATCACTTTGCGATTAAGATCGTCAGACGATTCTGCAAAAGTCGTGTTTAATGCGAAAGGAAAGGAAGAGCAGAGAAGACACGGCCGGTTTTCCTCTTTTACAAATAAATTGGAGATGATGGACGGAATGTGATCAGAATGAAAACAACTGCACGCGTGTAAGTGGAGGGTACGCACGCGCGCATCAGCAAGGCAACCAGATTACCGGCACCGCATTTACGTGGAAAACAGAAGAAAAAGGGAGGAGAGCAGAAAGTCACAAGGAGAGGCAGTATACGATCTGTTGACACATACATGGCTCATGCACTTCTCACACCGAAGAGAGAGAGAGAAGGAATAATAAAGTGGTGCTCTTGCGCACGTCGATTTGACGCCAATGCTTTGACAGAAAGAAAGCCTAACGGTGTTTGGTTGACGCCGAATGCCACTTTGTGGCGACAACGATGTCTTTCGTTCGCAGCACTAAAAAGAAAACTTGTAAACATGCTGCGTCGAAGCCCAATTCGACCCTTCCCACTCGCCATAATTCCGTTATGCACCAGCGAGACACGCGCTGCGCAGCGCTCGAAGGTTTTTTTCCTTCACCACATTGGCGTACGATGTGGACTTCCTTTTTTACACGTAAATTGATGCTTGCCGTGAAACACAATGATTTCACGTTTGGTAGACTATAAGATTTTGATTCTTGGCGCTGCCTCCAACGGGATTTTCGTATTTTCTTTTTTTGATGAGTACCTCACGAGTAGAAAGAGAAGGGGAAAAAGAGCTCTTGCCGTTGTGCCTTTTTTTTGTGCCAGTTGCTGTACGTTTCATCTTTTGAGACCCTTCTGCCCCTCTCAGCACCAACGCGAAACGTCCGTGGCGGATGGAGAGAAGACAAACGTTAAAAGTGGAGAAAAAAAAAGAAGATATTTCGCATTAGACAGAAAAACGGAAAGCATGAACGAAAGAGATAAAACAAGTGCTTTAGGAGAGCGCAGCCGAGAAAAGGAAAGAAAGATATATTATATATATAAGGAACTAATACCTCAACATTGTGTGTTACTGGTTCGAGAACAGCAAGGAGACGAAAAGAGAAAACCAGCTAGATTGGCACAAGCACTTGCCGAGCGAAGGAAAACAGGCAGAACTACACTCACCGCAAGACCCGGTACGAGTGCAACCGTCTTAACTCCATCAGGGCCCCCGAATAGTGCCTGGCCATATATGTATGTATATGGCCGTATCTTGTTGCCGCCACTTTACAAGAAGATGGAGCGGAAGAGGCACGAAAAGACGGTGGCAAGTAGCACGAACACCACCACAATACCGTACATGGGACTTTGCGTGCCCTGAATCGGCTCCCTCAGCTTGCGGGCGTCGTCAGGGTGGACATCGCCGATGCGGTACTTCTCCAACTCTTCCTTGGCAGAGTCAGAGTGTCCGATGGCCTTGAAGCCATTCGAGGCATCGGCGCCAGCCACGCTGAGGAGAATGCGGACGCCGCCGGGGTGCTCGTCGGCAAACTTAGTCGCATCGTACACGTGTCGGTCGATAATGATCCAGAGATCATTGTACTTGTTGTGCCTCTCAATGTCGCCTAAATGGAAGTATTTGGTGGACATGGTTGAGTTTTCCTTTTATTGGTAAAGTGAAATAACTGCAAAGTACGTGGGGCAGCACGGCTTGGATATGAAAGGAAAGAAACAGAAAGCGGATCTAATTAATGAGACAGCGTTTGAACCAGCTCTCGCTACACACAGCAAATACGAAAAAGCGAGGCGCTTTCGCTGGAAGAGGGTATTTGATGACAAAGAAAGAACTGGATGAGATGCAACGTGAGGGCGAAAGGAAAGAGAAAAAAGGTGTCGAGGATTCATAGCAAGGGAAACAAGACGAATTTCAAAAGAGGAGGAGAGATGAGAAGCGCAGAGGCAACAGAGTGGTCAGCTTTTTCTTCTGTAAAGGTCATTGTAGTATCGGCGGCCCATACAGCATCGAGCAGCTGAGGGGTTTGCTGACAGGCAGACTTCGGCTCCCGGCTGTAGAAGCCGTCGTTGCTGAAAACATGCGTAGACTAGATAAAAAGAAGAGCCAGCACAAGCCTTACATGTGTACGTGGAAATTCCATTGAAGTTGCACGTTGCTTCTTGTGGAATATTCACCTCTAGGACGACAACAAAGAAAAATCCCTGGTCTTGGTAATTGCCAGCGGGAGATGAAAAGCGTTGCCGAGGTGCGTTGTTGTTCAGTTTTTTTTTAATTTCTCTTTAGAAGGCAGCACCTTTCACAATTGCTTTAGTTACACGTCGTTCATCGACTGGTTGTTTCTAGCGCGAATGGCTTGCAGAATCGTGCGGAAACCCACAAAGCCGACGCACTGCGTTGTGGCATGACTGCGTACTAGATCTTGCTTGTACCCCTGATACGGCAAGGGCTTGGAGAGGCCGGCTTCTTTGTGAAGGCGGCACTCGATCGCGTACAGCTCCGGATTCATACGGCCCATCAAGATATTTTTCGGGACTGGCTGAGCTAGGCCGAGCGCCACTCGCTTCGTGTCGCGCTCCTTCTTCTGCTTCTTGAAGACGCGCATCTCGACCTTCGACAGATTACTGTTCAGATCGTTGATGCACTCCTTCATCCGCCGCTCTCGGATGCTTTTCCGAGCCCTGCGCACGAGCTTCATGACTGGCAAAAGAGAGAGAACGGCTACAGTATTACCGCATCTATTAAACGCTTCTTGACGGCGAGATCAGGAAATGGTGACCGCGAATACACGTTGTGACGAAGAGCTCTGCGTCGACTTACGCCTCTTCGATTCAAACGCGAAGGCAGGGTATGCAGAGGGGTACTTGGGTGCCTGTTTCGTACATTTGTTGAGGACGGAGAGAAGAAAGGAGGGAGAAGGAGACAGCAGTACAGCCGGCATACGTCGACGGCGACCCATTCAACAATCTCAGTTTTTTGTTCCCAAAAAGCTATCCTTACCATGTTTCCAAGAGTATCCTAGCGCACATATATATATATATATGTGGGCGTCCTTTGACAAAGCTGCCCTCGGCAGCACTTTCACGCGTTGCTTTCAGCCAACGGTTGTAGGACGCAAGCAATGAATGAACTGTCGCCTCCAGAGGTCGCTTTAACAACGAGAAACAGTCAGGCGACGAAAAATTGAGCTTTGGGTTTTCTAGGAAGGCAGCATTCGTGTGTGTGTGTGTGTGTGTGTGTGTGTGCTACGACGGTGTGCTCAACGAAAGATCTGAGAATAAAACATCCGAAAAAGAAAGAGGAAACGGCGAGCGAAGAGAGACAACGCACGACGGATCGCGAGAACAAGCGCACAACGTTACGTCAAATCGCCTCGCGATGCAAAAAAAAAAATAGAAAAGAAACAACGCCCTCCCACACACACACACACACACACACACATTCGCCGATCAAAAAAATATTTACATAATCTGCATAGAAGATAAACAGGGGGATTTTACATCGCAAACGACCTACGCGTAGAAAAACAGTTCTTATTGCACGCAAGCGAGAACAAACAGCGGGGGGTGCATCGAGGCGGTGTCTTTTGGCGGGTGCTACGGTGGCGTGTGCCTCAACTTTTCAAGAGCAACCGAAAAGTAACTCACCACGGCTGCGATCAATGTGTTTGCACCCATTCGCCAGAGTTCCACTTTGCCCTCACTTTGACTTCAGCAGTCGTGTACTCAGGCAGCGGACGTACTGCTGTGGAATGGGAAACGCATCGAACTGCTTGCACAGCTGGCGATAGCGTCGTCCGCTGCACGAGATCTTCACGTCGTAGATGTATTCAACGAAATCCATCTCCAGCGGCGCGGTGCCGTAGAGTGGCCGCTGGCGAAACTGCCACGTCAGGCTGCGCATCACAATGCCGTTGAGCCACTGCGTGAGGTGAACGCGGTCACTGGGGTCTCTGCATTCAAATTGTACCTCGACACCACACGCAGAAACGTTGATATGCAGCAAGATTGCACAACCGTGCGGACGACACTTCTCCAGTGCGGCGAAGACGTCTTCTGAGTTGATCCCGTCGATGCCGGCGTTGTGGCGCAGAAAGAGCAGCCGAATCGTGTTGGTGAAACTGAGCTCGGAGATGGTGATCCCGTCCATGAATGCACGAAAGAGTGAAAACATGTCGCTCTGCACCTTGGAGCTGCCAACACCGAACGTGAACACCGCCTTCGCCTTCTGCGTCTCGCGCTCGCGTCGCCGGTGGTCTTTCGCCTCAGCCGTCAGGAGAATATCGCGGACCGGGACGAGGTCGGCTACGAAAGGGAGGTGCCGATCTAACTCATTTCGCAACGTGCGGAAGCGTGCAGGGGTGCAGTACTGTTGCATCTTCGAGACTACATACGTGGCGAACGACTTCCAATCTCGCTGGTTGTCCGCCGTCTGGATCCCACCAGAGAGCACGGCGTACTTGGAGCCGGAGGAGATTTTGGGAAGCTGACCGTTGAACGCCTTCACAAGAATGTGCGAAAGCAGATTGCGCTGCTGCGGCTCGTAGGGAAAGCGGAAGGTGTTGCCGGTGCTGCTGGCCAGGCACGCCATACCGCACGAAAACGGCGTGAGCGGCTGTAGATCAACTGCGACGATGCACTGCAGACCTAACGGAGGTGCCTGTCGGTGCAGGGCAGCACACACAAAGTCCTCCACGTCAACTGTGGTGCTCGCGTACGGTTCCACCAACGGTGACTCACATGGGTAGATGAAGTTTTGCAGGTCCCCCTCCGGCCCCTTCGCGCGGTACCGCTGCTCGTACTCTCGCGTCACCACGATGGCCTGCCGCATCTCGCGAGACAGCAGCTGATTCATCTCCTCGTACTCCTGTACAAGGCCATCTCTGGCAAACGCTTCCTCCTGTTCCAGTTGTTGCCGACTAGTGCGCAGCGCGGTTTCGATCCGGCGCCGCTCCAGCTCTATCTCATCCTCTGTCTGCCGCTTGGGACGTGTGGGGGGAGCCGCAGCTTTTTTGTCCTTACCGCGTTTCTTCGATTTCTTCGCCGGCACCGACTCCGCCTCCTTTTTCATCTGCGCCAGGAGCTGCTGATACGTGGCGGTCGCATCGCATTCTAGCTCCGTGCGCCGTGCCTGCTCCTCCACGCAGATCGCCAGCGACTCAAACCCAAGCACAGGCGGCTGGCGTAGGTTCAGCGCACCGCCGTACCCGCTGAGGTAGATGAAGTTTAACTTGCTCGTGTCGATCTGCGTGACAGCTTTCAGCAAAGTCGCCACATCAGGGTCCTCAAGCCTGGTGACTTCGTAACCTTGCTGACGCAGCGCCTCCTCGAGCGCAGAGACATCGTTATCGATGGGCGGGACACCGCAGCATTGAGGATGGTGCAACGTGACGAGCAGCGCACCGAGCTGCTGCTTCGGTTTGACAACAGCGTTCATACGAAGACCTCGGATTTCCTCCACCTTGCGGTCGTTCTCGAAGCGCTGCGCGCTGCGCTTTTTTGCCTCGTGCTTAGCCACGTGCCCGCGCCAGTTGCGTTGAATCAACAGCGATGCGTTTTCTCGAACCCCGTCAATCAGCCGCTTGTTGAAGAGACTGACAGCAGCCGCCTCGTCGCCAGACATGCGCGGATACACGCGGTGAAGCAGGTGCAAAGATGAGCCGAACTCGGCATTCAACAGGCGGGAGTGGAGCACCACCGGCAAATACCACGGCCGCCCGCTGTTCTGCAGGCTGCGGATGATGTCGTCGGTCACCACCGTCTTGTTTCGCGCATTCAGTGGGCCGAGCTTGGCTGTTACGGACGGCTTCAAGGTGTTGCTGAGCAGAACGGATTCTGCGCCTTCAATCATGCGGTTCAACATGAGCTCGCGCCGGCCTTGCATGCCTTCGACCATGTACGGATAGTGCCACTTGAGCATGTTGCAGTCGTACGCGGCGTCGTCCGGCAGCTCCGGCTCGCGAAAGTGGAGTACCGTCGCCCGGCAGTCACCGATGCGCACGGTGATCATGAGGTGCCCTCTGGGGGCATCGGCGCTGATCACGGCGTTGATGGACTCCTCCAGCCGTGTGATGCTGTCCAGAACGTGATAGCAGTCCTCCGGCAAGTCATACCACGACTTCCACTGCACCCCGGACGACTGAGAAAGGTAGTGCGGCATGCTGGTCAGCTCGTAGAACTCCTTCGAGTAGATGTCGTAGATGCTCTCGTGCGCAGCCCCCTTTTCACCAAAGCTGCAGGTGAAGACGACCGCCGCGATGGAAACCCGATTGTGCACGAAGATCCGCACGTCGCGCTCCGTGGTGGTCGCGCGCTCATCGGCTTGGTCAGACGGCGCGGGAATCCACATCACGTCGTTGCGCCGCACCACGTTGGTGTCGGAGTTGATAAGGAGGCCGTGGTTATTGTGGCACGAGTAGTCCTGCATCACGTACGCCCCAGGCCCCTCATTCATTTGCAGCGTCACATAAGGAGAGCCGCGCAAGGAGAGGTAGAAGCGGCCGATCTGGCCGAGAAAGGGCCGCTGCACCTTCCAGTTTCGCACGTTGTGCCCGCCAACGGCGATCCAGTTTTCGAAGGTGATAAAGCGCGTTGGCCCCTCGCGACACACGAACAGCAGATCCTGCAGCGCGTCATCGACCTTCACCGTGAACTTGTTGGCCTCGCTATCAATGCAGCGCCAGACAAGCGTGTGCCACTCACCGTCCACCAAGTTGTGCCGCTCCGTCCCACGCAGCAATGCGGAACAGCACACACCAAACGCGTCAATAATGTAGAACGTCGTGTGCAGTTCGTGGTAGCGAAATCGGTCCTTTGAGGCGACCGGTTCGGCGTTGAGGACGATGCCGAACTCCTGCATCTTGAAGCGGCCGTCGGTCACGCCGACCAGTGTCATCATGCACGACGAGACGTCGGTGCGAAAGCGGAACTCCATGCGCCAGTTGTGCATCAGTTGACCGAACAGCGGCAGCGTGCCTACATTCATCACGAGCCTTCCGTCGAACGACGGCGCACTACGCGGAGCTCGTTCCTCGACTGCGTGCAGGTTGAGCAGTGTCTCCCGATGGTCAGCCGGGATGGTGTGCGTCACCTCGGGCAGCGCCGCGCTGTCCGACACCAGCAGCGGCCAGCGTACAATGGGGTGCGCGGGGTCGCCGCCGGACCACACCCGCAGCTCCGCTATTGTGCCGCGGAACACCATTGCAGGGGTGTTTTCCTCGTCTAAAAACCCGCCGATGAAGAGGCGGTGCGGCCACGGGTTGAAGGCGATGGGGTGTTCCTGCTGCACCAGCTGCACGTCGATCGCCTTCGCGTCCACCTCGCACGTCAGCTGTCCTTCCTCGATGCTGTCCACGCGCACCATCAGGTGGTGGAAGTGATCACCGGATGTGAGGCCGGTTTTGGCTACAGACGCCACAGCCTCCATCACTCGGTTTGCCGAGTCGCGAAGCACGACGCGGACAGAATCGGGCATGTCCTCGTACCAGTTGAGGCTGACCTGAAAGAGTTGCCCAAGATCCTCTCGCTGACCCTCCATTACTTGTATAAGGACCCGCTTGCCATCTGCAACTTTAAGGTCGGTTCGAATCCAAAAGTCGATCGTAAACGCGCGGATCACCTCGTCAAAGTTGGGGATGCCCGGCAGAGCCATGACGGACGAGGTGCCGTCAAACGCGTAGGTAGTGATCTTCTCTCCCCAGCCGTTCCCTGCAATCGGTTCACAGCTAGCACCCTCGACGGTCTTGTTGAGGTCAGACAGCAACAGCGCCGTGTTGCGTCGCTGCAGCTGGTTGAAGAGAACGGTGTGGCTTCGCGTGTTTTTGGCAGCAGAGTACGAGGCTGACCTAGAGGCTTGACTGGTGCGCTGCATCGGAGGTGCCGCCACAAACGTCTGCGGCGTCAACGAATGCGAGTCGTTGACGGGCGGCTCGAGCAGCTCATTGTGTGCAGCGGAGATGATTCCGTAACGGCTTTCGGCAGCCGCTCGCCGGTCTGCCGGATGTGCATAGCGGTATTCCTGTCTCAGTTTCGCGATTCGCCTCCGCAGCTCATTCGATAAGCGCACGCCTCCCTCGTTGCTCTGCGAAGCGTTTAAAGCCTTGACGCTTTCGTCCTCCGCGCGGTCGCCGCCGTCCCCAGAGAAGCCCACGACGCTCATCCGCAGCAGGCGCTGCATCTGCTTCTCCTTCGCAAACTCATCAGCAACCACCTGCATTCCGTACTCCGCGGAGGAACGCACCGCATTTAGAAAGTTGATGAGCAGTGGCTCAAGGTGCGCTTCAGCGTTGGCGCCGCGGTGGACGACCGTGACATTTTCTCGGCGCTGCACGCACTGCGTGATGTCCTCGAAGATCCACTGCAGCGCAGTCGCCTCCACGTCGTCGTTACCGTCCCACACAACACCGTTGTAGGGAGACACGAAAAAACGTGGAGGAACGGGATATCGGACTACCTCCAGTGCGTTCCGGATCTCCTCTGCTGTTGGCTGCGCACTCTTTTGATCATTGTAGATGACCGCGACGTGGTCCTCGAACGTGGACCACACATAGGCGGTGCCACCCTTGACCTGCCGCTGGTGTTTGGGATCCTCCACAGAGAACAGAAGCACCATCGTGGAGAACGCCAAAAAGAAGAAGAGAAGAAACTCTGCTCAACACCGTCGCAAAGCAACGACAACAATGAAGTACTTTCTCTGCTCTAAGGAAGCTTGTTTGATGGTTGGAAAATAATATAAATGGAAACAATGGATTGAGAGACAGCAGAGTGGGGACATAGGAATGGTAAGAAACACGACAGTGCAATACATGAAGGAAAAGGTGTCAGAATACGTGCGTCGTTGTATTTAAAAGAACAGAGGCACAGTGCGCATAAGTTGTCTTCGAGAGAATTCCGCAAAGACAGCACGCGTATTGTGATGCAGGTGAAGAAAAAAAAGGAGGTGCCTATCTTTCATTCATCCATCGTTCGTTCTTGATTTTTCTGTCACATTTCCTTTCTGGAAAGGAAAAGCACCGCATTGTCGCTCGGTAGTGGCTTCGATTTCATTGATACGTCACGCACAGAGAGTCGTCTGAGGCGCTGTCTATTATACATCGATTGCATCATCCGGAACACTAACAAAAAAAAGTGAAAGAACAGAACGACGTCTACTCCTTTTTCTTACCCTTCTTCTTGCCTTTTCCGGCGGAAGACCGCGTCGCAGAAATGCTGACAATCTGCTTGTAGATGACTGGATCGGTGCGCTCGTTTACACGGAGCGCAGTCACAGATTTGCTTGCTTGAAGCGACTTGAGCAAACACTCACACACGCCGGACGTGAGCATGTTCATGTCGAGGTCAACCACGCGTAGGGTCGCTGCGCTTTCGATGGCCTCACAGAGAGAAATCACGGTCGCCGTGTTGCCAACGCAGGCGGTGTCTGCGAGATCGAGGTCCGCAATTTTTGATGTCACACAAATTGCTTTTGCAATATCATCCACGCCGCTGTCGCCGATGTGGTTTCCGCGCAGCGACAGCGTTGAAACGTTCGATTCCTTCACCACACGTGACGCAAGATAGCTGGCGCCTGCTGGGCCGATGTCGCAGTATTGCAAAGAAAGAGAAGTGACGGCGCTGTTCCACCGCAGGCCGCTGCAGAGCTCCTGCACACCAGCGTCTCCCAATGGATTGAAGTCGAGGACGAGCCTCTCTACTGTCGCGTTGTTGCTAAGAAAGTTGCCCAGCTGCCGACAGCCACGAGAGCCGATTGCGCAGCCGGGAAGCTCCAGACGCTGAATGCCAAACGGGTTGCGATCGGGTAGGGGTTCGTACCGTTTCAGAAACTCACACAGCGTGAGGACGCCATCGTCGCCGATCAGGCTGTGGTGCAGCTGAACGACGCGCAGGTACGGGTAGGGCTGGAGCGCGTCGTTGCAGAAGGCCTTCAGCTCAGCCAGTGCTATTTCACCGCGCACAAAAAGAGGGATTTGCGGCACGCCGGTCTGTTCCCCATCCTTGACACGGAGCAGCTCCGCCTTCACACGCTTCGCGAACGGGGCAAACTGCTCGCCGAACGCCGCGCATCTTTCGAGCAGGCGCCGTAGGTCAGAATCAACGTGCAGTTCTTGTGCGACGGTGATCGCCGGCGCTGCCGTCTTTGCTCGGGCCGCAGCTTGCTTGGTTGCCATTTTCTACTGTGGGTTTCGTCTACGCGACGCTTGCAAGCGGAGAAAAAGTTCGAGAGAAAGAGTGACAAGGAGAAAAAGAGGAAAGTGAAGCAGAGTTGGGCCACACAGTTCCATGAGAAATCCTCGAGACACCTTTTGTCTTCCTGGAGAGAGCCAACCCAGGGAAACAACGTCAGAAAACCGCGTTTCATCTGAACTCACACCGCTGCCAGAGTTAAAGAGTCGCTGTTGAAAACAAGAAAAAAAAAGGAAGAGCAGTTTGTGGGAGGCCAAAAGCGTTACACACAGACTTCAACTTCGTGTGAGAAAAGCCCTTCTTTGACTTTTACCTTCCTACTTTTTGCGACCGAATGTGGCCTTGCGTTCGCAGCCGCTACACTGCGTTCCCAGGCAATTCTGTACACTTTTTTTTTCCTTTTCAGTTACACGGAGCATGTATGATATAAACATTCTCAGACAACAAAGTGTGGGTATTGTACATCAAGAGCAAAGAGGAAAAACATAAACACTTCACTCTTCAGGTTCTTCAAACAGCATACGCCGCAACTCCAAGAGGTCAATCTGCCCATCTGCAGAAGGTAACAGGGCTTGAATACTTTCGGCCGCGTCTAAATCGTTTGCGTCCAACGAGAGAACGGTTTTGAGCTCCTCCAAGAGACTTGGCAACTCGGATGCCTCCATGTAGCCTGTCCCAGTGCGGTCATACCTGCGAAAAAGCGAGTCGATCGGATCTACCGCATCACCTTGCTGCGCTTTTCCACGGGAGTTTGACCCTGGAGGAGCACCCGAAGTGTTCTTCACATCGTTGGCGCCACTTTCCGTCAACTGACCATCCGCGTCGAACGGCGCAGGATATCCGCTCAGGATGGCAAAGAAATTTGCACTGTACTTGTACAAGTCCGTAGGCTTGTCGCGCATAACGGCCTTTGTGTATTGCTTCATAATGGTACCGAGCTCCGGTGGCACCTTGATTTGTTCCGCAGAATACATCGCGTTCATTTTTGAGACCTCAACAACTGTCTGCACGTAGTCAGGCGTACTTTAAAGAGCTAAGCGGTTTTCTGAGAATAGGTACAGAAAAGGGAAAAAAGAGAAGAGAGAGGAGACGGAGGAAAAGAGGAAATGAACAAATGGAGATCATCAACACATGACTAACAAAACCGAACGTTTTCATTCTGTAGAGCGTGGCACACACAGTACAAACAGTAGCAAACACGTCTATTAGAAGCAGAAAAAAAGTTTTGTGTTTTCGCAGCGGACGCATGAGCACGCGACGACTACGAGCGAGTGATGCACCCGTGCACGCCCATCGAAAAAGTCAAAATCAGAAGCCAGGGACTTTTGCACAAAACACTGTGAGAATCGACTCTGTTTTAATAGTGATTTTTCCTCTTTTTTGACAAGAATTAGAACTCTATGAAACACACGTAAGTGCATCTATTTTGATGCTGCAATCTATGAGAGCATCTATCTATGAAAAAAAAAATACAAAACATAATGGATAGATGCGGTGCTATTCTGAAAAACGCATCAAGGGAAAAAAGGAAGGCAGCAGAAAAAGCGAAAGTCCACTACATAGGCGAGCACTACTTTGATAAATGGGCAAGTGCCTCGTTTTGTTCCATAACAATTTTGTGCAGTCGCTCTTTCGACTCGGTGGCTTCACGTAGAGCGTTCTCTATGGCGGACACTTTCCTTTCTAATTCTTCATGTTCCGCTTGAAGATCATCGTACAATTTTCCAGCTTTGTCGCGTTCTTCTTCAGCAACAAGTCTTGCTTCACGCTCCCGATCCAGTTCCTCAGAATCATGCATTTGCCTTTGCTGGCTATCGAACGAAAGAACTTCGCGGGCAACAAGACGGGCGTTGGCCTCCTCAAGCTCCTGCACATGATTCCTCTCGTTTGCCAATTGTGCACGCTGACGAGTCGCATCGTTAATCATCTCGTCGCAGCGCTGGCGTAAGAGAAGGTTCTCGTTCTCTTTGTAAATGACCTGATTGCTTAATTCTCTTAGGCTTTGGTGTAGCTCTTCGAGAGAGCGATCTTTGGCATTCACCATCTGCTGAAGATCGTCGCACTTTCGCTCCAGACCGGTTGACTCATCGTCGGAGCGCGCAAGGCGTTGGTGTAGTGTCTCATTTTCATATTCAAATGACTGCAGGTCTAACGTCAGCTGCTGCTCTCGCAAATGTAGCGACTGCAGCTGTTCTTGCAAGTAAATCATACCTTCCTCTTTTGAGGCCATCAAGGCGCGAACGTTGTCGAGCTCCCTTTCGAGAAAGCGCTGATTCTCCAAAAGCGACTCGTTTTCCTGGGCGACCTTCTGATATGACATCAGTATTTCTTGTACTTCGGCGTCTTTCGCCTTTAGAGAGTAGGCCATTTGTGCTTCTCTCTCCGAGAACCGCAGCAACTCCGCTCGCAAATTCTCGCTTTCGTTCGCAAGTAAACCAAGCTGCTGATTCGCATGGTTCTTCGTCACGGATAGTTGCGACACATCCCGTTCGTACTGGCGGAGTTGCTCTTCCCAGGTGTCCCTGTCGCGTTCGATGCGTGCCTTTTCCACGACGAGTCGTTGCTTTTCGTCTTCGAGGATGCCTATCCGTTCGCCCAGCATTCTCTCCGCAGCAGTTTGATCACTGCATCTTTGCTGCAAGCCGCGCATTTGCACAGACAGATTTTCCGCATCACTCATCGCTAGTCGCCTTTGCTCTACCTCATCAGAAAGCTGTCGTTTTGCAGAGTCTAACATTGCCACGGCGTCCTTTTGAACTGCGCTCAGGTCATCCAGCCGGCTACGCAAATCGTCACACTCTCGGGTCTTTTCTTCCAGTAGCGCTTGTAAGCTGTACGCAGCAGGCTGCTCCGCAGCCACGCTATCCTTTTCCGGTTGCGCTGTATTCACTTGACACGCCTGCGTTGCGCGCTCCACCACGTCCGTTTGCACCTCCATAGAAAGCGACGCATTTTCGGTGCCGACGTATTTGTCGTCCCGTTGCACCTTCGCACGTTTCTGTGCTTCCGTGACTTGGTGTTTTAATGCATCCCTCTCCTCTGCTAACCCTTCAATCGCCATTTTCAAAGCCGTAATAACAGAAGAACGTTCGACATCGTTGTCATCGGCGCTGCGCTGCGCAACCGCGTACTCCTGCTTTCTCGTTTTCAAGAGAACCCCTAATTTACGAACTTTTGTCTGCAACTCATTCTTCTCGATGCAGGCAACGCTTTTTTCGCTATTCACAGTTGCCAGCTGCTTCTCCAGAAGCTTGCAGCGTTTCAGCAGTTCTGCGCCGTCACTTTGTCCACTGCTTTTGCGCCGCAGTTCTTCAATTTCGGAGTTCTTCTGCGCGACTGCCTCTTCGTACTGCTGAATTGCCTTTCGAGCGTCCGAAAAAGATTTCGTTCGAAGTGTTGCAAGTTGATCTTCCAGTCTCTCCACCTCGCAGTGCAGAAACGCTATTTGCGAAAGCAAGTGTGCAGTGTGTGCATCTGTACGAGCTAATTCCTGTGCAGCGTAGCCTGCCTCGGGTTGCTCAGCCGCAACATTCTGTGTATCTAGCATGTGGATTGTGAAAGACGAAGAGAAAAACAAATACGTATTTTATTTTTCGGAAGCTTAGCCTTAGCAAAGGCAGAGAGAAAACTCGTCTTGCACAGTTCAGCCAGTAGAATCTTACGAGGTCTATCGAGCAGTGTCGATCAGCGAGAAGTTAATACGCTGGAAACAGAGGAGAGAGTGATAAAAATAAGGTGAAATAAAAAGAGGAGAAACAATTAGGGTTTTTTAAACCGCGGAGACTTGAGAATGTGGCGTATATTCTATAAATGCACTAACAACACGAATAAGCAGAGGGCTTTCTTGTATTTTGTTTTTCCTTTAGATAGCCCAAGAGGAAAAGAAACCGGTTCTCCTCGCTTTGGCACACGTTAGGCAGAATTCTGCCGAATCATCACGTCGAAAAAAAAAAAAAAACATATCGTGGTGATCGTATTAGACGAGAGTCGTAAATAATGAATGGAGCACTTCTTTTGTAACTTTTTTTTTCGTTAATCACGTATTTGTAAAGAGGAACGCATAGTGGCAAAAGAAAACAGCAACTATCACAACCATGATGCCATTTTTTAGAAAAAGAAAGACATAATAAAAAAGACTAACGTTTATTAAAATCAGAACGCTGTCTTTCAAAGAGCTCCCGCTCGAGTTTTTTGATGCGTTGAGAGTTGTAGGAATCTGCGCCAACAACCAACAAAGGAACAGAAATCAACCCCACGCAAAAACCACCCATAAACGTCAGACCAATTTTTGCGGGAATGCGGTTCTTAGGGTTCCGGAAAGCGACAAAAGCCGCAGAGAAGCTGCCTAAAATGATGCCGGCGTCAAGACCGCGCTGCATTGGCTCACAGGACAGAAAAAAGCGCCACTGCTGCGACAGCGCACGCCGCCGCGCCTGACCAATTTCGAGGCCTTCTTGCTCAATAATGTACTGTTTAAGGTCCTTTACTTCTGAGTCTGGGTACATTTTATTTGCGTCGCGTGGGGACTGAATTTGTTTCATCATTTCTAACGTCTCCGGGGAAGCAACTTTGTACCTCCCGGATTGAACCAGGTCATTGATATTGGTGGACTCCGGAGGATTGTCCTCGTAACGCGGCACCTGGGCCGCGGAGACCTCTGCGTGCTTACTTCCTTTTCCGCCCATGACTTATCGATATATTTTCACGCTTTCCTACGTCCTTTCCTTTCTGAGGAAAAAAGGAAACTCTCAATACCTACCGTGTTGTGAAGGAAAATGCAAAACACTGCAACAACGAGACCGGAAAACGGTAAGCAGAGAGAGAAGAAGAGTGGCAAGCTAGTACTCATGAGAAAAAGTGTCCGTTTGAAAGCGTCGAAACGAGCGTTGAGTCTCTATTAGGTGAGCAGTGAAACGAGTAGATACTTGGCAGGCGTTATGGGAGCCAATGATCAAATCATTACCAACGCACCGTGGATTGAGAGCAGAAAACGGTGATATTTTTACTCTTCAAGTCGCTGCGTGATATACCCGCGTCGAAAAGCGGTGTGCCTCGTTTAAACGTTCATTTCACACACCACCGCTATGGAACAGCTTTGCCAAAAAAGCGTAATCAGTTTGGTGAAAACTTCCACTGTTGTTCTTTGTTCAGCTCATCATGGTCGTTCAAAGTTGGTGCGACGCAGTCGTACCGTGGAAGCGGCTTTAATCAAGAGAACAAACGATGTTCCACAGAGAGAACCAACTCGCTGACTGTTTTTGTGCTCTCTGACCAGGAGAATAAGCAAATTCTTCTTCCGGCTACAAAGAGAAAAACAGGAAGCCAGGCAGAATGCAGCGACGGGCTTGAGGTGACAACAGTATTCACTTCTGAATCAACCTTCTTCGTTTCCGGTCATCTACTCTAATCCTACCGCACGCAACGAAAACAACTGTGCAAACAGAGTCATGAAATTTAGAGACAGCCTGATCTCAACCAACCATCCTTTTTTATCCGGACTTCTTCATGGGTTCTCTTCATAAAAAAAAGGCATACACACCAATAACTTGAGATTCAGGTCGCTTTTAAGATCTGTCGAGTTTGGAACCGTATTCTTCGTTTTGCTTTCGGTTGCTGCAATCCTCGTCGATATCGCCAAAAAAAGAAGCATTGATCTGCTTGTGTTGGAGGTGGATGTGCTGATGCTATCCGATTGCCACGAGAGACGAGCGAAACTAGCAGGCTTAGGCTTTTCTATCGGTAAAACTAGAGTTTCTGTTTTGTACAGACGCTAATGCCAACTTATCGAGCAGCGTAACAAACGCGGTAGCAACGGAAGAACTGCAATTCAAGATGTGCTCGTCGTGAAGAAACGACGAATCTTAATTGAGCCTGCGCAACAATTTTCCAGTTTTACCGTCGCTATCCTCCGGGCAAAACACATCGACTTCTGCAATACCACTGTAGCCGCAAATCGTACTTCAGGCGACACCAAGAAAATGTACGGTTGAGAAAGCAATGCTGATCCTGTTCTCAACACCGACAGGAGCTCGTCACGTCGGCGTTTTTAAATTCAAAAGAAGAGTCATTGACCCATCTGATGCTTAGCAATTATTATCCCGCGACACAGTGGCCCCAAAGTGTTGAAAGTTTGAGCGTCGCGCCGCAATAATAATACTCGTAATAGCAACACCTTTTGAATCCCACACGACATCGGTAATGTAATAGTTGAAAATGCAAACGGAAGAAATAAGTGATTCTTCGTCTTGTTTTGTTCGCTTCAGATGCACAGATGAGATTATCTTTCTAATTGCGGGAGTGGCACTTCGGGCAAAGAACTCAGCGGGAATGTGATTGCGCCGCGTTCAGAGCAAATGGAATGAGAGCCGCAAAAGCAAGAATCCAACAGTTGGAGATTCGCACGGATGCGTCGAGAAACGGCTGAACGGAGCGGATGGGTTTCGTAAGAGTTGGCACCACGATCGCGTTTCTTGGGTGTCGTGCTACGATCGTGCGTATCTGCAACGGGAAGTATTTTGAGGTACAGGCTGCTTGTTGTTAAAACAGAAGGCGTGGTGTCCGTTTTTCTTTGCTCTTTGTTCGTGTTTGCAGTTATGCGGGGAGGGGGGGGGGGACGCGCAGGCCATAAACGCGAAGACAAGCAGGCAGACCCGCACGCGCACACTTCAACGGAGCAGAGCAATCACATGGCGAAGCGGAAGAAGGAAATTGAGGCGGTGAAGCGTATTGGGGAGCGCACGCGCAACATTTCCCTACCTGTTGCCCACCTCGGAGCCATTCTGCTCTTCTGCGTCACGGAGCTCGCCAACATCGATCCTATGTACCAAAACTCGCTGCAGTCCTACATGTCCATCTTCCAGGAGGCGTTGATGAACAGCGCCAAGTCGAGCGAGGTGGAAGAGCGCACCGAGGCCATCAACACCACCTTCAAGCGCAGTCTGTACCAGCGAATTTGCCGGTCCCTCTTCGCGCGAGATCAGCTGCTCTTCTCCTTCACCATGTCGCTCAAGATCTACGATGTGGACCCGACGCTGTTGCGCTGGGTGCTGATGGGCGGCTTCGAGGAGGAAGACCACCACGCCGTGCCGAACCCTTTCACGTGGCTGCCGGAGTTGATCTGGAAGCTGTTGCGCCGCGCGGCGACGCAGTTGGACGGCTTCGCTCACTTGACGGAGCTGCTGCAGCACTATGAGATGTTCTTCATGGACTTCCACGAGTCTTCGAACCCGCTAGAGCTGGAGCTGTCCGGTGTGCTGAACGACGGAGTGCTGCAACGTCTCGCGCTCAACAGTCCGCACACCGCGCCAGCTTCGATGTGATGAACCCACCGCTTCCTCAACGCTCGCACGGCAACAGGCACAGGAGACGAGCAGGGGCGTGAAAGGGAGTTGACTCTTGTCGGGAGTTTCTTGAGAGACAGGCGGCCGCCACCACGATAGCGGAGGTGAAAAGAGCACCAGCGCGAAAGAGAGGCATGGTACGGCGAGGGCTGCGACAGTTGCGGCGATGTCTGTGCCAGATGTGGTGGTGGTCGACTCGAGGGCCTGGCCACGCCGAACACAACACGGCCCACTGCACGGCATGAGAGCCGGATACTTTACTGAGTGAACCGGCAGGCGAGCAACGAGGGGGGGGGGGGTAATGGTCCATCTGTG